TTTGTAAACGCAAATATTGTATTTCCACAACAAAAACCTTTCCACTGAATTACCCCTGGCAGCAGATGTGTGTTATTTGCTGAATTTTAAATGTTAATTATTAAATTAACAGAATATTGAAAGTTTTATTCACTCGGATATCTAATCAATTTGGAATTATGTAAATGATGCGGAAATTTGCAAAGGTAGCATCGGCGTACTTGCGCCAAGTAATGCACAACTTGCAAATCCATGCAATCCTGGCGTTCCAAGGATGTCGCGAGCAGATGTGCTGCATTTTGAGCACTGGGGCGTTGCATTTCACTAGCGTTTGAAGGCTTTCGAAGCGTTTGCGAACATTTTGGCAGTGCATCGCGCTGCTGATTTCGAAGCGAGATTATTATATAACTAATGGAGGTTGCCGTGTAATAATAATAATAATAATAATTTTACTTAGACATTTATTTAAAGTAAGGAGGTCGTAAATTTTGAATAACAAAATGTTAGGAAAGTTAAATTGAAAGTTTTGAGTTAAATATTGTTTACAACGTCTTTAAAATAGTCTGGATATGAAGTTGAGTTATTAATGTTTGTTTTCATTAATATTAGATATGGGAATGTGAGTTTGTTTGTTTATTTCTCTTTAAATGAAAAATTTATGAATTAATTTTGATATATTTTGGTATAGAGGTTGAAAAAGCATTTTATATGGTGTTGCGCAGGCGCAAGCTCCACCCCGTGACTAAAACTCGTGGCTAAAGTACTTTAGTCAAGTTCTTGGCCGTCCGTGTGTCTAAAAACCGTGGAAAACTATTTTAAATTTTTAAAAAGTTTTTTCGACAAAAAATTTAAAAATACAAAATTCAAATATTATTTGATTTGGCATAAAAAATCTCATATATAAAGAAAGGAAACTTTGAAACTTGTAAAAACTTATCAAAATAAGCAAAGAACTGACAAAAATCAATAATACATAAAAAGAAGAAATTGTCAAGTTTTTCTGTTTATTTCACAAAAAAACTTTTCTAAACCCAAATACAAAAGAACCGCGTGAAAATATTTAGTTTCCAATACTTGCATTTCCTAAGATAAGAGTAACCTTAACCTACACTCAGAAATGTTAACGTCAGCCGCACGCGAATCCGAAGAGCGTCGAAAGCGATTAGACGCGAACCTAACTTCAACATTACGCATCCCACCACTTGGACATTTAACATTAGACGCATTAGACATGAAAGACGCAAGACAAGCGACACAGGACAAGTTTACGCAAGTGGTGGGCGGTGGGCTATGCGTCCCGTGATTATCCTGAGAATTCAAATACTGCGTATACTATACCCCATTACGTAAGTACATGCGATTAGAACGTAATTACAATTTGATTCCAGTTTAATTAACTAATTATTATGAAATTTCAATGTTTTCACAGATAGAATAATGTTCCTTGTTAATTTTCTCGATAATAAACTTGCGGCAGAAATGAAATCTTAAAGTTTTCAATTAAAATGCAGGAAAACATCGAACATTTAAGCTTTCAATAATTTCAATATTTATTTAACTGCGCAGAAAACAAATCGGTGAGTGTGTCTCAAGCGGATTTCGCGGACTTACTCAACTCGTTGTGTTTGTTTACTCTCTTACGATTGAAAACACACTGCGCATTAAACTTTAATTAAATTCGAGAAAATTTCACAGAATGCGAATGTCCTGATGTTTGTTACACTTTCACGCAAAAACTACTTAACCGATCATCATGAAAATTTGTACACATATTCTTAGTGGTCCCCGAATGGTTATAGGCTACTTTTTATTTAATAAAAAAATTATTTTTTAAATAAAATAAAGAAATTGTTTAGCCAATAATACCTCTGCATCTGGCTATTTGACTACTTTAACGCCATCTAGCATTCCAGCAATGAAGCTCAAACCTAAGTACTATAGTACCATCACACTGTATTATCACACTGTATTACCGACAGCTACGTCAACATCAAATCCAATTGACTACCCTATGGAGACTGTACACTATACTTCCATAGACTATACTTTCAGCCATTTTAAACTACCCGCCATTCTACTTCATTGTTACTTCTTCTGTGACTACAGACGCGTACGGAAGCAACTTCATTATTTTAGATATTCGCGAGCGAAGCCGCGGGTTAAAGCTAGTATTTTTATATATTGAAAGATTTCGGTGTTAGGCAACCAACATTACATCCGAATTAGCACTTTGCGCATTACGAGTTTTTTTTCTCTTTTTCGGTGTTGTTTGCTCATTTTTATGTTATGTCAGCGTCGTGACGGCCCGTTATTTACGCACCTGACACCGTTGCCCGAAAGATTCGTTTGATCTTTCGTACTTTTCGCACCCTCGACACATTTTATTCGAATGTCAACGTTTTACTTTTATTTCATCACTGCGTGTTGGTGCGTCGCCTGAGGTCGCCGGCGCGGACCCGACGATAAAACGAAAACAAACGTAAGCGCAGAGACTTAATTGAATTCTTCAGCGAGCTGGAATTCAAAATTGGGAATTTTTCTCGCGTTTCCCATCGCGCATACATTTAATAATAATTTAATAACATTTACTCAGTCATTTATTCATAGAGTAAATAGAACGCGGCGGTGTTAGGTATTTATAGAAACTTTATTAAATTTAAATTTATGTGCTGTATGTAAAATAGTTCAATATTTGCATAATATTTATTTATTTTTGCTTTGAATGACTGATTCTGAGTTTGTGTTGTTTAAAATTAACTTTTGTCCGCGTTGGTTTGAATAAAAGTCAAATATGTCAATAAGTCAAGCTGTCAATCTGTTAATTTTAATTGGCATGTAATTAAACAAACTTTATTTTTTCGATTTTTAACTTGTCAATTCATGAAATGCACTTATAATTAATGTTTGCGCTTAAAAATACAGAACTGAACTTAAAAATAAATATTTGCACTTTGAAAAATGAATTCCACTTGAATAAAATGCTTTGCACTATGAAATTAATACTTTGCACTTATAAAACTTCCAGTATTAAGTACGTGCCGTACTCTTAGCCGGCCCCTTCTATCACCCCCACTGCCCCTCAAATAATACCAAACAAGGTAGCCTACCTAACCACCACCCCCAACCCCCAACCACCCCCTCCCCCCAACCCCCAACCTCCCCACAAATAATACCAAACAATGGAGCCTACCTAACCACCACCCCCGACCACCCCAACCGCCCCACAAATAATACCAAACAAGGTAGCCTACCTAACCACCACCCCCGACCACCCCAACCGCCCCACAAATAATACCAAGCAAGGTACCCTACCTAACCACCACAAATTATAAAGTTTCAATTTAAAAAGTTGATTCAAAGCAAATTTAAGCTTAAACCTGAATATATAAGTGCATTGTATTAAAATATAAGTTATACAATCTATAGTGCATAATATGAATTTCTTAGTGCAAAGTATGAAAACTTAAGTGCGGCTGTTCAAGTGGATTGTATTTTAACTAAAGTGCATTTAATATATCCCCATTTTAATTTAAAAGGGGGAGAAATGCTTATAAAGCTCTAGAGCGCCATCTGAAGTTAATTTATAGAAGTACAATTGTGATTAAAGTCAACTTTATTTCTTATTTTGCACCCTATAAGTTATATTTTTGCGACAAAAAGCAGTTTAATTGATTTTCCTTGTTCAAATTTTATCAAAATTGGTTAAATAATTTTAAAGTAAATAAAACACATTTGCATTTATAATATCAGTGAGATAGGCAACCAGTTATACTCATGTTCTTTTCCATAAAATTCAATATGGCGCTCCTCAGATTCAAGTATTACCTGTGTGTTCCTGTTTTATACCAGAAGTAAGTCTTTTAACATTTAATATTTCATGATAAGATAAAGAAAACGTTCTCCGGTAACCATTCTGTATCGATAACATCACATCATCGCCAGATAAATGATTTCCTTAGAATCTTACATTGCGGACATGTACAAAGGAATGCAAAGGACTTTACATAGCAATATCTGTGTAACGGTTATAAGGACTGTAGTCATACTTGTACTGTACACGCTAGAATCTAGAAATCGCTTCGCATGCGAACGCTGTGAAGTTTTCCCTTTGCATCTCTCTTCTTTGAGAACGCTTTTGTTGCGTTTTGTTCGCATGCGTTTCACGTCGGGGTGCGTCTGAGTCGACGGCGAAATTATCGCGGCATTGTTGGTTAATTTGCGTGCATGCGAGCAGCAGTTCGCTTGTTGGCGTTAATTCTGCGTGAACTTCTACACAAGAACACGAGTAGGAGTGAATAAAGTTGGCAAAGAGTCATCAATGCGCACATGAGAATCCCGGAGAGTAATTGAATAGAAATAACTTAAATTTCTAGAATCACACAACGAAAATTAAATATTTTTGTTTAAAAATTGATTTTTTTAATGTAAAAAACACCGTAAATGTCTGATAATAAATTAAATTCAACATATTTCACAATAAAAAGAAGTACTCAATTCCATATTGACCGATTCAATGGTTTTGCTATTGAGCAAAAAGACACGCGCGGTATTTGCGGTAATAACATCGTAATACCTTGCAATTGAATGCATTATTCAGCATTATTCACAACCGAATCTAACCAAAAACGAACAACTCGCCATATTATGCAACACAATGTACATTAACCTAAGTACAAATCATTATTTGTGAACGCTTTGATAAACATACAAATAAATACATAGATTAAAACCGCGATTAAAATGAATTAGCAGAGTTTACAATCGAAATTGAAATCAAATCAATAATTCACCGCGGAAAATCCAATAACCGTCATAAATCAATTACATAAATTACACAACATGACATAGCATAACAGGTGCTTAAAATAGTTTTCAAAGTACAGTACAATCGGTACAAACCCTCAACTTAAAGCAAACGCTCAATTGTTTGCTTTTAACCAACCGAACCGGCATAAACTAACAACTAAAGTTAACACCGAGTGAAATTACTGTCTATTTTATGATGATAAATGACAAAAATGTTTGATTTTTTATGAAAAAATATAAAATAGTTGTTTATTAGTTTAATGAATGTATTTTAACATCTCTCGAAGACTTTATACAATTGCGGTAAATTTGCCGCCTCCAACAGTGCGCCATTGGTCTTGAAATGCGCGGGCGGTAGAAAATACTCCTTCGCAAAAGAGTACAACACATGTTCGACCGTGTGTCGCCATTCGTCTGTGACAGCGCCGGGTGACGTCGCATAATACTCCGCTGTTTCTCTTGCAAAACTTTCAAAACACGGTTTTTCTTCATCCCAATTTACTTCACAAGCTAATCTAATAATATACCGCGGTAATGCACTTTCTAACGGTGCATGTCCATCTATAAATCAAAATAATCACATTAAAATATAATTTTATTAAAATTATTAATCATTTACCTATCAAAATCGGTATTGTATGTATTTTACCGTCATTATCAATATCAATCTCGAAATAAGTGCGCAACATTTCCGCTTTCGCGATTAAAATCCCCGCTGTATTCTCTGCCAAGTCTTCCTTGGGTCCATCCTCTGGTGTCCAGCCAGTGTCGGCCATATTTAACGCAATCAGCGCTAATTCCTTAATGTCCAGCGGTGTAGCGAAGCGATAACAGCGAAAGTTTTGAAAATTGTACGCCACGCACTGGTAGAACAGCTCGCGCATCAAGCGCTCCGTATCGATTACGAGCAGTCGCACACGGTGCTGCACCAGTGCCTGCCTCGGCGTCGCAACGCCGACGAATACATGCTCGGCGAAAATTTCGCGCAGCGCTGAATCGCAGTCATCCTCGATCGCTTTCTGCATGTCCAGCACGCTACGGAGGCGGACTTTATGTCGTGATTTTTGTGCAATGAAATTACTTTTAGTTGACGCCATTTTCGCTTGTGAATATGAAGGTTTAGGTTTAGAAGGTGATTCATTATTGTCTTCATTATCTTTAGGAATTACAGTTTGGTCGAGTAATACTTTATCAAAATCTTCGGTGCGTTTTAATACTTCTCCAACAATCGCGCTGTCATTTTGTGTTTGCGAAGCCGGACCAAAGAATTTTTCGAGTTTTTGTTCACGCATATCAGTCCGAACTAAATCCTTATCGTAAATTTTACTTGTACCCGCTTCATCTGCTTTATCACAACTAGTAGTGTTTAAAATAGTCACAGGTAATTTCGTCTATCAAAAACCAAACAAAATTTAATTAATTTAAGGCTAAAACATGAAAATATTTACTTTACCTGAGCGTAAAATGAACGTGACTCCTTGCCACTTAACAGCTTCGCTTCCAAAGCCACGCCGATCATGTCAACGATCTGATCCTCGTTCAAGAAATGAACTTCATGTTTCGTCGGATGTACGTTCACGTCAACGTTGCGCGGGTCGATCTCGAGGCTCAAGTAGACAAAAGGATGCGCGTTTTTCGGTAGATATGTGGTGTAAATCTGATCGATTCGTCGCTTGAGACCTAATTAATAAAAATTTCATGCTTAATAATTTATCATGCGCGTTGATGACGAAGGTGTGAACATATGAATATGCACGCTTACTCACTGAGACACTCGACAAGCCGGTGATTGATGAAGAGCACAAATTGCATTTTCTTCGATGAATAATTCAGATTCGTTATGTGTCCGTTGACAGCAAACTTGAACGCGTCATCATTCGCTGAGAACTCCATCAATTCTCTAAGAATAGAAACATTTTCTTAATAAATTAATAAAATAAAATAAAATCAAATAAAATAAATCATTACTTGGCTATAGCTTGTCCAAAAACAACTCGAATATTATCCACAGTTGAAGAGTTTTGCATTGTTCGAATATCAATAGAATCTCCAGTCTTTTTCAAACTGAAACCTACGCTAGAGTTGTGCACAGCATATTTTCCAACAACATCAGCAACTTTTGAATATTCTTCACCCGGACTTCTCAGTGCTCCTCTCCTCACTGACATGTTATAGAATAAGTCTTCAACTGTGATAATTGTGCCTTGATTGCCTGCCATTGGTTTGGGATCTGCTTTGATTGTGCCATCAACATATGATGCACTTTTGGTACAAATTGTTGGAAATTAGTTTGATATTAATGAACTCCATTGTGTTAATATACCTATATGCAACTGGTGATGAATGAGTCTTGGAAACAATGTTCAAGTGTGCTACGTGACTTATACTACTCAGGGCTTCACCACGAAAGCCATAGGTGGTAATCGCCTCCAAATCTTCGAACTTGCGAAGTTTGGACGTCGTGAAACGCTCGCAGACGATCTGGAAGTCATCAAGACGAATACCGGTGCCATTATCTTGTATTTGTAGTAATTTCAGGCCACCGTCTTTGACTGTTATTTGTATATTACTTGATTTTGCATCTAGACTATAAATATTGTGTTTATTTCATGAAAAATTTAGAAAAATGTAAATTTACCTGTTTTCTATCATTTCTTTGAGTGCATTTGCAGGACGTTGAATGATTTCACCAGCTGCGATGCGATTAATGACCACTTCATCTAACTTCTTAATTTCAGCAGGTTCTATATTCATTTTTATTGTTTTTAAAAGACTTTTTCAAGTTAGTTTTGAAAATTTATCGGTTACACATGTTATAACCTCAGTATGTATAACAAATTCGTGTATTATTGGTTGCATATATTAAACTTACTATTTTGTAATTTAATTTAAATTTTTCTTTGTTTCAGAACAATCTAATGGATTCCATGAACGCAACGAGTTTTCAATCATCTATTCTTCCTCCCACATCAACCTCGAGCGTTTATATCAAACCTTTGGTAATCTCCCCAGCTCCCGATATCGATTGGGGACCGCAAAGAGATCCGCTGTACATTGTCATCCCCATCACGATTCTATACGTAATAATCTTCATCACAGGCGTCGTCGGCAATATCTCTACTTGTATAGTCATCAGCCGAAACAAGTCCATGCACACCGCCACCAACTACTACCTTTTCTCATTGGCAATCTCCGATTTGCTGTTATTAATCTCGGGGCTTCCCCGGATATGTACGCCATTTGGTTCAAATATCCATACATCTTCGGCGAGGTCTTCTGCGTCTTGCAGGGCTTTGCTGCTGAGACCTCCGCCAACGCAACAGTCTTAACAATCACAGCGTTCACAGTCGAACGTTATGTTGCCATTTGCCATCCGTTTCTCTCGCATACAATGTCGAAGTTAAGCAGAGCAGTTAAGTATATTGTAGCGGTGTGGATCATTGCCATGATACTGGCCATACCACAAGCGATGAGTTTCGAAATTGTACATGGTAATAGAGATGAGCAGTGTGTTTGCACCGTGCAACAAACAGCGATACCACATGCGTTTGGTATCAGTACATTGTTGTTCTTTGTGACTCCAATGTCTTTGATAACCGTGTTGTATATCCTGATTGGATTACAACTGCATAAGTCTACTGTGGGTCCGTCGAGAGGAAACAGTGTGCGTTTGAAACATCGTGTGGTTTCATACACACCGACCTCTACACAGCCGGTAATTGTATTGAATGGGAATGTTATAAGCAATGGTGGGTTGAATGGAGCTGAGGGTGGTAATAATCGATTAGAGGATCAACTCACATCAAGTCCGAAGGTACCTGTGAGTCAGGAGGAAGATGGGAGGAAGAATTTCGCGAGGAATGCACAAGGGACGAAACATGTCGTCAAGATGTTAGGTAAAAACGTAATTTTATTTTTTTTTTCTAGAAAAATTTTATGAAGTTTTTGTGTTGTGTGAATGTTGAGACATGAAAATTTGAAATTTGCACGCACGTGATTTTCGGTAACTGAACATTTGTGCCTCATGGAACGTTTCACACACTTTGCGCTCAGAAAGAGAATAAAATCAAGTTGCGTAGGAGGACTAGAAATGCGTACGGGCAGGTTTTCGGCAAAAGTTTGGTGCGAAAACGAGGTTTTGCATGCGCTGCGTTCCCCGCGATCCTCATAAAACTACTAATGTATTCGGCCCGTAATACATTTTTAAGGAACGCTTACTGCGGAGATATTTGCGCATTTTCGCATGTTCAACGCGTGTAACGCAATAATAAAAAGAAAGGAACTTATATGGAATATATTTATTAAGTCAATTCTTAGAAGGCTCGTCAAATATTATTCGTTGTAGATAAAAATGTAATTTCTTTATAGCATATTGTGTTAGAACTTAAACTTGATTTGCTTCGACGATGCGACGACGTGAGTTTCAGGTTTTAGAGCCAATTTGACGCTGAAGAAGTTATAAATTGTATGAGAAGCGCTTGTATGTGGTGTATGTAACCGGAGGAATTCTCCGATGGAGTTCACGACTCTTGAACTTTCTCTTCTTCATCATTATTTAACGCGATTGAAATTTTTTCACATCTTTATAACCTCCACACATAACCTCATCTTTCATTCTCATGATTGCACGCGTAAAAGTAATCGAATTTCAGCTTTGCATTTACTTTAATTAGTTCCGGCGCTGAATTTTACTTGCAAATATTTGTAATCTTTATCGGTTCAAATTCACTTTACGCGCCCAATTTCGTTAAGTAATTTTTAATGGGCGCCGAAAAAATCAAATAAATTGCAACATTCGTTTAATCAGCGCCCACGCTGCCACCACACACATTACACCAAGTTGATGCGCTATCAAGCGAAGTGGAACGTCGACCCGCACATTTAATATTAGCCCTTGTGCCAGCCCCTAAGACTCTTAATTTAATTAAAAAATTGAAGAGATGGGTGGGTGCTTGGGCATGTTCTAAGTAAGTAGGTACATGGTTGTGTTGAGTGTTAGCACAAGTTTTTGGTTAATTTGCATATTTTACCTTGGTGTAAGCACGAGATGTTAAGATGTGAATTATTGTGTAAATGTGAAAAGTTTAAACAAGATGGTGGTGTTACTTGTTAGGTTGTAGTGTCGTGGGAAATGTATAGGACTTGTTTTTGCTCTCGACTTGGTCCTTGTGGGTTTGAGAAAAAGTTTTACTTTCTGATATCTTGGATTTATTTTATGGCAACTTCACTACACTTCAGCGGCATCTGGCGTCAAATCTTGTAATTAAAACAATATTTTAATCTTTTTAACATTTTAAAGCCTTATTTTTTTTATATTTTAAGAAAAAATTTGTTGAGAAAGTAGGCAACTTGTTTTTTTTTTGTTAAAAATGTATCAATATTAGTTAAGGAGTTTTTGTGTGAATAATATAAGTTAGGTTATGCATTTAGCCAGGCAACGAAATTAAAATGCTAATGGAAAGTTAAGTTATATGACATTAGATGGCGCTGGTTGTGCCAATGCTTGACAATGGCACTTACCGAACGGAACTGATAATAGAAATAATTCTTGCTTCCCAAATGCGTGCGTTTCACTACTTATCGCTGAACGCTGAACATTGAAAACGTTCCCAGGGACGCTCGGGAAATTTTCGCCGGCGTAAATTGCGTAAAAGATGTTCGCGTAGCATGCCGACGTCGATATTCGCACGCGCGCCCAATTTAATTAATTTCGTCAAGTGAAACCCGAATCACATTGGCATACCTACCAATTTTTTTTTTCTTGTATAAATTTAATATATGTAATTTAATTAATTACTCAACATTTTATTTTCATGTATAAAATTTGAGTAAAATGTTGAAGGTAAATATACTCTACTTGGTCAATATGTCCATCGTAAAATGTTGAGTAATAAAATTCGCTGATTCTCTAAAAAAGTTAAACCGTCACTAAAGCAACGAAAATCCGCCCGTCGGGCGTCATCCGGTATGCAGTACACGTACACCAACGCGTTTTCCGCAAGGTTTAGTGCTGGTTGGTGGCGTCAGTTTAGTTTTGCATTCTTCGCGTGGATGGATCGGGGCGAGTCACAAAACGTAATGCGCGGATAATGCGCCGGTGTTTAAAATGGTAAAATGTAAGTACGTCTGCATCACACTCTGTCTGCGTTTACTTTGCGTTTACCAGGGTTTACAGAGTTTTCCAACGATTTTCTCATTTTCTACACAAACAAACCCACGGATTTTTGTTAGAATTTCCTTTTTTTGATAAAAATTGCAAAAAATACAGATTATAATTGTAATTTTTGTTGATTTTATAGAAATTTATATAAAACTAGCTTTGGCCCACGATTTCGTTTGCAGTTTTTAGTAAAAATGTAATTAATTTTTTCTGTTTTCTGCACGACTCAGTATAAGTCGATTTCTTCAATTAAATTTGCAATTTTATTTAAAAGAAATACTAATAATACACTAGCGCCATCTCTGATTCAATTATTTAACTATAACTATCATTAAATCTTTATATAAACTTTCATCCCTTATTTAACACTCTTTAAATTATTATTTCGAATATTTTAATAATTATTCTGCTAATCCGGGACTCGGCAAATCCAAAAAATCATAAATCATCAAAATCTGTCAAGCCGTTCTTGAGTTATAAACGTTGTAACTAACAAAACTGTGTTTTCTATAAATATCCTTTTAAAAATTTATTTTAGTCTTCAAAAAAAGGTACATCAAACCATTGCCACTGTTTCTCACCATCTTGGAACTCATACCGCGTACACTTATGAGGCGACAAAGAAAAAACCCCAATCTTTTCGTGTCGCGTTTCATTCCTTGTACAAATCGCCGGAAGAGTGTAGTCGAAGCACTGAACATTCAAGTCGTTAAAGTACTCATCGCCCACGTTAATCGCCGCTCGATTCTCCTTCGCTGAGGAATCCACTGCTTTCAGACACGAGTACAATTGATAATCGCATTTGCAATGACTCCTAAAAGTAATAAAAATCAAACGGTTTTTAAATAAACATTAGGAAAGTTGCGATTTTTACTTACAAACAAAACACATGTCGATTCGTTAACCCGTGCTTAGTTTGACCGGGCTCAATGGAATCCGCACACTTGTCATGACTTCGACAGCACGCATCCAACACTCGATATTCACCCAGATCCTCATCGCTTTCGGCGATGTCACCTGTCCCGCACCATTTTGTGCCCTCATGGATAACTCGTAGACCTCTGGTGTCAAAGCGTAATTCACCGATGCGAAATTGCACGCACTCAATGGCCGCAAACAATGTAAGCGTCCAAATCGCCAAGCTGATTCTAAACATGTTTGCGTGCCACACACAAAATTCAATGCTGAATAATCGTAGACACTTGACGCATTAGTTTTCACCGTTTTTTGCCTAGCAAATTGTTTTCGTTGCTTTTGAATTTTTCACATTGTTGACGCAGGAATTTATTTTCCATGTCCATAGATAAAGATAAATAACTGTTTAGCCGTGTGTGTGAGTGTTGGTAACTGTCGCATATAATTATTACGACAATTTACATAACTAAACCACCCGTAATCTCATTTATAATTGTATTATTGCAGATAACCAGGTAACATACAAAAATTTGTTTCATACAGTTTCGTAGAACTTATTGTCAAGTGATAAATATTCAGTGCCGGGGGTAATGTTGAATGTTCCACATCTTTGGTCACTATAAATAGAAGAAACAAATCAATAATTATTAGTTTACCAATTATACATCAAGTAGTTAAACAGGAGTTTTAGTCACGGAATTGGTTAACGTTTAGTCAAGTGGTGCTTACGCTATTTTTCAACTTTCACTTTATTTCCACGTTTAGTTTTTGTATTTGAACTTTGTACTTTAAATCTGCGCAGAGGCAAGCTCCAGCCCGTGACTAAAGCCGTATTAAAGTACTTTAGTCACGGTTTTGGTACTCCGTGATTAAAGTACTAATTTTGTGTTTCAAAACCGTAAAAACTGGCTCTTTAAAGGTGGAAGTAGAAAAACTTGCTTAATTTAATTTTTTAATTATTATGAGGTAACTTACCCATTAGTATTGCTTGTTATTTTGCTAGCGCAAGTAAAACTACCACCTTGTTTGGTGCACTTTGGATAAACAACGTTGAAATAGTTTTTGCCGTATTTAGTTCGGAATAAGCTTTCGCCTGGGCTTGGTTTGTTTGCTCTCAAACACTTACGGAAGGTTTCTTCACATTCGCAATCATATCTGGAGAGGAAGAAAACAAAAAAGTTAAGATTAAATTTAGGTTTCAATTATATTATTTACTCGTGACTTAGATTTCGCAGGAGACTTGAAATACTTCAATACTTTTTTATTTTGAATTATATAATAATGAAACGATTGATCACCATATCAACTTTTATTCTTATTTTTACACCCTGTTTGTTATATTTTTGCAACAAAATGTTGTATATTTTCTTTTCCTTGATTAAAAATATCTTTATACCAAAATTTATTAAAATATATTCAGTAATTTTTACGTAAAAGAGTAACAAACATTTTCATACATTTTACTTTTAATATTAAAATATTAGCTTGATATACTCACAGTTTATTAGGTCCTAATCTTGGACACTTGTTGTGCATCATGCAACACGTATCTGTGTCTTTAAACGCTCCTAAATCACTATCGCTTATTGTATTCGGTTCAGCAAAGCAATGTTTGGTTAATCCACCATGATCACTACTTCCTGTTAAAATTAATTAAAATTATAAATATTTACTTAATTTAAAAATAATAGTTACATTAACTTACCAGGAATTACTAATTCTTTCAAAGTCTGTTGTGCTTGCGTGCAAACTGCACAAAACACAACAAACACAAAAATAAATAACTTCATGTCGATTTACATGTACTTCTTGAGTGAGTAATGAGATTTTGTGTAGTTACTAGTGCTTTATATACAGCTGCATTTATTGACTGGCAGTGATAAATTTATTAATAGGTATTCAACTTCAACTTTCATGTTTCCAATTTATCAAATGAATTGTAATCAATTAATAATTACCTAATTATTTTTTTATCAGGAAAATATATTAACGTCAATATTTTGTGATAAATTTTATCATGTTTCACATAAATTAATTTTACTACTCACAATTCACAAAAACATTTCCCAAAATTTATTGTTATGTTTACATTACACTGAAGTTCTATAAGAGTCTCTTTTCGTTTTATGCTGTGAATATAATTCAGGTGTATAATAATCATCACGATCATATTTCTGATTAAAATACTCCGGTTCTACTTCCAGTATATTATCCAAATCAATTTGGTCGACTGTATCTGTTGATCCAACACAACGAAGTCGTTTGCGACATAATCGCGTACAGAATAATTTCAATAGTTGTACATAACAACAAGGAGTGATTGCACACCAGACACAAATTAACAAACCGATAATATATCGTTCTGAACGCATCTCTTCCGGGTCCATAACAAGTGTAAACGATGCAATACCAATCATGTTAGCATACGTTACTGGATATAACAATAGAAATGGTATGCAAAAGTGCAGCGGGTTAAATTTATTCTTCGGTTTTGGTGGTTTGTCAGCCATTTCAATCTTTCTAGTAAGGCGTATTACTTGCTTCTCCAGTGATCTTTGTTTCTTTTTGTTGTGTGTTTGGTCTTTTTGGTGATAGATCTGGTGTAGTTTTTGTTGTCGGCGCCATTTCTCGGCGCCTTTGTCCGTGGAATCATATCGCAGGTATTTTCTCGAGATGAAAACTGAGTTCACGCCGTAGGAGCAGAGCAATGAGGAGATTATATTCACTACCAGGAGAGTAATAGTCAACTCGTAATAAAAAGGCAGCCAGGATATTTGTTTGAAACGTGGAAATATTGGAAGGACTGAGATTATACTCGTCCAGAGGCAGAGTTGATTAAATCGGAAACTTTGCCAATGCATTTTGCAGTTATTTAAATGACATATTATATATTTAGGAAAAATATGTCAAATAATGTGATTTGGTTGTCACAATTTGATATTAAAATCATTTTTCTGTCTAGTCCCTACTAATATTATAAATGCGAAAGTCCTGATGTTTGTTACACTTTCACGCAAAAACTACTTAACCGATCATCATGAAAATTTGTACACATATTCTTAGTGGTCCCCGAATGGTTATAGGCTACTTTTTATTTAATAAAAAAAATTTTTTTTAAATAAAATAAAGAAATTGTTTAGCCAATAATACCTCTGCATCTGGCTATTTGACTACTTTAACGCCATCTAGCATTCCAGCAATGAAGCTCAAACCTAAGTACTATAGTACCATCACACTGTATTATCACACTGTATTACCGACAGCTACGTCAACATCAAATCCAATTGACTACACTATGGAGACTGTACACTATACTTCCATAGACTATACTTTCAGCCATTTTAAACTTCCCGCCATTCTACTTCATTGTTACTTCTTCTGTGACTACAGACGCGTACGGAAGCAACTTCATTATTTTAGATATTCGCGAGCGAAGCCGCGGGTTAAAGCTAGTTATGTATATAAACAAAAGTTGTGTTAGTTACACCATTTAAAACTCAAAAACGGTTTAGCAGATTTAGAAAATCTATAATTTTGTGGATTTGTCTCAGCCCCAATTAGCAGAATAACTATTAAAATGTCAAAAATTATGATTTAAAAAGTATTAAATGAAGAATTAAAATTAGTATAAAGATTCAAACATAGTTATAGTTAAATAATCCAATCAGAGAGGGCGCTAAAGTGCATTATTAGCATTTCTCTTTTCTAGAAAATAAAATTGCGAGTTTTAATGATGCAATCAACTCATACCACATCATAAATAAGAAAATAAAAATTAATTACATGTTCACAAAAAATTACATTGACAAAATCGCATGTAAAAGCTGGTATTGAATATGTAACGCTCGATCTAAACTCAATTCATGTGTAATATGGCGTTTTAATTAAACTTTCAACAACTAAACTGTAATTAGTTTGTTTGTTTCCCTACATTACGCCGCATTTCCAAAAACTTTCATAATTACGTGCAGTTACGCCAAACACAAATACAACTTATTTACTAGTATAAAAATATTCTTTCAAGAACACAATGAAACTCACACCCATCCCAATATAATAAACATTAATAGCTCCAAGAATATGCTCAACTTTTAACGAAACAAACGGTGCAGCTCCAATTTGTTCATAGAAATAATATTGACTTTCTCTATCAACCTTTTTAAACATACCATTTTCCAAAAATCTGATAATAATTTTATCTAGACCAGCTTTTAACGGATGTCCTTTCTGCATCATGATTACTTCAGAAAATGTTACTGTAGGATGCATAGCATGCAATTGTGGTTCACCATTGATCACAAATTTATGTTCTTCTTTCATGTAATACCAGATTCTTCTTTGGTTCGTCATCATCACCACATTTCTATCGTAAGCTACTTTATTCATAATCACACTTGCATCTCCAGCACCAGTCAAATTCCATCTTTTATAAATAGTTTCTATGTATTCATCACCGTAACTCTCTTCGAAAGAAATTTTAGAAATCATGTTACCACAGATAGGATAATTTGACTCAACTATATCTTTATAAGAATTAATTTGTTTTTCATGTATAGCTGTCACCAGAAATGATAGTAAAACATTTTCATAACTAGATGAAAATATATACGATACAAACACCCATGAAAGCCATAAAATTCTATTTAAGGTAATCCTGGGTTGTGGAAGTGATTTTCCTAGAGTCATTCCAAAAACATCCAGGAAACTCCTTGAAATATTCCTGCTTTTTAATTTTAATGATTTATTCGATGACATAATATCATTTTTAAGTGTTTTAGGTAAATATCCTCTTTTGAACTTTTGTAACACTTGAAATAAGTGATAAACAAAAGAAAATATCACATAGCTTCCAATTAGTATCATCCAGGTATAAATATCGAACACAGCTGCCATGTTCATCCACGCCGGAAGTCTCTGTGCTCTCGGCGTGTAAAATCTATACTCATTAGGAAAGAATTCCTTAGATATATCAAAAACATCACCATTACATCTGTAGGTATCACCATTCCAATCATAAACTCAGCTTTTGTTCATACATATCTTTAAACATCAGTGTAAAACTTGCGTTTTTTGTGATTTCACCCCAAGTTTTATAGTTGTTATCGATAAAGTTAAGTTTAAAATTTAATTCTCTAGCGATTATTCTTAACATTTCAATTTCTATTCCTGGATTATAAATGCTTTTGTAATTCAACACGTATGGTTCATACTTCATTGCGAGGATATCCACGGGACATCCGCGGTAATTCATGTAATCTTCTTCTAAAACTGTTTTTATATTTAACAAAACTTCAGAGTTACAATGATTATATTTTTGGATATTTTCTAAGTGGCAGTTTGTGTTTGAAAATTGTTTTGGTATATAAATATTCATTGTTGAATCAAATATAACAACTCGGTATGTGTACATTTTTCGAGTGTAGATAAATAATTCTTCAATTTCTGAATCTTCTCCGAGGTAGATTATTATAAATTTGCATCTGCTGTGATAATCGGTTGAGTTGTGCCATTTTTGAAAAACTTTTTTGATGTTTTCTAAATTATATGCTAGGATGATACCGTAATCGACGTCTATGTGATCCACGGCTAGATCCATGTTGGGTTTTTGTAATATGTGCTCCATTGTGACGACTTGTCGAATCCTTGTAATGTTTAATAAGTTTAATAGATACGCGTCGATTGTGATATTGGTAGATGTTTTGAGTTTGGAATATGCTAGATATGCGAAAGCTCTTGCACGGCGGTATTCGACTAGAATTGTTCGTAAACACGTTGTATTTACACGTAAAGTTTGGTTTATATGTTTAAATAATTCGTTGTTTGGTTTTGTTTGAATGCTTTCATTTGTTTGAATACATTGAATGAGGTTGAAGTGTTGGAGATAAAATATAGTAATTGATAGTATTAAAAAGTTTGATATGGATAACATTTTTATGTCTATGTTTATTGAAAGAATATCACATGAACACTGATGAATTTTTTTTCATTTTCTTGTTTTTAGAAAAAAAGTAATTTATATAAGTAAAAAAAGAAATAGGATTAGGTATTGATAGATTTTATGAAACAAAATAATAAAAACGTGATTTACATGAGTGTTATATTAGATATGAGTTGTTTTTGACCAGTGGGCTATTTGTTTGATGGTTTTGTAATCACTTTTATCGTAAATTTTACCGCTATCAAAATTTTACCAAAAATATTTTGGATATTTAGGCATTAATCTAAGATTAATTATACACAGCGCTTTTGATATCGTTTAAAAGTGATATCGTAGACCAAATATTCTTTCCGGCATCCAATTTATATTAATATTATAAATACAAAAGTTTTAGTTCAGTTTTAATTAATTTTGTTATAAAAATAGATTACTCATTGCAGAAAGAAGTGACATGAAGTATTTTTAATTACGAAAATATACTTTAAAACTCCAAAGTGTAAATAAATAATAAAAATTTATTTGTTAGGGTTTTGTGCTGTCACGCTGGACAAAACCGCACCGCGTTTCCAAGTACCAAATATACACAACGCGTATTTTTATATTATATTATATTGTAAATGTTTTATGCATTTTTCCACACACTTTTGACGTTTATAGTGCACAATTTTACAAAAAGGACTTTCCGCATCTCCGCACATAATTTCACGCGCCCTCGATGCTGTTCCACACAGCTGTCGCAGCTGCTACTTGCACTCGATATTTATTTATGACATTTTATTCGGGAAATATTTATATTTGAAGTTATCGCTGGTACATTCCAATACAACCCAAATCCCTACTAATATTATAAATACGAAAGTCCTGATGTTTGTTACACTTTCACGCAAAAACTACTTAACCGATCATCATGAAAATTTGTACACATATTCTTAGTGGTCCCCGAATGGTTATAGGCTACTTTTTATTTAATAAAAAAAAAATATTTTTTAAATAAAATAAAGAAATTGTTTAGCCAATAATACCTCTGCATTTGGCTATTTGACTACTTTAACGCCATCTAGCATTCCAGAAATGAAGCTCAAACCTAAGTACTATAGTACCATCACACTGTATTATCACACTGTATTACCGACAGCTACGTCAACATCAAATCCAATTGACTTCACTATGGAGACTGTACACTATACTTCCATAGACTATACTTTCAGCCATTTTAAACTTCCCGCCATTCTACTTCATTGTTACTTCTTCTGTGACTACAGACGCGTACGGAAGCAACTTCATTATTTTAGATATTCGCGAGCGAAGCCGCGGGCTAAAGCTAGTGATATCATAAAATGACAATGTTTAAATCAACTTTTAAATATCCACCCCCAACCGCCAAAAATTTTGCGCATGCAACGAAACAGAATAATGGAATTATGAGAATTACAGAATGCTGGCAGTGGATTAAAGGGGGAAATCAGTCGGATATTTGCGGAAATTAGCGTGATTTGCATAGCCATTACGTCCACCATTCAACAAATCCTCGCGCAGCCCTTAAACTAAAACCGAGTGCATCCGAAAGTTTACATCAAGAGCAAAGAGCAGAGGGCAAGCTAACATTCCACCCAAATAAATGCAAATTTTCACCGCACTGATCCTCCGCTGATTCTCCGCCATTAAAGTTTATTCAAGTTAATTTAGATATCACAGAGTTTCCTCTACACTACACTTCACACCATGTCCTGTTATAGTGGATCCTAGCTCATCCACCTCTGCGAGTCAGTCTAGACACTCCAAAATGGATGAAATTAGTTTATTATGATGTTTAGTGCTGGAAGTTAATGCAAATATACAATCTCCCGGATTAATCTAATAGATATTAAATAAAAACCGAAGTATACTCAGGGGAAATTCAACTACGACCGCAAAATTCAACAATTTCTACCCGTATCACCGTTTTTTTTTTCAATGATAGCATTTTTTCATGCCTGTTCGCAGTGGTAAAAGCGGATTTTGCACCCCGGGTGATTTACGCTCGCGATTTATAGGCGCATACGTGATTTTCATCCGCGTCGTGCGTGGGAGGTAGGCGCAGGGTAAAAGGATGTGCCTTCAAGCGGGCGTTTTTCTCTGGTTGTTTGAACTCAATCGCATTTTTCGCTTTGTGTTCCAGTCGCTGTGGTGGTGGCGTTCTTCATCTGCTGGGCGCCGTTTCACGCGCAGCGTCTCTTCGCCGTCTACAGCGACGGCCGCTCCGACAACATGATCTCCGCGTACCGCATCCTTAACTACATCAGCGGCATTCTCTACTTCCTCTCCACGTCCATCAATCCTTTTCTTTATCATATTATGTCGCATAAATTTCGCGAAGCTTTTAAGGTAAGCGAATAACACACTCAATACTTAGATTGATAATAAAATTGATGTTACGGAAAAGTTTTAAAATTATCATTGATAAAATTTGGTTTAAATTAATTATTATCTAAATTTAATTTATGAATATTGATGTTTTGATGAAATGATGAATGATATTCTAAATTTTATTTTTTTAAATTATATTATTATAGGCAACCAAATAAACATTTCATTTATGCATTATGTAATGTTGGTTGCCTAAACTTAAATTGAGAGTGGAATATCACGATCACTGATTATTATTTCCTGCAACAAGATAAAGTTGTAAATAATAATTATTTGAGATTTTTGTGTTTTTCAATGCACATAATAATGAAATCCCCTGTAATTACAAACAATGAGTAATCACGAACAAAGTAACAATATAATCAATCATCTCTTTAGAGATAATTACCGGAATAAAACGGTGATGGTATAATTGTCTATTTCAGGACACATTCAAGGGCTGCCTGTGCAGGTCACGCCGCGCCAAGGGCAGCCGTTGTTATTCCACGTTATCAGGGCGCTCCTCGCTGATAAACAGCCACAGCAACACGGACTCGTGCAGCCGGCAATCGTCCCTGCGTTATCTCGAAGCCGAAATGGCTCGCCTACACGACTCAAAGCGACCCCTTGTCGTCTCTTTCAAGCGCAAAAAGTCCGCCTTTCCGAAAAAACCCAAACAAGTCACCATCCTCGACGCCGAGCTGCAGGAAGCGCTAGATAACTTGAACGAGGAGTCGATGCGCACCGACCTTTTCGAAAAGGTGCGTCAGTGTGACGCGAACAACGAGATCAAAAACTTCCTTCGCACCAGCGGACGAAATCACAACCACAATCACAATCACGAGAAAGAAACACGCGCGAATAGTCTAGGCAGTATAGGAAATGATTATGAAGCGGTAGATTTTGACCTTTCCGAAGGCACTACTGAATTATCTTATGTCGAAGTACATAATTTAGAACCCACACATATTTGCCCAGTGAGTGGCAGCAGGTGCGGTGTAGTAGGCTGTTGTTATCTTAAGAAATTCGCGGAGACTAGTATGAAGGAGAAGTATCGACGTGCGAAATTAGAAAAACTCAAGCGTAGCAGAGGGTGCAAAGTCACGTGGAATAACGAGTTGACCAAGTCGTCGACGATGCCGCAGATTGTCAAAGAAATGGAAGCAGGTGAAGCAGATGCAGGTGATGAGAATGCTAAAGTTGAAGAAGTCAATCTGCTCCCGGTGGTGGTGAGTCGACGTGACGAGCGGAGCAATTCCTGCTCGCAGCTTGAATTTCGCAGTGTGCATATGACAATTCCAATTGCAGAGATGCATCCAGCTATGCCACAAAATACAAATCATGAGAACAATATTATACCAGTTACGTAATACGTCCAATTATTTTATTTCATAACAAGCCAGATGAATATAAAAATAATATATATGGGATATTATTATAGGCAACCACCTAAACACTTCAAAGGTTACACTTTATTAATGCAGTGTAATGTTGGTTGCCTAAAAAGTTAAACTTTGCAAATAATCTATAAATTTAAGACTAAATGTTTTGTACAAACGTTATGGTTCCTAATTCTAGTCATGCTAAGCATAAAAGAAAAGATTTGTGATAATGTGATACGTAGCAAAGAGAATTATCGATTTGAATCACAAAACCCCCGATATGTGTACGAGTATTAACGTATAAGTAATGTAAGTACCTGAAAAGAAGACAAGTCACCTTAAAAAATGCAGAAATTTTATTATTATATAAATGTAAGTATAATCTTGTATAAACAAAAGTGTACTGTAATAATTGTGATAACCTATTTTAGAGCAGTTGATTTATATAATTATAATAGGTTATGTTTGTAAATTATGATGATGGCATTTTTTCGCACAATTTAATTAATTTATCACTTATGTGGGACAGACAAGGCCAAAGCAAGCCAACTTTAAGCAAATATTATTTGCTTTAGACATTATTTAATGTTCACACAAAACCTGTTCACAAATAAATGCATCGTTTTATCTTATCTGCTTTCTAAAAATTCACGTCTGGCTGCGGTTGGATGTTTTTCGGCCATACCAACAACATTTTTAATCGTTGGAAGTGTCAGTAAACACTCAACCTCGGTGCAAACTGGTCAAGTCATAAATTTTATTTAAAATGAAGAAGTTTCCGGATAATTTTAAGTTTGGTGTTGCTACATCCGCGTATCAAATAGAAGGTGCATGGAATGAAGATGGTAATAACTACAAAATGGCCATGGATAGCGTTAATTTACATTAAATTTTTATTTTTATTTTTATTTTTGTTTTAATTTTTATTTAGGTAAAGGTGAATCTGTCTGGGATAATCAATGCCACACTTTTCCTGAAAAAATCGCTGATAGAACCAATGGTGACATCGCTTGTGACTCCTATCACAAAATGGACGAAGATATTCTTAACCTAAAACGTCTCGGTGTGCATTTCTATAGATTTTCCATCGCGTGGACTCGGATTTATCCAACCGGGTTGCCTAATGTTATCAATCAGAAAGGTATAGACTACTATAACTTGTTGATTGATAAATTGATCGCGAATAACATCGAACCATTGGTCACGATTTATCATTGGGACCTACCTCAGAAACTGCAAGAGATTGGAGGATGGACCAATCCTATAATGGCGGATTATTTCGTGAGTTATGCACGGATTTGCTTCAAATCTTTTGGTGATAGAGTTAAAAAATGGATCACCATCAATGAACCTTATCAGATTAGTGAATATGGTTATAGTTATCCATTGTTTGCTCCGTTTTATAAGTTTACCGGTATTGGGTGTTACTTAGCTGGACATAATGTACTGTTGGCACATGGGAAAGCATACCGGATGTATGAAAATGAATTCAAAAGTAAACAAGGTGGAAAGGTAGGGATTGTCAATGAAGTTGCATGGACCCAGACTGAGACTGGTAAAAAAGAAGATGAGGAAGCTGCGATAAGATACAGGCAAATGTATGTAAGTAGTCATTAATCAAATATTCATAAACATAACCAAAAAACAGAAAAAATTAAACATAATATAACATAACCTTAATTAATACCTATTTATTTTTATTAGTTTGGTTGGTTTGTTCATCCTATCTTCAGCAAAGCCGGAGATTATCCTCCGATAATGCGTGAACGTATTGATAGGTTAAGTAAAGAACAAGGTTTTGATTATTCACGCCTCCCGAAGTTTACACCGGAAGAAGTGGAGATGCTACGTGGATCTTCTGACTTTTTGGGTTTCAATCATTATAATACTTATCTAGTAAAATCTGAACCGTATGGTCAGAGACCTTCGGTTCAACATGACCGCGGTGTTAAGAATTACGTGGATGAGTCGTGGATACCAACTTCCGCTTATGATTTCCGTGTTACTCCTTGGGGATTGAAAAATGTACTTAAATGGATTAAAGAGGAATATGGTAATCCGGAAGTAATGGTTTTGGAAAACGGATATGCTGGTTTCGCGAATGATCCTATAGAAGATTTTGCTCGGATTGATTTTATGAAAGGTTATATTGGAGCTGTCCTGGACGCCATCTTGGAAGGTTGTAATGTAACTGCGTATACTGTATGGTCTTTTATGGATAATTTTGAATGGAGTTCTGGATATTCGTAAGTTAAAGTTATATAATATTGTAAATACATGTAACTTTATTTAATTTAATGTTTGTCCTCTAGGTGTCGTTTTGGATTGTTTCATGTTGATTTCAATGATCCGAAAAGAAAGCGTACTCCAAAACGGTCAGCGTATTACTATCAAAATTTGATTAAAACTAAAATGGTTACGGATATCAAACCGGAAAGTTTTGATCATAACCTTTAAATTTAAATTACTCTAGACTCACTTAAATATATATTTCTTTAGTTTAGTTTGCTTTTTAGTAATTACACAACAAAAACAATATTGTTATCTTGTTGGTGATTTATAACATTGTTCAAATATTGCAACTATAACTATCTGGTTGCAATGTGGAATATTTTAGTTCTTTGCTAATTTGCGTTAAATCAAAATGGCGAAGCCTACAACGGTTCATTTTCCTATAAACTTCAAGTTTGGTGTTTCTACATCAGCGTATCAAATCGAAGGCGGTTGGAATGAAGATGGTAAGCAATCAAAATAACACATTATAAAAATATTACAAATTTTGTATTTTTAGGTAAATCTGAATCCATCTGGGACTATTACACCCACACTTTTCCCCAACGCATCGTAAACCTCACTTCCGGTGATATCTCCTGTGATTCCTACCACAAATTCGAAGATGACATCGCAAACATCAAACGTTTAAAAGTTCAATTCTATAGATTTTCTATTTCATGGTGTAGAATACTCCCTACAGGTCATCCGAATAAAATCAACCATGCTGGTATAGATTACTACAACCGTTTGATCAATGCCCTGATTCAAAACAACATTGAACCAGTTGCGACTTTGTTCCATTGGGATATACCATTAAGCATCAACAACTTAGGAGGATGGTGTAACCCAATCACTTCTGATTACTTTGCGAGTTACGCCAGGGTATGCTTCCAACATTTCGGAGACAGGGTCAAAACATGGATCACCATCAATGAACCTATTTTGATTGCTATGCGGGCTTATGGCGGTGCACAACTTGCCCCGGCGTATGATTCCAAAGGTATCGGGTCTTATCTATCAGGACATGGAGAATTATTAGGACATATGAAAGCATATCATATTTACGATAAAGAATTCAGAGCTATACAAAAAGGTAGGATTGGTATTACGAATGACGCCAGGTGGGGTGAACCAGCCACCCAAACCCCGGAAGATATTGAAGCTGCGGAAAGATACATGCAAATGGATCTAGGATGGTTCGCACATCCGATATTTAGTAAAGAAGGAGATTATCCTCTCATCATGCGGGAACTTATTGATACCGCTAGTAAAATCAAGGTTTTGATCAATCCCGTTTACCAAAATTCACTCCTGAAGAAATACAACTTCTTAAAGGTAGTTCTGACTTTTTGGTTTGAATCATTACAACACCGTGGCTGTAAAACATGGAAACACTGAGGTACCACCAACGAATGAAAACGATATCAATTGTACAACCTTCTACGACCCATCGTGGAAGACCAATGGAAGTGATCTCTTTAGAGTTGTACCATGGGGATTCAGGAAGTTATTAAACTGGATCAAAATGAATACAACAATCCGGAAGTTATTGTTTTCGAGAATGGATTTGCAGGTAACGATACAGAAACACTGAATGATATCGACCGCATTGATTATATGCGATCATACATGGCGGCCATGTCCGACGCCATCTTGAAAGACAACTGCCGGGTGACAGGATACACCTTTTGGACTTTGATGGATAATTTCGAGTGGCAAGATGGATACACGTAAATATTAAACATAAAATGAATATTTTTCTATAAAAAATAATTTTTAGGGTTAAGTTTGGTTTGCATCATGTTGATTTCAAAGACCCCAACCGTAAACGCACACCAAAACGTTCCGCGTTTGTTTATCAGGATATAGTAGTCACCAGGTGTTTAACAAACCCAATTCCTGATCGTTTTCTTCATTAAACTATCAATTCTAACGCAGTACAAATCCGTAAAATATATATAATCATAATATAACGGTAGTATATGTATAAAATTGTAATTTGTTTGATCGAATGTCTATTGAGGTTACTTGTACTTCCGCTTGCGATGCCGGAAGCTAACAAAGCCATCATTATGATCGCTCTCTTTGTCATTCTCGTAGAGCGGGTAAACAGGCGGATGTTTTAACCTTCCCAATGGTAAAATAGGCGCTTTTCCCAGTTGACTTATCGTTGCAGCTGAAGATGACCGCAATTCTTTACCTTCTATCGGTGGTAAGACAATAAATTCTGAACTAGACTTCAACGGTTCAGTTTTAGATGATTTTCTTCTTGTATTCGACCCTGGTGTACCAAAATAATCATTTTTCCTTGCCGGAAGTGGTTGAAATCATGCACATCCTTCAACCAATCTGAAGTGCGACCGGTACAATTAGTATTTGATTTTTCCCTTGGATGGGAAGGTTTAAAAGATTGTCTTCGGTTTGAAGAGTGATTATTGGTGATAACAGGTGCTAGTTGGAGAAAACTCTGATCGGCAATGTTGATAGTCCTTGGATTAATGGTGTTGTTAATGGCTAGGTACTTGTTTGTATACGTAGTTGTAGAATGTGTAGGTAATTGATTTTTAAGCGTTGTAAACGACTCGAGTTGATCGAGAATATTATCAACTGGGGAATTTTTCTTCGCTGGAGTTGACGGAGTTGTATCACAGAATTTTGGTGTTGAGATTTGTTCCAATGTATCATAAGGTGATGTTTTACGGTATTCTAAAGATGATGTACGACTAACCAAACTGAAATGAAAGTTTTTAATTTAATTTAATTGAAAAGTGCATTGCAGCGCCATCTTGTGGCATATTTTACTAACCTTAAAAGCGGAAATGTTTTTATCCATAATTTATATTCTTCTTTATCGTAATTAGCGGGAATAGCTTCGCGACATTGTAAAACTCGTTCCATACGATCGTATTCAGCTTTAACTAATTGTGTGCTATCATTTTCGTACTCTTCGTTCCAACTGTTGTAACTTTCGGCGCTCATTGACTTTACACTGTCCTCTAAATTGCGAATTTCATCCAATACTTTTAAAGTATCAACTGACGAACAGGAATTTCGCGATTCCTCGTCGCTTGATTCATTACCGGACTCTTCAACTGCCGAGTCCAAATTCCAGTTGCTTCTTCTCGTTCTCGTTCTGGTTGTGTGCACCAACTTATTCAATTTCGGTGCGAGCGGCACAATTTCCGCAATACCGGAATCAGCTGTCGTTGTCGTCCCCGCATTCTCAAACAATTTTCCATTTGTCTGCGTATTCACTCTCGTTGTCGTCGCGTTGAAATTGTTACTCCATTTTGCGACGGCGTGAATTTTGGTGCGAATATTGCGATTCCGCAGCCTGGACATTGTCGATATGCGCGCCGGAATGAAAACAGTACCGACGAGAAGGTGCGAAAGGCGCGTGTTTACCCGCACGACATGCCGAAAGTGAAAATATTGATTGCTTCAAAAAAATAATCAATAATCGCGCTCTACATTTCACCAACGTCGGAAAAAATATTGTACAGTTATAAAAACTGTTAATTTAATACGTATATAATGTGTTTAGTAATTTAATGGCTCTTTTAAACATGTTTTTAAACATTTACAACATTTGCGGTGTTTTTGAGTCGAAACAAACAGTTTAAATTGAATCCAGCGCGGTTGTGTTTTGACTTTGTCAGTACCCGCAGGCAAAATGACAGATTTGATGTGTAGCTATCGCGCAAACCAAATCAGTTTCAATTTTAATTTAAAAATAACCACAAAATGAAAGCATATATCACAAAATTCTATTAAGTAATAAATTATTAAATCATTTACCTTTATTATTATATATTTATCTCGCAGTATTATACTATTTTAATAGTTAAACTTTTGTGTTAAAGACACATCACCGGAAGTGTCACATCACCCTCGAACTAGTCGTCAGTTGTCAGTTGACGTACAACGTCCGACGCTTGACTGTGTTTGTATTCAAATTTCAAACGCAAATTCCAATCAAATAAAGCTTAATTAAACCCAAATTCAACTATTAGTATCTTCATAAAGCTTTATTAATGCACTACAATACGTTTTAACTCAGAATTCAAGTTGGTACGTGTTAGAAATCGTATTTTTCAGCGCTGCGCTCACTGCAGTCGTGTGCGTGCGAGTGTGCGATGCTGATTGGATGATACGCCGCAGTCGAGGTTGAATGGTGACACGGGGCAGGCCACTCTCTAGTAACAACGGCGCCACGGCGAAGGGGATAACACGCACGCTACGCGCACCGTATAAAGGGAGCCAGCCACCACTAGGATTAATCAAACACTGTGATCTACTTAGCAAATAAAATTTGAAGGAAACTAAACCAACCAACACAACGTGTAAGTACCACACATACGCACACTCCACCCGTTCAGGGCCCGCATTCGCATTGTTGTCATACGTGTTGGAAAACATACGCGAAATTATCGCATCGCAATTCGCGTCTTGCAAATGAAACTCTCGCTCATCATGCCAACGCACATCCTCACTTTCATAATCATGATTAATAATTTGTACGTGGACCACTATTGTGTACAATGCCGCGTCATTTCTTATGCCCTCACCTTGAGTTGTACTCAAGTCCAAGTCATCAAAAATATTCGATGAAAATTACCAGCCGAGAGGCTCGACACCAAAATAAATTAAGTTCCGTCAGCGACCTGGGCTCAGTTAGACTTTACATCTCTGATAGTTTTTTATGTGCTGTTGATTTAGTGCGTGAAATTATTCAATTAATGATAATCTTAAGTATTAACAAACATTTTTAATCAAACAGTCAAGTTTTACTGCAAATCAGCTGAGTCATTTCTCATTACTGAATTCACATAATTGCACATTAGATTAAATCACTGTGATTGTACGGCGGGCTTTTAACATTCATGTGTTGATAAAATATTTATCAAGGTGAACACACACAAAACTAGTTGTTATGTTGTTAAAATTTGTACTAATTTGTGATTTTCTTTTGTTTTAGAGTAAAAATGTTTATCTGGGATTGGTTTACGGGAGTTTTAGGATATTTAGGTGAGTTACAGATGGTGTTGACAAGTTGGAGGAGAGAATTTTGATGAGTTTTAATTGTTTTTGGTACAAAACAAGCTGAAATTGCTTGAAATTTCATCAATTCAATGAACTGAAAACATTTTAAGTGTTTTTGGTTAGTATAATGCTGAAATTTTGAAAGTTTATTGAAGAATATGCTTTTTATTGATTGTTTAATGAGTAACAGGTTGAATATTCGGTAAAAATCTTGTAGATTTAGTGAAAAAACACTTTTATTGCCTAAAACTTTCAATAAACATACAAAAATATTCAAAATTTGTATTTGTGGAAGACTAATTTCAATATTTGAGGTTATTTTGCTTAAAATGAACAATTTTAAGTAAAACTACTTGATTTTGATTCAAAATATAACAAAACTTGTTCAAAATGCGTGAAATCTGAAGTTCTTATGAATAAATCACTCCTAAATCAGTAATTTAGCCAATTCTGAACTTAATTGACTCTGAAACATGAGTTTTTCTGTCTATATAAAGGTTTAAAACGCAGAGGTCGTTACGCCTTCTGCGGCTATGCGAATTCAGGCAAACGCCAGCTCATCGCAGCCTTATACGAAGAGAATGCTGCAATTGATGCAATTCCCGGTGAGTGCCGCCGCTGACCAGATACTAATCGCATGTACTTGTTTGTTTCACGCCTTTGTGTCCATCCTCGCGCGCTGGTAGGCTTGTGGAAGAAGTCCGGCAAGCTGCTGTTCCTCGGCCTGGACAATGCCGGCAAGACGACGCTGCTACACATGCTCAAGGACGATAGGCTCGCCCAGCACGTACCCACATTACATCCCAGTAAGTTAATCCTAGAATACAACTAACATGTCAAAGGCTAATATTACGTAAATAATATTTACATGTCCCACTAATAATGAAGTTCAAATGAATGAATGTTTTAAGTTTAAGTTGAAACATTGTATTTCATCATTTTCTGATTTTTAATATTTTAGCATCCGAGGAATTGTCCATTGGAAATATGAGATTCACCACATTCGATTTAGGCGGACACACTCAAGGTAAATATGGAGTTTTATATTATAGTTGTGGATAATTAATGTCCATATGCGTGTTTTTGTTGCGCAGCGAGACGAGTATGGAAGGATTACTTCCCTGCGGTGGACGCCATTGTTTTCTTGATAGACGCCTACGATCGCAACCGCTTCCCCGAGAGCAAAAACGAGCTCGACTCGCTGCTGACGGACGAGACGCTACTCAACTGTCCGGTGCTCATTCTCGGCAACAAGATTGACATGCCAGGCGCGGCGTCCGAGGACGAACTTAGGAACTTCTTCTCGCTGTATGGCGTGACAACGGGAAAAGTACGCAAAACATAATTATACCCAATACAAAATGATATTTATCTAATTGTGTGTTTGTTTTGTGCAGGGAAAAGTAGCAAGAAATGAATTGCAAGGCCGTCCGCTGGAGTTATTTATGTGCTCCGTACTTAAGCGGCAGGGCTACGGCGAGGGCTTCCGCTGGTTGGCGCAGTACATCGACTGAACACAACCGATCCGATAACCAAACACCTCTCCCTGAAAATGTTGAACACTATCTTCTACACACAGAAACCGAAACAAAATAGAGCCACACTTTCCGAAAGCCATAATCTCCTACAAAAAACAGCAGAAAAACACACACAAGAGACAAAAACAAGCGAAACCTAGAATTAGCGGTACTTTAATATTACATTACTATTAATAAAATAATTTAAACAAACGTGGAACATTTAAAAACGATGCAGCCAACAGCCAAAAGGAAGAATGACAAGAACGTGACAGTAACACAGATATATACAAAAACAAAACTTATTTATTGATTGTAAAGGGTATAATAAGCCGATAAGTAACTCTAAACTTTGAAAAATTTAACATTTAAACACGATAAAAACGAGAAACTTGATAATTGTACTATTGAAGTGATGGAATTTCGTGGAACACGTTGATATTTTATGTAATTTGATGTTCGAAATCAGTTTCCTAGCGCTGCGCAGGATGAGATGGCGGATTTTATGCTCGCACAAATAAATAAACCATCAATTTGGTCTCGTCACGGACGTCGCCGACACGAATTCTCCCAATGATAAGCGATGTTTGAAGTGCGCATTGTGCGATTACGTAAGCGGGCCTTGAATCAATCGGAATTATGAATATATGAATGAAATTTGTTCATGAATTCGTGAAGGCTCGTGCTCTTTACAGTTATCTGTTGTAAGTTTGGTTTTAACTGAAAATGCTGCAACCTTGAACATTGCTTTCTCGTTTCACGTAAAACTTATGCAAATTCCTGTTGATAAACGCAGCAAAATATTGGGAGAGTCCTTGAAATTGAAACGATTTCGAACGTTGAACGCAGGTTTTTTTTTTTCTGTTGATTAGCATTTGCTGAACAAAATGAAAAGACGATATTTTTACGTTTGCATTTATTTGTGCGTCTCTGGTGCATCTTGTACAACCCCACAACTGGTGAGTTTGAGTTTGATTTCTCTACAGAGTCGAAATGTTTTTGTTTTTGTCTTCGGAACAAACGCAAACTTTTGTTAAAAACAACAATAAAAGCTTTATATATAAAGTAAGGCTTTTATTTACTATATTTACAAGAGCTTACAACGATATTTATTATAATTTTATAGTTGTACTAGAATTTCAAGGGGAGATCTTTTTGGATGAAATTTAAAGATTTTCCTAATAAAATCTTTAGTTTTCACCTAAATACCTTAAGATTTAAAGATGAAACTATTGTTTTGAGCATTACTTCAGTGAAAATCATACAAAAAGATAAATTATTTTTAAATGTGAAAAATTAACAAAACGGCGATGTATAACAGGATATCATCAAAGTTTTAACATTTAATAGTTCAAATTATTAACATTTTCATCATTTTCGAAGTTCCCTTAGTAATTTACATTTTTTCTAATATTTACTTACCTTTTCCAGGTATTCTTTCATAATCAGGTCTGTGTGGAAATGTTTCCATGCCTTTTGCCATTGGAGTCATCTTCCCACCCTTGGCATCCACCTCAATGGCATTGTGCTTCTTCATTTCCATCAACGCAACGCTTTTCATGACTTCATCCTCACTGGGAGGCAACTTGCGTCGCCCTCTCAGCCATGCTTCCCATTCTGCTGGCATTTCTTGATCAAAATTATCCTTCATTGTGGGTTCAAACCATCTGTTAGTGCGGCGTTTGCCGATGCTTGATCTGCAGGTATTTCGTAATATTTATTACCGAAATAATCCTTGCCAATGAGCGTTCCGCGGATTTGTCGCGGTTTGATTGAGTTGATAAAGTTGTTGATTATCATCATTATGATGCTTCTGGATGGTGGTTGGGCCATAACCAAAGATAAAAATCAAACAATTGAATAATTTGATTATAGAATAATCTAAAATCAAAAATATTTAGTTTAGTTAAGGTATTAGAGGTAGATACAGTTATATCTCACTGTTTCGAAGAAAATTGTTGAAAACTTTCTAGAAAATTTAATATTTGACATTAAGGACTTACCTATGCCCTTGAGGGAGGTATTTTAAGTACTTTGAAGTGTGCGCTGCGTAAATAAATAGGAATATTATTGGTATAGCTCAGTTAAGGTAAATAACTAGTTGATAATGGTTAATATTCAAGAATATTTTGTTAATCTTGTGATGGAATATTATTTAGATTTCTTTGGTGTATTTTTGGTTGCCTATATTGAAACATCAATGTAATATTTAACTTGATTGTCAAACATTTTCATTTGCGGAAAAAATCCAATTTATGATTTTACAACTATAAAACTAAAACTAATTTTTATTTAGTAAATAAAAATTGAAAATAGAGTGAAAATATGTATAAATACATTTGGTAATCAAAAGTTGTTAAAATCAATATTTTATTAAATTTAAAATTGGCATGTTATACAATTATATTTACACATTTATCATACACAATAGTATATTTTTGTTTGTTAAATATTGTTTAATATAACTTTTGATAAATATTTAAATGTATGCGCATGCGTATTTAATGCCTGTAATTCTCAGGCGTGGTTGAATGATAAAATCGTGGAAAGCAGCGAGCAGCACCAACCTCACCGAGAGCGGAGCGCTCGTCGCGCTGCGATGCGGGAGTCGAGCGCAGTTAAAATTGGCATGGCTGACCACTTGGTAGATGTGTAGAGAGTGCTGTCGTCGGTGTCGGTTTCGGTATCGGTCCGCGTTTTACCTGCAATTTACGCCCGCGATCGCGCCTGCCGTCCGTCCGAAACAAGTGCGCGTCGCGGCGCAAACCACCACACGCGCGTAAATCATCGCCAGCCATCTCATCCGCCGCGTGTTAAGCTTAAGCTGCGCAATCGATGTGAGGAAACGACGAGCAAGAGGTCGAGACAGAGAATTCTTGCCGTCGTCCGCGGGTGCGAGTGCGAGGACGCGGATGTGGGATTCGGGACTCATACGTTCAAGGAATATTCGTCGCCATACGGGCACCGGATGCTCCCGAGACAAATGATCAGGTAACAACACAGCCACAGCCACACGCCTTTGATGACCATCGTTCGTGGGTTCGAGTTTCGGGGAACCGAAGGTGAAAGAATCTCAGTCTCGAAGCTAGAAAACAAGTGCATGACACTTTCACGCACACACGCAAACACCGTGTGCGAGTGGTTGTGATTTCATTGATAGCGATAACAGTCAAATCCGAAGAATTCGCCAAGTTTACACCTCACGCGGTGCGATTAGGTGCGGGAAAGGTTTGCGTTTAAAAGGTGGCATATATCGCGTATGCAAATGTGATTTGGTAATGCGCAACTTGGACAGGTTGTTGGCCATAAACTTGGACAACAGACGCGACGGGCCCCGACGACGTCTTGCACGTACTAATAATAACGAGGAGCGCTTTGACATGTATCCGTTTTGCGTTTAAATGCAGCGGCTGGCGCATATTTTACTTTCACATTCAAACAAACGACAAACGCCTCGCGAAAGCCTTACATTCCTGCTATTTTTATCGATAAAATCAGCAGATTACAAGCGTAAAACTCTTATCGCGCATTGGGTATTTTCTTAAACAATGTACTACACCGTTTTTATCAGGTATCAACTTGTATAATGCGTAAATCAGCAAATAATCCGTTGTTAATTGATAATTACTAGTTCTGGTTTTGGTTGTACATTTAAAACGCAAAAACAGTGTAAAGTAAATACAACGCATTCCATTAGGAAAAGTTTCGTCGTCGTGGATTTCGATGCGTGTCGGATGATGCGACCAGCTCTCTTCTCGAATGTTTACAAATCAATTAGATGCATAACTAATTAGCATTAGCATGTTGGACGTCGCGCGGAATTTCAATTTTAGGTGGCAATGCGATGAGAGGAGGCGTGATTTTAACATTTAGAGAAATGTTTGCACAAGTTGCCATTGGTAGATGTTTAACGCGTTGTATTTAGAGAGTTTTCTTATCAGTATGTGTGTACAGGAAGTGTTTCAACCACAATTTACTAATATGCATATATTTGTCTTGTTTTTGCAGTGGCAATCGAATATTCGTCGTTTATTTCCACACATCATCAAAACCCGATCAAAATGTGATTGTCACATGATGTGATCAACGCCACTCTTCAATCACTTTTATCATCAACACCCGCAAACTATGTGAAGAGTGTAATTTTAGTGTAAACACAAAAGATTTAAATAAATTCACGCAGAATTTTTGAGGTGAAAAGACATCAAAATGTCTTTTTGAATAATATAAAGAAAGTCCTCCATTTGGGAGGCAACGATGCCAAGAAGAAGAAAGTCTACTCCAATGTACGGCAGGATCTGGATCCTGAAGAGTTTTGGGACATGATTGGCGTGTTGGGTGATGGAGCATATGGCCAAGTGTACAAGGCGCAGCATAAACAGACCGGTCAACTGGCGGCCGCGAAAATGTGCCGTTTGGATGGTGAAGATGACATGGCCGATTTCATGATCGAGATTGATATCCTCTCGGAGTGCAAGCATCACAATATCGTCGAGATGCACGAAGCCTTCCAGCTGGGTAATCAACTTTGGATGTTGATTGAGTATTGTGATGGTGGTGCGCTGGATAGTATCATGACCGAGCTGGAGAAGCCGCTCAACGAGGCGCAGATTCAGTATGTGTGCCAGCAGATGACCACCGGGTTGTTGTTTCTGCACAAGGCGCATATTATCCATCGGGACCTCAAGGCGGGCAACGTGCTGCTGACGATGGCGGGCGGCGTTAAACTCGGTGAGTACAATTGACCTTTGCGTCCGTCAATCTTCGTCAATTTGTCGGGTTGTGATAGCATTACGTAATAGGAATAGTTGGAATGATGGTGATTCATTGAGTGTGTGAGTGTGTGTTTGTTACTCACGACAATGCGGTTATGGATATAAATAGATGGGTTTATTGAGATAAATGTTCAAGGTCATTTGGGAATTGTACTTTTACTGATTTGTGTTTTTCTTTTTTTTTTCTTCAGCTGATTTTGGTGTTTCTGCGAAGAATAAAAGTACTATGCAGAAGCATGACACGTTTATTGGGACACCGTACTGGATGGCGCCTGAAGTTGTGCTGTGTGAAACCTTCCGCGATAATCCCTACGACTTTAAGGTGGATATCTGGTCGATGGGTATTACGCTAATTGAATTCGCACAGATGGAGCCGCCGAATCATGAAATGTCACCGCTGCGCGTCCTGCTGAAGATCCAGAAGTCCGACCCGCCGAAACTGGAACAACCGTCGAAGTACTCCAAGGATTTCAATGATTTCCTCGCCCGCTCACTGATAAAGGATCCATCAAAGCGACCAACGTGTGAAGAACTGCTTAAACATCCGTTTATCAATTGCACCCTTGACGCCAAACCTATTAGGGATCTACTGCTAGAGTACAAGGCTGAGGTCGTTGAAGAAGAGATCACAGACGATGATGGAGAGGTAAAAGAATTGAATTTTTTGTTTTCTTTAAAACTTTTCTTAAGAGAACTTGAATTTCTTGTTTCTATTTTCACGCTTACTATGTTTGTATATGATTGGGGTTGGTTTGCGCGCAGAGGGGTAGAAAGAAACAGCGGAAGCATAAAGAGTTGTATCAGCGCATTGGTAAGTTATTTCGAAGGGCTAGGCGCACGTGACGCGCCCTGCACAGATGTGTGTCTTATTGTGACCACTCGCACGCGGTACACTCAAGAACGCACAAGTACAACGCCACGCATTTCGCGTGTTTTATGAATTACGTTTTTGTTGTGCATGCGGCTCACCGGGTCCCCCCGTACCTGGCATGCACGACGCACAGGTGAGATACGAGAATAACATCAAAATATTATTTCGATATTATTTCGTATTCTTTCGTTACTTAAATGAAAATGAAAACGTAGAAATTACATATGAATACGATACAATCTTCTTACTCTACTCTACTCTACTTTACATAGCTAATCATATTTGTGATGAAGTTGAAGTTCACGTTTGTGGGGTTTCCGAAGACGTTCAAATGTAAATTTTGTGTCGAAAATGATATATGTTGATTGCAATTGTGTTAGTTGTGTTCTTTTCTTTATTATACGTTTTATTGGAGTCGTTCCAAATGACGTCACACTTGATAGTTGTAGCACATTGTTCGTATAAACAAGAGTGCGAGTTGCATATCATCAAGACTGTTTGTCATTTGTTGTTTAAGGTCACGTATCTGTTACTACTCTATTATCTGTATTATTTTTCGTTTGTTGATTATGTCTTTTAATGTTTAGTATTTGATATCTTTACTAATGTGTTTGAATTTTTAGGACAACCGAATCTCTCACATCGAAGATGACGCGCATTCCGTGCGAAGTAATGAAATTAATGATTTGAAAGGTACTTGAGACACTACTGATTAAATTCCTTGGTTTTGATTGATTTGTTTTTTAGCCAATGATGATGTTGCCAAGCAAATACTTGACGTGGTTAAGGAAGAGGAAAAGAAGCAAGCGGAACAGGCTGAGAAGCGTAAACAACCCGCTGTTGTACCCACACCGGCGACTAACAACAATGTCGAAGTGGAAGAACCGAAAAAACCTACCACGGTATGTTATAAACAATTTTTATTTATTATTGAAATATTTTGACTTTAATAATTATTTATTTTAATTTTATACAGCCTGAAGTAATTGTTCCCGCTGTTGTGCCTGTCAAAAAGGAAGAAGTTCATCGAAAGACCTCCAGGGACAAAGGTCCCGCACCTCCACCTCCGGTTCATCAAATACCTTTACCGCAAGAAAAGGATAAAGAAACCGAGAAGGAGAGAACGAAGGAAAAAGCACCGCCGCCGCCTGTAGTGTTACCAGTAGCGGAAGTTCTGCCAACGCCGCCCTCTTCACCTAAATTTGATACACCACCAGCTACACCGCCCGCCGTGCCAGCACCTGTCCTCCCTGAACCACCACCACCTCCACCTATGGAAGTTGAAGTCGTGGAGGTTGTGAAACAGCCTGGACCACCTACAGCCACCAAACCGAAGTCTTCCAAGAGCCCCACGGCCAGTCCCACATCTCCTGTATCCAAGGAGATGCCAGAAGTAAAGAAGGAAAAGGTAATCACTGCTAGCAGTGACATCATGGAGGCCGCATTTAGTAAGATACTCAACGAACAAAAGGACGTCGTTGATGAGGTAGTCATTGAAAACAAAGACATTGGTGATATTGTCCTCGTATCTGATAACAAAATGACCTCGACGATTATCATCAACGACATGCCCGACTTGTCTAATAGTTTATCGTCGAATATTAGTCAGGTGACAGTGGTAACTACGCACCCGCCAGTCTTGGTCGACAATCGACCTGGGTCGAGACAAGCGTCACCTCAGAATAACGCGCCCGCCAATGAAGTGGTGATTGTGTCGAACCAGACGAACAAAACGCATCTTGAGTCGTCAGACGACGACTGCTATCCGTCCTTGGACTCGTTGGAATACCCACCACCTTCTGAATTCCGGGATAAGCCACTGAAGAAGCTAGACGAAAGCGAGGTACTGATTGTTGATTCAAATTATGTAATCAACGACTCGGGATTGGATGTCTCCGCGGATAACTCGCGATTATTAGACACAAGTCACGTGTCTGTTGTGAAAATCGACGAGGAGAAGGTTCAGGTGAAAGATTCCGCCTCGTTTAGGTATGATAATCACAGCCATATTCAAACGTCAACCAGCGACCTGTCTTCATCTTCCAAGGGTGGCAGTACAAGGAGCGATTATGGGGATGAGAAGAAACTGAACGGGCAGGTGGTGAACAATGGTAAATTTGACTTTGATCCGCATGATTCACGATCGAGTGATGCTGGATCGGTTAGGAGTAGTGATTCTAACCGCCGGCCACGTTCGGGTGCGAGTAACAGCAAGTCCGATGCGGAGAGTATCTCACTTGCAAGCCATGATAGCAACAATAGCTCAAAGGAGAACAAAGACGCCAACCGGCAAGATGTTGTACAAGTGCAACTGCGGCCGAAAGCACCTCATATTAAGACCAAGGAGGAAATTGCGCTGAATATCCTCAATCGTAAGACACGAAAACGCACCAGAAAGTTTATCATTGACGGTGTTACGATTACAACTACCACTAGTAAAGTAATCTACGGTGACGATGATAATACGATTCTGGATCCGCTTGCAGATCGAAAACAAGAACTGCGCGAGTTGAAGTTGTTGCAGAAGCAGGAACAGAAACAGTTCCAAGAGTTGGCAATGAAGGAAAAGGTTGCGATTGATTCGCAGGAGAAACGCTTCGAAACTGAGCGGTTAGGCTTGGAGAGGACGTACGAAAGTGATCTGGACATGCTGAGTAGGCAACAGAAGCTACTCATTGAACGGGCGGAGGCTCAGCAGGATAATGACCTGCGTGCTGCTTCGAAGAAAATCCGACTTGAGCAAGAACGCGAGTTGAAAAGTTTTCGAGAGGAGCTGAAACAGGAGAGTAGACTTTTGAAGGCGGAGATTGAACGACTACCCAAGGATCAGAGGAAGAGCGAATATAAATCGCGTAAGGATAGATTAGATGCGGTACATGCTGAGAAGGAACGCGCGTTCTTGGAGAAACTGAACGAGAATCATGAAAGTTCATTGCGGCGTTTGTCGGATTCACATCGGGAGAAAATTGCGCTGATGGAAAGACAGTTCCTTCAGCAGAAACAACAGTTGACCAGAACGCGTGAGGCTACCCTATGGGAGATAGAAGAGAAGCAGATCCACGAGAAGCATCAATTGGTTAAGCGGCAGTTGAAGGATATTTTCATTCTGCAAAGGCATCAAATGCTTGATAGACACGATAAGGAAATGGAGCAAGTTAAACGACGCGCTACAAAGAAAGAAGAGGAACTTATAAAGAAGCAGAATACCGAAAAGAGGTCATTGCCGAAACGCATCCGATCGGAGATGAAGGTGCGAGAGATGATGTTCAGGGAGTCGATGAGGATTTCAATATCGGGTGCCTCCGATCCTGAAGTGGAGAAAAACAAAATCAAAGAGGTTTGTTATTTAAAATTACAACGTTGTGTTTTTAAATAAAATATTTATGTCTTTTTTTTATTAGTTTCAAGAGAATGAAAAGAAACGTTACCAGGCCGAGAGCAGTCGTGCGGAACTGAAACACAAACGACAATTGGAGGAGCTGAGGGCGATGAGCGACACAACAATCAGGGAACTAGAGCAGCTTCAGAACGAAAAGCGCAAGTTACTCATGGAGCACGAGACGCGTAAGCTGAAGGAACGCGAGGAACACTTCAATCGCGAGCTGAAGGAATGGAAAGCGCAGTTGAAGCCTCGCAAACAGGTATGTCTTCGCCTAAATATCGCATTAACCACTAAAGTACTAACATCTACTAAAATCCTAAATAATATTTACCAAATTAACAACTCACGATCAAATAATACTAACAGTAATATAATAGTTTGTTGATTTTGGATATTTTGCTGAGTACTGAGGTGAAACTTGCAACCGCTAGAAATATTTACTTGCGCTGGCGCTGGTATGTAGGATGTTTGATGGTACTAATGATGAAATTGTAGCGAATAGAGGAGTTGGTGCGGCAGGAGATGCTCAAGGCGAAGTACGCCCGATACCTGCCGCGGTCGGTCATCCAGGGCTCGAGCGACAATCTCGCCTCGCCGTCATCGACGCCCGGCACACCTAGCTTCCCGCCCGCTTGCCAGGCGGCGGCGTTTAAGTCCGCCTGGGGTCACCAACGCTCATTCAGCACGAGCGTCGTCGCCGACCGCAGCAGCGTCTTCCTATCCGACAAAGACCTGAACTTGACGTCCAATTCTTAATCCGTCTGCATTTCTCTCCACAATCACAAAAATTATTCCACAGTTCTTTGAGTTTTTGTTTGTTCTTGATTTTGTTCGTTTTGTTATCCGCGAGTTTTTTGCTAATCATCTGTTACCCTGTTGCCCCATCATATGATTATTGTGTTTGTCCTATGATTCGTTTGCTCGTCGGAGTTTGTCATCAATTTACCACTAGGTGTTTGGTTCCTTTTATGTTCTCTCAATTAACGCTTGGTTGTTGGTGTGTTGCTCCCTTGCCCAATGTTATAATTTGTCTTCTAAACTAAATCACCGCTGTGCTATTCGCTTCAGATCCTACTTCAGTTCATTACTAATTGGAACTCAATGATCCAGGTTGGTTTCAGGCTTTTATCTACTTATGTATTTACTTTTTTTCACAATTTCACTAACGAGCTAGTACGCTTTCCACCGTTTCGAACTTGTTAGTCATGTTGTAGACATTCCGTGCCAGTTTCTCACTCTTTTATTTGTTTTCGCCGGCGTTGATGTGTTTTGTAATCTGTTTGTGTTTTTATAGAAACTGGAGGAGACGTTCAACGCTCAGCTGGACGAGCAGGAAAAGCTTTACGGACCGATTAGCGCGTTGGCGCTGCCATCCGACTTGAATTCGTCGGATTTCTCGCCGGAGGGTTCGCGCCACGGGCATGGTTCAACGCGGAGCAGTCTCTCTTCAGTATCCGAGGGATGAAATCAATTTGTGTGCAAGTTAAATAACAATTCGCATTTTGAGAGAGACTTAACGAATGAACTTTTAAACTAAGTGAAGAAGAAAATATGAAGGAAAGCAAACTAGTGGCTTATATTTACACTTTACACTGTTTTTTATTAGCAATGTTGTCATTATCAATTAAAATTGTTGCCTACACATTTTTGTACAACGCAAATGAACAATTTGTTCAGACAGAGTGAGAAAAGTAAGCACTCGAGACATATCAAGTAATCTATTGAAAATGATTTGTATTTGCCTAGAAATAGCAAGACGCACGAGTGGGGATGCAACACAACAAAACTAGACTGAAACAATTCGTAAACGATAGTGATACGCTTTTTATATTGTATATAAATAGTTACTGTCGGCCTGTATTCCTTGTTTACGATCGACACTAGTGCGGCTTGCGCTCACCGCGATTTGACGAATGAAAATATTCTTGTACAAATTGTAATATTAATTACTTTAGTCAGCGGATCGAGAAGTGCTTGTAAAGATCGTTATTATGTAAAACAGAGGAAGAACGAACGTAGAGACACTTCTGGAGAAGACTTCAAGTATGATCATTTATAAGGTTCTTGATTGATAAGTGTTGAGGCGCCGAACAAACAGTTGTTGTAATGAGACAGTGCTACACAAGTCGAACGATGTCGAATAATGTATAAATTATTATAATTTCATAGAAATATTTATCTCCGCATTCATGAAAGGCGGAGTACAGTTTGAGCGAACTGAGACAGGAGTGAAACGAAGTGTACAAGAAGCAATGATGAATCTATTTAATTACTAAATACGAACGCCTGCGAAATTGAATGATATATTGTATAATCCAGTGGAGGGTGGGAGTGTGAAGAACATGAGATTAATTATGATTTGATGATATAAGTTGACCCGAAAAACGTGAATTATATATTATAGAAGACGAGGAGCAGGATGATGGAGGAAGTTTGTAAATAAAATATGCCTTAATTTCTTGGACTAAATCATAACTGTTTTTTTTTTTATATCATTCAGAGATGGCACTAGCATGAACAAAAATCATAAAATAGAATTGTATTGTTTGTTTTTATATTTATCGGCAAACGTGGGCATTCTGCAGGAGAATTGTGTTTGTTTTGAACACATTTTACTTTCTTATCGCTTCCGCCGCGTGGAAGGCCACACATGAGATTCCCGAGTGTCGTTCGTTGCCATCCCCTCACGTCGCATACAGCATATTCTAGTTTAGTTTACGCAGGTAACGTGCCAAATGCGACTCGCGCTCAAGATCGCATGCCATCGATGCAATGGCTTTGTGCATCTATCTTTCTTATCATAAACTGTCGCGTCGTTGCTTGCACAGTTTGCAGCCAGTTTCGTGCCGGTCTCTGGTTGGTCCAGACGTATTTCTCGCGACTCGTATTGTCTTCTGTTTTCTAAATTTACATAATATTCGGTCAGCAGTCGACTATTTAATTTTAACTTGCGCATTTATTGTTCATAATCTCTTAATATTTGGTTGATCACCGGTGATAATAAGTGTTTATAGTCGTGTTTGGTATTTTAATAGTAATTTATCGCGTATATAATCTTCGTAAATGTAAATTTTGCGAGTTTAGTATACTTAATAACAAACAAACTGTGAGTGGGTTGCGTCGGCCGGTGATATCTTGTGTCCGCCAATAAATAATAAATTCACTTGTGCAAAGTATTTTTCATCAACCTCAGAACACGGGCCTGGTAAATATTGTCATTCCTATAATTATAGTTTCTCCACAATTAGACCAAATGTGATTCATATTTACCGGCGGAAAATTAAATTTGAAAATAGAAACGTTTTTATTGAGATTCTCGTCATTTGGCCAAGTGTGCAAGTAGTATTCCGCTTTAAGAATCTTCAATCCATCTCATTCTATCGAATTAAATATCACTAAAATAATTGATGAAAAATCAGTTTTTACAAACAAACAAGTTTTCTTATCTCTTGCAATTTTTATGCGGTCGCCATGCGGTTGCCTTGCGTACCGCGTTACTCTTATTTTGGTTGTCAGGTGATCTGCACGCACATTTACCGGACAATAATTTGACTCTCTTAATTTGTCTTCGCGTTATTACGTAATGTTGTTTCTCAATGCTCCTTCGATTGTGCGCGAGTGATGTGCGGCGTTCTTTAAACACGGATTGTATATACGCAGAGAGGTAAAGCGTGAGTGATATTCCATCGGCCATCGGATACTCTTTGTATTATACGCGTATTTCATCGTTTCTACAATGTGCCAAATTAAGGTCCTTACAACCTATTAGTTATGCCAAAAGCGCAAATATTAAGTTTGCATCAAGGCATGTTATCGCATTTCTTCAACTATATAAAAATCAATTCTGTTATTGACTGTACTTGTTTTCTTCAACCGCGTGGTCTTTAAGCAGGCAAATAATTGTTGTTTTTGTTTCAATACCCACCGTTGATTATCATTATGAATTTAATACATTGTTTCGTTTTCGTTTAATGTACGAAATAAAAAGATTAAGAATGTCGCGTGCCGTCGGCTGCGTTCTTGATCCTCTGGCGGCCTTTCCGGGCTGGTCGCCAGTTGTTTTACATCATTTAAAATAAAATTCAGCATTATGGTTTATTTTTGTAATAAGCAACCCATGACTTTTCTTTGATATCTAGAGAAAATACAATTTTATCTCAAATGTTCTATTTTTATGATTTGTCATTCTTCTACCACTAGCCTACAACTAAGTCCTAAGGGACAAGGATTCAAAATTCAAAAAACATTCTATTTTGTTGGTAATTGTAGTGCAAAACTTTCATTTTTCTTTCATTTCATTTTTTATGTGATGTGCACGCACATTTTCTTCATTATTCTTGAGTTCCTTAATTTATCTTCCCGTTGTTACGTAATAATTTTGAATTATTTTTGAATTGTGCGCGCGTGAGGTGCGGCTTCGTTAAATCCGGATTGCACCTTTATTGCGGCAGAAATTGTTAGCTGTTGATATTTTGTAACTGTAATGTAACTATAGTTAAATGTTGTCAATAAAACATAATGTATAATTATAATCTCATTCATTTTTTTTTGTGGTATCCTCTTTGTCGTTTTCAGTTTTAAATAATGTGGCATATAAGTCTTATGTGTGAGCAGCGGATGTAAGATAACTAACTGTTACTCGAATTGTGTTGTTGTTTTTAAAAACATGATAAAAGTAGAAACATAAATGGAAGAATCAAATAACAACAACAAAAACACTCGGTGGTCGAGTGGAGACGTGCACCTGCCGGCATGCTAGCAGACACGGATCGAATCTTAGGTATAGAAGGCATTTTTCTCAAATATAAAAATGTCAGGTGTAATTTGGGTTGCATATATGAATTGCAACGAAATATAAGAGAAATTGAAATACAAGTGAAGGCAATATGGGAAGAAATAAGAAAGCAAGTGGAGAGAAACGGAGAACAGAGAAATAGAAAAAGAAGAAGAAGGAGTAGTAGAGAATAGTAGAAGATAGAAGGAAGAGAACAGAGAGTAGAGGAGAGAAGAGGAGGAGATAGATGAAAGAGAACAGGGGAGGATCAGATTTTTTAATTTTTTTGCACGTGTCGTTATAAGACAGTCTACGGTCGATCCGTCCATTGCTCCCGGCCCATCCTACAGCTACGATGTCTCTGCGCCTCATCCCCGAAATTATCAGGCATATCAACAATTTTTATGGTGGGGGATCACCCCCAGAGAGAGGGAACTCCTTATAAGGACAATCCTTATAAGGTCTTGTTCAAATATTTCTAAGTTTTGTCGCCTCAAGAGAGGTGACACTATTCTTATATTCTTACAAGTTCTGACCTGTTGCTGAAATGAAAGAAGGAGCACACAAATCACACAGGATACCTTAACAATTTTTATAGTGGGGATCATCCTCTGAGAGAGGGAACTCTCCTTGAGACCTGTTCCTGAAATGATAGAAGGAGTGTACAAATCAAAGAAGTAAATATATCTTACTATTTATTTATTAACAATAGAATACAAGTTTATATTTTACAAGTCAACAGAATACATGCCGCCATATTGACACCGAACTTACGACCTGCATCATCGCGCACATAAAATATAAGCAAGTAACACATCAACCTGTTCTAGCGGGATAAAGAATTTAGCAAATTGTCCATTTTCTAGGTGATGGAAAATGGAAACAAATATACAGGGCGTTAATAAAAGAAAATTTAAAGTGCAAGAAGTTAAATTCTAATATCAATCAAAGCAAAATTTTCAGGGATGTGAATGAAAAGGATTATACAAGGTGTCACAATTAGAAAATTCAACCATCAAAGAGGAAAACATCTATACACTACAAATATTGCTCGTGTTCACCCGATGCTCCGGGAAACTAATAAACAGGGTGTTACAAAAAAATAGAGTGCAAAAAGATAGCCCTAAAAACGCAGTTGAAGGAAAATTTTCACGGACACAAAGAAAAACATACAGGGTGTTCCAGAAGGAAAATCACAAGTTTAAAACGAAAAACACTCAAAACTCACAAATAAAAGCGATTTACTACGTCCAGTTAGGAAAAACTAATATACAGGGTGTTACAAAAGGAAAATTTTAAAAACTACAAATATGGTCAATATTCACTTCATGACGAGAGAAATTTATACCGAAACAACTGTATTTTAATATAAATTCAAAGATTTTACCCGAACATCATCGGAAAACTTGAGTAAGATAGGTGCTACAAGAATAAAACACTTACATTTTAATTTATTGTGTATATATTTATCATTTGATGATGGCATCAACTGCAACCGACGGGTGAAGCATAACCATAAATTGATGGAACATCCGGCGGAAAACATCCAAAGCAGCAGACGGCAAGCGACGGCGCGTGGCAATACAGTAGGTAAATTCGATAAAAATAACTATTTACTTGTAAATATTAAGATATATGGAGACTATGATAGCGAAAAACTATTCAACGTACAAGATTATATTAGATCAACAAGAAACTTTTTAATTTAATGATGCAAAGGAGTGTAATTCGATTTAAAACGTTCAGCGAAAGGAAGAAAGAGCTGACGGTCGACGGCAAAGTGAGCGTGGTCGACCACATGATTATTGCCATTTTAATAATCCTCAGATACTTTTTTATAACAATGTATGTAATAATTAAATCATGCATGTTATTTTCGGAAACAGGGCTATGAATTCAGATAAAAAATGCTACCACGTGTTTGGAATTTGCAAAAATAATATCCCTCAAATGAAATAATCAATTTAATATAAACCGTCTTAATTTTTCGCGATAAAAGAAAATAATTACACACCTACCAGTGCAATGATGAAGAGATTTTAGATCCACGAATATATTTTATCATCTGAAAACTCGTGCAGAAATTAGCACACACTTATTTCTTACTTAAGAACACTTTAACCGCCACAATTCATCAAACAAAACAGCCACACTTGCTCGTTACGATTATTTTGCTGATGACGAAAAGAATACACGACGATTAATTAAATAATTGAATTCTGAATACGCGTGGCTAGTAGTGAGACGTGCTCGCGGACCATGCGGTGAAACGACTGCCGTGTGCGCTGCGCGTTGCCAGGTACAAGGCAGGTACGTCGCGATAATACACTTCAGTCCAACAAAAACGTTGTTTATAAACAAACGTAGTGGTAAACACGTACTTGAGAAGACGAAAGTAAAAATTCACAATATTGAAGTAACACACATACACGAAACTACTTTTACTTATTTAGATATTGGTTTTAGAATGCAATAAAGACGAAGAAAAACAGGAATTTGTAATTTACCAATACAAATAAATAATTTATTGTCTCATATTTGTCTTCGTATAAGTTTACTGAATACGATAGTTATAGTAATTTAAATATTCTCTATAAAATCAAGTACTAAAATCGAAAGTATTAGAATCAGAAAAATAAGAAGTGAATATAATTCATAACAAAAAAATAGATTGCAACAAATTTCTATACAGGAAGAAACAGCATTAAATTCCCCATCTAGAAAAATTATTTCAAACTAAGTGTAACCCCACGTTCGCGTGTTATCCTAAAAAAACTACAATTTCAAGCGCAACTAGTACTACGGCGCACACACACACAACTTTCAATATAACTCGCGTTACGGAATTTTCTCGCAATAAATTTCGATACAGGAAAATAATGAATTAAATTCCGCATCTGGGAAAGTTATTCCGAACTTAGTTTAAGACCGCGTTCGCGTATTATAATAAAAAAAAGTACAATTCCTAGCGCAACGAGTACTATTGCGTATATGCGTATACACACAACTATCATTATAACTCGCTTTACGGAATTTTCTCGCAATAAATTTTGATACAGGAAAATAATGAATTAAATTCCGCATCTGGGAAAGTTATTCCGAACTTAGTTTAAGACCGCGTTCGCGTATTATAATAAAAAAAAAGTACAATTCCTAGCGCAACGAGTACTATTGGGTATATGCGTATACACACAATTACCATTATAACTCGCGTTACGGAATTTTCTGGCAGTAAATTTCGATACAGGGAAATAAAGAATTAAATTCCGTATCTGGGAAAATTATTCCGAACTTAGTTTAAGACCGCGTTCGCGTGTTATAATAAAAAGAAGTACAATTCCTAGCGCAACGAGTACTATTGCGTATATGCGTATACACACAACTATCATTATAACTCGCGTTACGGAATTTTCTGGCAATAAATTTCAATACAGGGAAATAAAGAATTAAATTCCGTATCTGGGAAAATTATTCCGAACTTAGTTTAAGACCGCGTTCGCGTGTTATAATAAAAAGAAGTACAATTCCTAGCGCAACGAGTACTATTGCGTATATGCGTATACACACAACTATCATTATAACTCGCGTTACGGAATTTTCTGGCAATAAATTTCAATACAGGGAAATAAAGAATTAAATTCCGCATCTGGGAAAATTATTCCGAACTTAGTTTAAGACCGCGTTCGCGTGTTATAGTATTAAGAAAGTACAAATCCTAGTGCAACGTGTACTATTGCGTATATGCGTATACACACAACTATCATTATAACTCGCGTTACGGAATTTTCTGGCAATAAATTTCGATACAGGGAAATAAAGAATTAAATTCCGTATCTGGGAAAATTATTCCGAACTTAGTTTAAGACCGCGTTCGCGTGTTATAGTATTAAGAAAGTACAAATCCTAGTGCAACGTGTACTATTGCGTATATGCGTATACACACAACTATCATTATAACTCGCGTTACGGAATTTTCTGGCAATAAATTTCGATACAGGGAACTAAAGAATTAAATTCCGCATCTGGGCAAGTTATTCCGAACTTAGTTTAAGACCGCGTTCGCGTGTTATAGTATTAAGAAAGTACAAATCCTAGTGCAACGTGTACTATTGCGTATATGCGTATACACACAACTATCATTATAACTCGCTTTACGGAATTTTCTCGCAATAAATTTTGATACAGGAAAATAATGAATTAAATTCCGCATCTGGGAAAGTTATTCCGAACTTAGTTTAAGACCGCGTTCGCGTATTATAATAAAAAAGTACAATTCCTAGCGCAACGAGTACTATTGGGTATATGCGTATACACACAATTACCATTATAACTCGCGTTACGGAATTTTCTGGCAGTAAATTTCGATACAGGGAAATAAAGAATTAAATTCCGTATCTGGGAAAATTATTCCGAACTTAGTTTAAGACCGCGTTCGCGTGTTATAATAAAAAGAAGTACAATTCCTAGCGCAACGAGTACTATTGCGTATATGCGTATACACACAACTATCATTATAACTCGCTTTACGGAATTTTCTCGCAATAAATTTTGATACAGGAAAATAATGAATTAAATTCCGCATCTGGGAAAGTTATTCCGAACTTAGTTTAAGACCGCGTTCGCGTATTATAATAAAAAAAAAGTACAATTCCTAGCGCAACGAGTACTATTGGGTATATGCGTATACACACAATTACCATTATAACTCGCGTTACGGAATTTTCTGGCAGTAAATTTCGATACAGGGAAATAAAGAATTAAATTCCGTATCTGGGAAAATTATTCCGAACTTAGTTTAAGACCGCGTTCGCGTGTTATAATAAAAAGAAGTACAATTCCTAGCGCAACGAGTACTATTGCGTATATGCGTATACACACAACTATCATTATAACTCGCGTTACGGAATTTTCTGGCAATAAATTTCAATACAGGGAAATAAAGAATTAAATTCCGTATCTGGGAAAATTATTCCGAACTTAGTTTAAGACCGCGTTCGCGTGTTATAATAAAAAGAAGTACAATTCCTAGCGCAACGAGTACTATTGCGTATATGCGTATACACACAACTATCATTATAACTCGCGTTACGGAATTTTCTGGCAATAAATTTCAATACAGGAAATAAAGAATTAAATTCCGCATCTGGGAAAATTATTCCGAACTTAGTTTAAGACCGCGTTCGCGTGTTATAGTATTAAGAAAGTACAAATCCTAGTGCAACGTGTACTATTGCGTATATGCGTATACACACAACTATCATTATAACTCGCGTTACGGAATTTTCTGGCAATAAATTTCGATACAGGGAAATAAAGAATTAAATTCCGTATCTGGGAAAATTATTCCGAACTTAGTTTAAGACCGCGTTCGCGTGTTATAGTATTAAGAAAGTACAAATCCTAGTGCAACGTGTACTATTGCGTATATGCGTATACACACAACTATCATTATAACTCGCGTTACGGAATTTTCTGGCAATAAATTTCGATACAGGGAACTAAAGAATTAAATTCCGCATCTGGGCAAGTTATTCCGAACTTAGTTTAAGACCGCGTTCGCGTGTTATAGTATTAAGAAAGTACAAATCCTAGTGCAACGTGTACTATTGCGTATATGCGTATACACACAACTATCATTATAACTCGCGTTACGGAATTTTCTGGCAATAAATTTCGATACAGGGAAATAAAGAATTAAATTCCGCATCTGGGAAAATTATTCCAAACTTAGTTTAAGACCGCGTTCTCGTGTTATATTTAAAACAAACTACAATTCCTAGCGCAACGAGTACTACGGCGCACACACACACAACTTATATAACAAATATAACAAATGTAAATTTGACCAAAAAATATAATTGAATTATAAACTTACCAGTGTACAGTTTATTGGACTGCCAGGCACGAGGAGTGCTGTAACTAAACGAAAACATAAATTAAAACAAAAATATTTCATACAATTGAATTACGTTATAATTAACAATCAACACAAAATAAACAACCTGTGCTGTTCAGTTAAAAATACCTACACGAGCCTGATGAACATTTCTTAATGATAAGAAACAACATGGGGGCGATATATATCAGCGATAAAATTGTTGATTCTGGAAGAGTGGAAAATTCTCAATCAGATGGAACTTTAGAATAATTTAATTTGATGGGGTATAAGGTCTAAACACGCAACTGAAAGTGCTAATAATTGCAATTTTTCAATTTTAGACGATTTATTTCAATTGCGAATATCTCGTAAACTAAGTTGCAGATTCTTAATCTACGGAGAATTCTCTATGAAATAAGCTAATTAAATTGGAAATCTAAGAGATAAAATTATAATTTAAAAGAAAAGGTTTTCCGCAATATGATCCGTTTCCCATATTACCAATAAGTGAAATATATACAGCCCCTAATTAATTATCAAATTAGGAAACGTGAAGTCTGATGAAACGAAAGGCGTTGCGCAATATACGTCTAGATACGCCATAGACCGGCACGAAACTAGTTGCAGTCCAATAATAGAGCATGCCGAAACTGCGCACGCTGTGTCTGCTGCATAAACCCGGTATGTAAAAGCAACTGATGCGCAAAGCCAGCGCGTCGATGCCACGCGACCTTGTGCACGAATTGCAATAGACACGGTATCTGTGATAAAAACTATACTAAAATGTGCTGCACGCGACAGCGCAACGAGAATCTTACGCGTAGCATCTCGCACGGCGAATGCGATAAGAAAGTGGTTTATAAACAAACGCTGATATGATTTAAAAGGAATACATGTCTATTTTATATTGAAATAAAGAAGAAACCAAACATTAGTTACACAATTTCGCACAATGAGTTTCGGCGGAACCCAAAGTTTACCATAAATTTCGTCTTGTTCTCCATAATTATTTAAATTAGTATTAGCACACAGGTAACACGAGTTGTGCACAAGTCAAAAATGGTTCGCACAAGTCCAAAATATTATTTATAATCACGCACAAAGTCTGCCGGCCGGCGTCCGACGACAACTGATCAGAAATCTACGTAAAAACGTAAAAAATGAATGACCAAACACGGCAATTAACACTAAATTCAATAAAACATAACGCGATATACCGAATTTACAACGAGAAACACGAATATTCGAGGGAATATTCTTATCTGCCGCACGAAGTAGGAGCTGCGTGCCGGCATCACAACTGTGCATGTCGACTTTCACTCAAAGGAATATTTTTAGTTAAAACATGCATCGTTGCGCTACCTGAGAATACTTTATTGTACCTCCAGAAAATACGAATCGTTTCAAAAACTGTGGCGTACATATGAGGCAGTCAGCGACTGCCTATGTATCAGTGAGTGGTCACGCACTTAAGTGGCCGTGTCCGTGTATCACACGTACACGAGAGTGCGCATGCACCACCCTATCTAAACAAATAGCAATTTCCAGTGGCGGATTACGGCCTAGGCGCACTAGGCGCGCGCCTAGGGCCCCGGCTGCCTGGGGGGCCCCGACTGCCTGAGGGGCCCCTGGCACTTATATGTCCCATATAGACATAGTAATTCCACAAATACTTCATCAGTTGGTTTTGACCTCAGCCTTCATGAATAGCGTATTGATTTTCACTTGGCGCCCAAAACGGCATTTCACACGTGTCCGCAAAGCAACCGTCACGGATATATAGCTGACTTAAAACTATTTATCTCCGATTTTATGTCTTTATGGCAAACTGTATAAAATAAAATTTGGATGTTTTCTGCCACGAATTTTTGTGACCTTTTCTTGAATATTGCGTTAGAAAGTTGTAGCTATAATGCGAGTAGTATATTGCCAATTTTTTTTAAATTTCGAACATCTATGGAGGAGATGAGTTGAGGAATATTCCATTGAGGTTGTAAAATAGCGGGTAACTCTCTTTTTTGGAATATTAATTAATTCGTCTTTCTATCATTTTTTCACATCGTTCCGCAGATGTACCAACGTTTATCCTCCTACAATTTTTATCTAGATTTTTGGGGTGGTAGTTGGATTAAAAAAAAACAGAGTTCAAAAGAGTTCGATCAATTTGAGACGGCACTGTTAACAATTTTCTGGAACAAACTCCTACAGAGAATCGAAATTACCAGCAAATACTTACAGGAACCAAAGACAAATATTCTTAATAGTGTTAGTTTATTAAAATCATTAAACGAATTTATAACAGAGGTCAGAAATAATTTCGAAACTGTTGAAGAGGAGGCTAAATGAGACAAAGAAAACGCAAATATCCATATGATGAAACGAACAAAAATGATACCTACAGCATTTTCGTCAAGAAATGTTTTTATTGTCAACATTTTTTATATTGTATGTGATGTATTAACATCAGAAATTACTCGAAGGGGCGATGTCTATATCAAAGTTCTTAACGATTTTAAAATGTTCTTTGATTTAAAATTAAGCCGTGTTGATACTAATAATTGTGTAGAGCGATTATTGTCTTAAGTATGAAAAAGATATTGAGCCAGAATATTTCACTGATGAGTTAACTCATTTTCTAAAATACATACAAGAAGAAAATATTAAGGATCCACATGAAATGTATGCAACATTAAGTAATGGTCTAAAATCAACTTTTCCAAATATACACACAATACTGCAAATTTGACCTTGCCCGTTTCTAATGCAAGTGGAGAAAGGACATTTTCAGTTTTAAAACGAGTCAAAAACTATCTGCGCAATAGTCTTTCACAAGAGCACTTAAATGACTTCGCATTAATGTTCATAGAAAATGATATTTTTAAAAAACTAAAGTACGACAAAATTATTGAAATCTTTGCCCAAGAGAAGACAAGAAAAGAAAATTTGTAATTTGTATTTAAATACGATTACCGTTTTTGAGCACACGTACGATGAACTCGAGAACCAAGATAGCATTGAAAACGATAATCCCATCGCGGATAGTATGGCAGAAAATTTTACCTGTGATATTTCGATCGGTCCTGAAAACAATTAACGCACAACACCTGGTCCATCGCGAAGAGCGAATCGGAAGATAATCCATTAAATTTTGGAATAGTGCGTGTGCGATAAAAAAAAAACGCGCCACGTACTCTACCTCAAGGTGGTGTGGAAATGAGTTTTTGGCACAAACGAATGTTGAAGTAGATTTTGCGGCGCCCGTACGCTAAAACTATTAATTTTACTGGGCTAATAACCGTTTTCGAAAATTTTCGGATTTAGGGGCCCCAAACTTGATTGGCGCCTAGGGCCCCACTGAAGCATAATCCGCCACTGGCAATTTCTACACATAACTCAAAACTTCAAATATAGAAGTCAAGAGGATAAACTTATTCAAAATAAATTAATCTAATTATAAAATTATAATAATTATTTTTATATTATTATTATATTATTGATACTCGTAGTTTTTATCGCCGATTTTCTCTAACTAACTATTCGAACTATTCTCTATAAGATAGGACAGTTAAAACGGAAAATTGAGAGATAAAATTTTAATTCAATTTTTGCCCATTTTATTCAATCGCGAATATCTCGTAAACTAAAAGAGATAAATAGGATCTGATCGAAGCGTCTTAATCTACGGACCAATCTCTATCAGATAGGATTGTTAAAAGGGAAATCTGAGAGATGAAATTTCAAGTCTTAAGAAAAAAATCGCCAAGAGGGGGTGCTTGATACTTTTTTTCGACGATTTTCAAAAATTAATATCTCTTAAACTAGAAGAGATAGCTACCAACGAATTGTTGATTATGAAAGATTGGAAAATTCTCTATCAGATAAAAATAGAAAATAATTATATTTCCTATAGTAACAGGTCGAAAAACGCGACTAAAAGTGCTAAAAAGTGACATTTATCAATTTTTGCCCATTTTATTCAATCGCGAATATCTCGTAAACTAAAAGAGATAAATAGGATCTGATCGCAGCATCTTCATCTACGGACCAATCTCTATCAGATGGGATAGTTAAAAGGAAAAATGTGAGATGAAATTTTAAGTCTTAAGAAAAAAATTCAAAAAATTTTAATAGTGAATATCTTTTAAACTAAAAGCGATATCGACCAACGGATTGTGGAATATGAAAGATTGAACGAACATTTAACCGAATAATGTAACTTAATTATAAACTTACCAATGCAGCGCGCATCGGATTGCAAGGGTACGGCAAGTACTGTAATTAAAAGAAAACATAAGTTAAAACAAAAACATTTCATACAATATGATAATATTATATTCACACATGGGAGAAAACAAACTTTCTGTGCTGAATATCGCCATGGTCAGATAAAGGTTACTTACTCAAGCACGAATAACCGAAGCACAAAAACCGCAGCATTGTGATTCCAAATATAAACATCAAACGCACAATTAATCATTAACAAAACACTGCAGATGCATATTACAACTAAGTCGACTGATGACTGAATACAATGCAAATTTAGAAAATAGAAGACCGATAAAATAATACGCGATGCGCGAAATACGTCTAGATACGCCAGAGACCGGCACGATACTGACTGCAATCCAGCGATAGCGTTTACTGAAACTGCACAAGCAACGATGCGACAGTTCACAATAAGAATCTGTACCTGCTGCGCGACCCACACAGATAAAAGCAATAGATGCGCAAAGCCAGCGCGTCGATGCCACACGACCTTGCGCACGATACTTGCGATCTAAACTAAACTAGAATATGCTGCATGCGGTGTGCGAAGATTGCAACGACGGTACCTGGCAATCTCATGCGTTGCATTCCACGCGGCGAATGCGATAAGAAAGTAAATTGTGTTCAAAACAAACACAATTCTCGTGCCGAATGCCCACGTTTGCTGATAAATATAGAAATAAACAATACAATTCTATTTTATGATTTTTAGTTCATGCTAGTGCCATCTCTGAATGAAATAGATTGTAGTTCCATTAGATTAATAAAATTATTAAAATAGGAAAATATTACACTTTTACTTATTTACGAGTATTTACTGTAGACACATTTAATACTATTCAAAACAATTATAAAGCGTCATCATTTACACAATTATATACCAACGAACTGAAAACAAGTTAATAAAATAAAAGGCGCATGGCTCCTCCAGCAGTCATCTCACCATCAGAAAACCAATTTACACTTAATCATCGATTTAATTAATTATGTACATTAATTCTTATGTGTCATGCGTTGTACTCTCAACCAGAAAAGTCGCTGTGTTCAAAGAGCGTTTGGTCGTACAAAGCAGCGCGCACCATCCGTCCACCGAAGTACCGTCCGTTGAGGGCTTCCCTCGTTCGTTCCGCTTCTAAATACAAGAATTAAATTTAATACTATATATAAGAAAATGGCGCAGCAGAATACTTACCTAAGGTTTCGGCAAACTCAACAAATATCTTAACAATAACATTGTCATCATCTTCCTCGTCCTGCTTCTCGTTATAGATGATAACGCGCTCGACTGAACCAAACTTACTGCACTCCTCTTGAATCTCTTCTTGCAGTGTCTCATCCACGTCTTCCGGACCTACCATATTACGCAATATAACAACGCGTGAGTCCACCTTCCGCATTAATTTCTGCATGACAAGATGTCGCGCGTTTTGACCTTTAATCGACATATTCTCTTGTTGTTGTAGAGTTTGCGGTTCATTCTGCTCAAGCAGTTTCTTTTGCAATTCTTCCTGTTGTTTAGCCTGCGCCTCTTGCGCGCGTTTTTTCGCTTCAGTTTGCGCGGCTGGTGCTGTTGCAAGCATTGGGGTGACGATTGCCGGCGGCGGGATTACAACAGGTTGTACAACAGTAGGCGGTTGCAGTGCCGCCACCGGTTGAGTAAGCTGCGGGATTGCTAAACCTGGCGGGGCGATATATCCAGGCAGAGTTTGTGGCACTGCGGCGACCGGGGGATGTGCGTGCGCATTAGGTAACTTTGATAAACCAAGAGCAACGGCATTACTGGCGACAGCATCCATTGCTTGTATCTTTGCAGTTGCAGCTGCGGCAGCAACCGCCGCCGCGGTGGGCATTATACTCGAACCGGTAGAAGGGCCCATTAACGCGTTAGGTGGTGTGATTGCGCGTCCTACACGAAGATACTGTCCTCCCAGATCGAAAAGATTCATACTAGAGATGGCGTCGTTAGCTGCTTGCGTTGTTTCGTATTCAATGAAGCCGTAACCTTTGTGTTTGTGTGCAGAACTACCCTGAGCTAACTTACAGTAGATTATTGGACCAAACGCTTCAAATACACTAAAAATACATAAAAATCATTTAAAATCAATTGTAATATTTACAAAAATGAAATATTACCATTTAATATCGTCCTCAGTGAGATCTGGATGAATACTGGCGACGTAAATCCTATTGTAATTCTTGGCCTCCTCCTGGATTTCATCAATGACGGTCTGTGCCTGCGGCATGTTGCTCGGTCGGCCAACGACTTTAATATTGCGCCCGCCAATCATCACGCCATTCATTTGCTCGAGCGCTAGCTGCGCCGCCTCCGGTATCTCATACTCGACGAATGCGAAACCCTTGTGCTTCTGTGTGACCGGATCCCACGACATGTTGATGGACTTGATTGGTCCGAACGGCAGAAATGATTGCCGAATGGTGTCCTCCTTCAGTTCGAAACTGATGCTGCCGACGTACACCCTAAACCCAATTCACCTAACTTGTTTAACTTGCGTATTACAGGCAACACATGAGAAAGAGACGAATATTGCATAAATATCAATGAAAGATTAGTCGCGAATTTCAGATCTTATCAGCTAGTTTGTATGTATACGGTCATCAGTCGGAAGCGCAACGGGCCTCGACAACTTTCCATATAAACATCGTCTTTGGGATCATCATAAATCAACGCGTGAACAGGAATGAACCGAAATTCATCGAGAGAGACAGAGAAAAGAAATCGACTGATTAGTTTGAGTAGTAATTGAGGGGGTGAGTGTTAGCGAATGTAAAGTAGGAGGTAAGTAATTAATAATAATCTGGTGCGTGCTAACCTGCACATGAGGGCGAGAGCCTGTTGTCGCTGGACCTGCGTCCGCTGACTAGCCATTTGCTGCAACAGAGGACAAATGACAAAACGAAACGATCACTTACTGGACGACATCCTGCGCTCGCGCATACAATTTACAGTTTTGCAAGATGTTCAAATAAAAGGGGGGTGTATAGTTTAATCGTTTGTTGGACATTCGATAAAGCGATTGTACTTTGAGGGGGGCGAGCTCTCGCCCCCTGAGCGGGCCGACCACCAACACTTAAGTAGCCCACTAACCTGCACATCAAAACCAGCACCTGGTGCCGCTGGAAGGTCTTATTTTTCTGCGAAGCATAAAAATATTAGTAAACACCATCGAATCGCTATACGGCAAGCTGAACTCGAACACGACCACCTATCGCACGTCTTCCTACAGTTGCAAATAAAATAAGGCAAGAAGCACAAGAAGACAAACGGACGACGCAAACGAAAGGAAATCAAATGCGCGCGACTAAACGGCACATACCTGTTGTTGGTGGGCGAGTGTCTGCTTCATCAGGACCATTTTGATGCTCTGCTCCATCGCGTACTTCTTCGCTTTGGCTACGGCTTCAGTTTGTTCCATTGACAACTTCGGAAGAATACCGCCGAGGATTCCAGCGATTGTGTTACTTCTTGCGCCAGGGCCTATAAATAATATTTATGTTATAAATTAAATAAATAAATGTTTATTTAAGACTAACCTGGGGCAACTTCTCCTGTTTGCATTACGTCGTTGAAATAAGTAATCCCATTCGTTCGATCTACAACAAAACAATCGATAAGCAAGCAGAAATTAATGCCCACAATAAATATTCCAATGACTTCACATTACACGAATGCATGTTTTGAATTAAATTTAATTTTAGTTTTCCTGATTAAGTAATGATGAACATCGACATTGGAATATTTCTATTGTAAGTTTAAATGTGCATTAAGTATTTTTCATCAGAACATGAGACAAGAAAAGGGGCTTTGAGACAGAACCTGAAATCAAAAACAAAATGTATGTTGATTAAAGCCATTGTAAGTTCATATGTTCAGCAATCAGAATTGTTTTGTTTGGTTGCTCTGCTGGCGGTTGAACGGGGCGCGCACACGTTTTACTATTAACAATTTTAACGCAACGGATCACCTAGTTTATCTGGAAACACAAAGAAAATAGAAATCGACTAGAGAACAAGACAAGCGCTTCGTCAATGATTTCGCTGTGACACAGTCAACGCAATTAAAAAAACGTAAAATTATAAACTAAATAAAATTAAACAAAAATTAAACATGCCCCAATATGATTATGGTTATTTTGGAATCAATTTACATCAATTTCGTTTAAAACTAAACAAGTTTATGGGGAATTTTGAATAATATTGTTTGATAATTCATAGTGGTGCATGCTTAAACTGCTTTTGTCACTGTGATAATGTCCTACCATGTAACCGTGGAGGAAAACGGTTACAGCACAAGCACATCTGGCGACAGTACCGAGTAACCAGTCGAGTTCAACCTCTGCAACATCTCAAGCAGACCGAAACAACTCACATTAGTCAAGTCACATGAGGTCCCCTTGATATAACTTTACTTAGATATTGTTATATATGTTTTATTTATGTTTGGACTGCCCCTGCATATGAACACACTCATGCTCATATGAGTTTAAATGTTTAATATAATGCCAAGGCAGCAGGACTCATGAAAAGACTTACCAGGTACAGGCTCAATTCTGACTTTCTTGCTGGGCGGCTCTTCGGTGCCGGGCGCCGGAGGTTCATCGTCCACATGTGATTCGCCATCCTAAACGCAAATTAGTAAGATATAACATATTGATTATTAGATTATAAACCGTAAACTAAATTGTTACTATGTCTATGGTAGATTTAGTGATGCTGTTCTTACTTGTTTCATATTGCCGTTCAACGATGCGCTCGACTCCTGCGTTTCTTGAAACGTGGTCATCTCGCGTATTCAGTATGTCAGCGTGCACTACAACAATGCATAAATAATATTTTGTACAGGATAATGAGATGATTTTGCAGAGCAGCGAAATCCAAGCACGATAGGCACAAACAATCAATAACGCACAACAATGGCGCCCGCCTTCTAGTTGGAATGACAGCCGTCAGCGCAGCTTGGCGATACTAGCGCCCTCTAGAAAATCTTTTAAAATCGTAAACATAGTTTGAAGTTAATGTACAAATAATATTTGGATAGAAAATTTGTATGAAACTGCTCCATTTATTTAGTTAATTAAAATTTGTACTTTGTCTTAACTAAGATTAGTATATTTTCTTTAATATTGGAAGTTTTGAGTAAAATTCAGTAACTTTCGAGCTTGCATTTGGCCAGATTCGAAAGCACCATGCGTCGTAGAAAAATGCGACTCATGTGCAGCCTCACCTGCTAAAAACACCCTAGGCACATTATTTTCATCACAAAACGGTTCACACAAAGTCCTCCCGGGCGGTAATGCTTCCGAATCACAAGATGGCGTCGAGTGGCTGTATCCACCTCTAATATAAGGATTTGTCAGCCATTTTGATCTAAATAAAATACAAAAAGGACAATAATCCTCGTTGTTTTGCATTAATATTAACTTACTTGTAGACTTTAACAGGAAATGGGATACTGTCATCTGCCAAAAACTTTCTTAGCAGCTGCACACATTGTTTTCCTACAATTTCAGCATCGGTTTCCTCCATTTCTCGTACACCTTTATGCCCAACCCAAGTCATCAACATATTATTTTGATCCAACACCAAATCAAATCCACTTAGATGTCTTAACAAATCAGGAAACTCATCGGAAGAGTTTTTACCATTCCGCCAGATTAGTTGAATACCATTGAAATCACTCCCCCACCATTTGGAATCAAATTCCAGAAAAACTTTACCCATTCCATCAAAACCCATATTAGCGATGGTAGTTTTCACTTTAGGTGACATGGGTAAACCTTTGAAGTGTTTTAACACTCCCAAAGAGCACGTTACAATCACGGATTGTGCGTGAAGTGTGCTACCATCATCACACGTAATCAAAATGGCGCCCGATGATGAAATCTCAACGTATTGTACAACTTTATTGTACTGAATCGCATTTTCAGGCAGTTTCTTTACCAAAACATCTACCAACGCACCATAACCACCCTTGATATTAACATGCTGCTGTCCATCTTTACCGAGACAAGAATATCTCCCCCATTCCTTCAGTGACAACTTGTTTAAATCTTCACAAGAATTGTCTATAACTTGAAACCTGACGTGCCAATCAAATAATTCCTCCATGATTATTTTATCATCATCAGAATAATCTGATTTTTTCAAAAATTCACCAAATCTTTTGGTTAAAAACTCACCAACCGATGAATTCGTAATAATATCGAGGTATTCTTCGCATTCTTCTAGTATTCTACCAACTTCAAAGTCAACTTTTTTCACTAAAAAGTTATCAATGATATGACCATCATCTCTTATATAAATTCCTAGACCTTCATCGGAAGTGACGGGGTGGATAAGTTTGTTTTCTTGTAAAATATCGTATAAATCAGTGTCGGTACCATGGACCCATTGTGCGCCCAAATCGATAGTGCTGGATCCAATCTGGAGGGTTTCGATACGACCACCAGGACGATTTTGTGCTTCAAGGAGAATAAAATCAGTGGAAAACTGCGATTTGGAAGTTTGAAGTGTTAAAGCTGCTCCTAGGCCAGCCATTCCAGCACCTATTATTACTACTGAATAGTTATTATTCATTTTTGGCTATTATTGGCACTGAAATCATAAAATTAAAAAATAAATTATTAATTTCAACTGTTGAAAATGCCACTAAGACGAAATATATGATAAATTGTGTTTATGTTGTAAAACTAAAATAAATAATAATATACTGAGTGATTACGTTAACTTAATAAACACCAAATAAAAAATTATTCAAAATATGGAACCAGTGAGAAGAAATGTTTGATTGAAAGTGTGAAACAGACTTTACAACGTGTTGATTTATAAAATAACCTCAAGAAAAACATATTACGATAGCAGTAACAAAATGCGTTAAAAATAATGTGACCAATGATTAACAACTATCAAAAGTGTTTTTTTAACACAATAATTACCTCTCTATGCAGTAACTACAAGTCTTCTCAGTCTTTTCTTTTAGACTAAACACCCACATTTCATCTAGGAAGCCATTTCTTCAAGTTTAATTAATAAATTGACGCGTTAATTAAATGATTCACACTCATAATAACTCCAAAATTCCAGACCTACCAACAAACTATCGTATTATTTTCAGTTATCAACATTTGTCGTAAAATTTCATTGAATTTCACAGCAAAAAAGTTGATTTTTCTTTAGTTTTGTTTCCATTGCACATGCGCAATCGCACAAAATCATCTGTCATCCACGAAAACATTTGCTTTAGGTTAAAATTAGTTACATTGCATCAAATTCCACATCATTCTTATAAATTCTAAATAAAACTAGCGTAAGTCTACGCCAAGAAAAACTACGATGGCTTACTCGCAGACTAACAGCGATTACTGGCAGCCGGGCGCGCGCCCAGGTCAACAAGACTTCTACAATAATCCTGAGATGGAATATTCTGCAATGCAATCTCAAAAATTAGGTATAAACTATTTCTTGTTTTGTTGCCGTTTTTTTACATTATTATATGTTGTAGACTTTCAAAACTTCAATGATGAAAACTCCACATATTATAATAACACAACATCAAAGTCCTACATGGAGCCCTATCAACAATCACAATATCCAGAGATGTTTACCCCAATGGCATCAGATTTCAATCAAGATCAAGATGAAGATGAACCACCACTACTCGAAGAACTTGAAATATACCCGGACAGAATCATGGAGAAGACTCTAGCAGTATTAAACCCATTCAGAACACATAGTCTTGCAGATGATGCTGAATTTCTCTGCAAACAAACTGATTTGGCTGGGCCTATCACTTTTGCTTGGTATTAGCATGTTGTTTGTTCATCTCAGGTAGTAAGGCACATTTTGGGTACATCTATGGCCTATCTGTGACCTCTTGCTTGTTGATGTATGCTCTCTTAACATTAATGACTGCAGCTGCTGATTGTTTTACACTGGCAAGTGTTGCAAGTATTTTGGGTTATTGTTTACTACCTATTGTTGGATTATCAGTAATCGGGATCTTTGTATCGCTACATAGCAGTATTGGTATTATCATTGCGATATGCGCGGTTTTATGGTCGAGTTTATCAGCAAGCCGGCTTTTTGTCGCGATGTCTGGAGATGCTGAACAAAGACCTTTGATTGCTTACCCGTGCGCGTTGGTGTCCGGCGTTTTTGCACTTTTGATTATATTTTAAACATTTGCAAATAAATAATTAAACTATTATAAACTATTAAAATGTAAGAATTAATAAAAAAAATTAAAATGGCGTAAGAGTTGTTTAAAAAAAATCATTAGTATTTTGGGTTGCATACCTTTGAATAGACAAGTCCAACCTTAATGTTCTCCTGGCTCCTGATTGGTCGATTCAAACCTACCGCCCATACTACAGCGCCATTACTTGTTTACGTTTCCGCACCGATTTTCTCTCTTCCGTTCTACGTCTCTGGTAGGTAGGTATCGTTTGTACACCAGAAATTAAATAATCTCGCAAAATCCAGACCATCACTGATCGTAAGCGATTTTCATCACTGCAATTATCCACGAAGATATTAAACACGTCTTCGGTGGCCCATATTATCTTCATCAGCGGCGATTTTCACAAATGATCGTCGTTTGTTTTTATCCCTTGGAGGTTAAGTCATGTTTTCGGTGCTTGCAGGTCCGTCACCATGGGCGCCTACAAGTACATTCAGGAGTTGTATCGCAAGAAGCAGTCGGACGTACTGCGCTTCTTGCTGCGTGTGCGAGTATGGCAATATCGCCAGCTGACGAAGATGCACCGCGCACCAAGGCCCACACGTCCCGATAAAGCTCGTCGTTTGGGATTCCGTGCAAAGCAAGGTAAGATAACTATAAAATAATAAAAAGTACATAATAATTAACTTAATGGTTGATTCCTTGTAGGTTTCTGCGTATTCCGTATCCGCGTACGTCGTGGTGGCAGGAAACGTCCCGTTCACAAGGGTGCCACTTATGGCAAGCCAAAGAGCCACGGTGTTAACGAGTTGAAACCCGTTCGTAACTTGCAGTCTCTTGCAGAGGTAAGCAAATTATTAATATCTTCTTACATTAAAAGAATTAGATGATGATAACCAACTTAGCTGCTGATAAAACTATGATTTAGCAACTTCCTTGGATGTCTGAATATTTAAACTAACATCTAAACTGATTTTTGATTAATTTCAAAGAAAAAACTAAAAGAATTCTAATAATCATTCTAGGAACGTGTCGGCAGGCGTTGCGGTGGTCTGCGCGTCCTGAACTCATACTGGGTTGCCCAAGACTCATCTTACAAATATTTTGAAATCATCTTGGTTGACCCCTCACACAATGTAAGTTATTTTCTCCTCTGTCATTTATCAGACCATATTAATGAGGTTTTTCTTGTTTGTAGGCTATTCGTCGTGATCCTAAAGTTAACTGGATCGTGAACGCCGTGCACAAGCACCGTGAGCTCCGCGGCAAGACCTCCGCCGGACGGTCATCGCGCGGCCTTGGCAAGGGACACAGGTACTCGCAGACAACCGGAGGCTCTCGCCACGCTGGCTGGCTGCGAAAGACGCATTTGCAACTACGCAGGAAGCGATAAGTTATTTGTACACATTTGCATCGGGTGTAACTCTCGTCTGGCGCTTTACTCTGTTCGTATTGCGTCGGATAAAGTTATTATTAAAATAATAAAATCCTACGATAAAAATCAGAGCCGCAATTTGTTTCTCTTTAAATGTGCATTTATATTATCACTAGATGTAAAATACGTGACCCTTATCAATATCGAATTTTTAAAACGATGACCATTTATTCATGTGGGCGACGACCATGGAAAATGTACAGTTTAGCACGCACGCAATTTTGATTTACTAAAACGAGATAATTTACCTAACAATAGCAAAATGTAAGTTTATTTCGTTTCCACTTTGCTCCGCGTTTGTCCCCCGTGTCATTACTGAGGTGAAAATTGGCTTAAGATTGTAAGTTGTTATTGTTAATACGGTGAGACGGACTTCTTGTCGCTGAAGAACATTCGCAGAATGAACACCTGCCCAATCGCGGAGAACAAGATGGCGAGCGTCTCGATAACAGCCCAGAAAAACACTTTTTCGTTCAGGTCCTCGGCACGCTTACGACCCTGCGCCTCGCGCAGTCGGTGATGCGTCTGGAAGTCGAGGATCGTGTTCAGCGCTTTGTGAATATCCTGCGCGGATGTTTCCATCTATTTCAAACAAAAAGACAAATTTGTTTAGTTTTTAAATGTAGGCAACCCAACATACACATGTATAGGGTTTTGAATAAAAATAAGTTTCTTGTTGTATTATTTACCTGTGTAAGCGCAGTTACATGTTCCCCAAGACCAGGAAGAGGCTGTTCTTCGCCCACTTGCAGATCCATATAGACTAGTTTGTGTGAAAATGTTGAAAACTCATTACTGAAGCACACAACATACACTCCTGTAATGTTTGCCACAAAAGTGTAAGAATCAAACTGAGTTTTCACTTGTTGATAGATGATTGTTTTCCTTGGATCTTCTAATGTTACATCCACATCATATTGTCCACCAGTAACAACCTACAAGTATACAAATAACCATAAAATAACATTTTTATCTTAATTTACTAAATGAATGTAATCAACAACATTCATTTGTTTGGATGTATCACCTGAAATTCTAGTGTAACCGACGTGTTTTTCGGCACTTCCTCGTGAAAACACTCCTTCGCACTGTCGGGTAACTCGAAGGTTAATTCCGTGGCGGTGCCGAAGTGCACAACCTGCAGAACAGCCAGAAGTAGCAGCAAGCGCGTAGCCATCGTGTCGTTGTTATAACGCTGACATTTAATGAGCGAACGCGTTTGTCGGCCAGGCCACGTTTGCTTTTTTTTTACAACTCGCACAACAACAGAACCCGCCGGCCAAGAACTACCTATTTATGTTGGCGCAACAAACATTACACACATATTACACAGTCGGTTTGCGTGCGACGGCGCGGCGAAACGTCAAACGTGGCCACATCATTTATCAGCAGGCGCGCTACCAACGCTCATTGGTCGTGGCGTTACTAACAAATATTTTCAAATTTTAACAGATTTGAAACATTGCAGAATACAAAAACAATGAGAATATAATAGAAAGTGTAAGTATTTCATGATTTGATCAAATAAAAGTTACCCATATGTTATAATAAACGTAAAATTTCGATGTATGAATTATTTGTGTATGTTGGGTTGCCTAGTGTAAACATATGCCACTTTTGACATTAGTAACATTTAAAAAAAATGATGCTTGTTTGAAAACTACTTAAACAAAATCCAATTGATTACCACTTATATTTATTCCCATTCTTTCGCAGTAAGTGCCAATCACGCGAATATGAAAACCCCAACAAATGGCACAAACATTACAAAAGAAAAAACAAAACCTAAGAATTGTAACTAATACTCACTAAATACAAACCTACCTACGAAACAATTAATCTTTCATTATCAAATCGCATAAGATCTAGCTAATCCTATTTTTTCTCTTATAAAATTATGCAAAACTCCTCGCCATTCTTAACAATGTAAGAAAAACATGTGCACTAGTCCAATATAATTAAAAAATTGTACACAGAAACCAGTTTTCATCATGAATCAACCATGGAAGCGTGGCGCGTGCAACAAAGACATAATTAATACAAAGAAATCCAATATTATCTTACAGTAAATACACTTCTGGCTGAACCGTTTGCAGTAGTAAAAAAAATACATAAATAATCGAATGCAAATTATACTGGACTAGAGTTGACTACTACTTTTTACACTCCTTTCGTCGCATGCGCATCGGGTTTTTCATCATTTTTTGTTTAAAAATAGTCTTGTATATGAATTAATTCATCATTTACCTATGCCGGAGATTGCCCGCACGGATTGGCACTGCATGTGACACAAATTACTTAAAATTAGATCGATATCAGCGTAACAACCACCCCGACTGTTCTCGCTTACTGATACGTCCGGTATAAAGTGATTATTATTAGAAATTAGAAATATGCGCGTCGCGGGTGATACAAAACAAACGAATGTAAGGCTTGAGTGCTGCTGCTGTGGTCTTCTTCTCGGCTCGGCGGCTGCTTACTCTTCATCTTCGTCATCTTCGCCTTCGTCGTTCAAGTAGGCGAACTTGTTCTCGCCGACAATGTTGAGTGGTTCCGGCGTTTTTATTTTCGGCATGTCACGTTCGGTATACTCTCTATTAACATAAATTACAAAATTTTGTAAATTCGGGTTTAACTCGGAAGCTCTACTAAATTTCTAGACTTGAAAATATAGGCAACCCAAATCACAACACAAAATTTATTAATTTTACCTTGGTGGCCGTTTTTCTTGATTATCCCGGCTACTGTTTCGATCCCTCCTGTCCAGCGGCTTCTCATCACGATCATGTCTAATCGGTCTCCTATCATCACCTTGAAATAAACAGAAAAAAGTTCACCCTCTGCTCCAAAACACGCCATTATCTTACTAGTAGATTAGTCTGAATCGAGTTCTGCGCTTGCGCAGCTCACAAATTGAACTAAAACGGCCGGCAGTGAGGTATTTCCAAGTGAAACCATTCTGTTCATCTAAGTTTTTGTGATAAAACTATCCTCGACTTGAGAGCGTGCACCAATTTCTGGTCCCTCACCCTGGTTATTAACCAGGCACCCTGCTAGAGTGTAAATTAGCCTTTCTCAGACCTTCCCGCGGCCATTTTGTTTAAAATGTAACTAGTACACTGTATGTAAGCCTCTTTAGTGTGAGATTACAAGTAAAATTAAAGGAATTCTTTGGAAGAAAGAAGGTGGTAAGTCGATTGGACCTACCTCGTTGACGTTGGCGATCTGGAGAACCACCACCACGGCGAATTTCCGGCGAACGTCGCCGACTTGGCGACTCGCCACGATCAGGAGAATCACCACCACGACGCCGACGATCTGGTGACCTACGACGACCTTCATCCTATTTAAATTAAAACAAAAAGTAATAATTTATTAATAAACTTTTAAGTGTTTATAAAATTTTATTACTTACTCTTCTTCTATCAGAGTCAACTTCGACCTTTGCGAGCCTCTCCTCGATTTCCCGCTCTCTTGCAGTTGTATCCACAGGTTTCGCACTGCCAAAAATCGACGCAGCCGGCACTTTAGGCTCGGCTTTCTCTGCAACCCTCTCAGTTTCTTTACCTTCCTCTTCACCTTCTTTTGCAACTGGTGCACTCTCTGCTGCTGGTTCAGCGGCAACCGGAACACTCCTAGGCGCAAGATTTAATTTCGGACGCGTTCGTGGTTCACCACCTTCTTCATCCCGCCTCACACCACCATTCCGCTCACCACGATCCATGTAACGATCGTCTGGTCGTCTATCGCTGCGTTCAAACGGCCGATCATCACGATCTCGCCTCGCGCCAAAACCTCGCCTCTCACCGGAATCATACCGTGATGGACCGTCTCTTGTGATTGGAGGCGCGTCCCTAGTGATAGGCTTATCTTCACGTGGTTCCCGTGAGAAACCACCACGGTCGCGATCACCGTCCCTGTCTCGGAATGAGGGCCGATCTCGATCGCCATCGCGATCACGGAATGAGGGACGCTCGCCACCGTCACGCCACATGCCACCGCTACGGTTCTCGTCACGATTGAAATCACGACCGCCGCCGCCTCCGCCATCGCGGTTGTATCGGCGTTCAGGGCCACCTTCAGGTTCTTGACGACCAAAAGAGCGCCAATCACCGGTGGGTGCTTCCGGACGATCGGGGCGGTTCATATCCATACGGCCACGACGCCGATCATTGTCAGAATTTGTTGCTACTTCGATGCGTATTCTACGACCTTTTAATGTCTAAATTTACCCAACAGAGAAAAAAACATGATTTAAATCACAAACTCTAAATTTAATTTAAATGATAAAACTTACACAATCTGGTTTCTCAAGTGCTTCAATTAAACTCTCTTGGTCCTCGAATTCGACGTAACCAAAACCTTTGACACGTGGTTCCTCGCCCATTCGGTCTTCACGCGGAATTCTCATACTAACAATCTATAATTAAGAAAAACACATGAATATTGTTTAATTTAAAGCACAAACAGCTTGATATTACCTTTAATCCAGCAAAAAAATCCTCAAGTTCATCCTCTTCTACGTCGTAGGGTAAATTTGAGAGGTAGACGTTGAAGGGTGGCGACGTGGGAAGTTTTTGACTAAGATCGTCGATTCCACGCGCTGCTTTTGGTGCTGTTGGCAACACGACATTCGTGTTTTTCGCCTCGCGACGTCCTCCATCGTAGGAATCTTAAAATTTTTAAACAAAAATGTGATTTTATTAAGAAAAACACAATTTACTGGCGCTAATTTTATGATAATTTTAAACCATTGAGATTAATCAGTGTGAGAAGTGAAGCAAGTCAACTGTAGATTAGTCTGAATCGAGTTCTGCACGCTTTTGCCACGTGCAGCTTGCAGATTGAACTAAAACAGCCAGCCGCAAGGGTTTCCAATGGCCGGCAGTTCACGCACCTCGCTAAAAGGTCCCCGGTTGTGAACAACAGCCACCAATTTCTGGTTCCCTTGCCCTGCAATAACCAGGCGCCCGGCTAGAGCGTAAATCGGCTTACTCAGACCTTCCCGTGGCCAAGGGAGTAACAAGTACTCTGTTTGTGGGCCCCAGATGCAAGATTACAATTGACTCAACTATCACTACTCACTAAATCATCATGTTAATCTCATTTTGTTCAATTCACTCAACAATATCAAACTTATACATTCGAAAAATGTAATTTTTGTTAAATATAGATTGTTTAACATACCATAAGTGTCCTCAACTTCATCAGCCCAGTTTGACGGCGCCTTGCGGATCGGAATGGTCACATTACCAGGCGTCTCCTGCAGAAACGAGTTCAAAGAGATGGTCTTGCCCTTCGGCTTTTTGCCTTTCTTGCCTGCAAGTAATTTCGTTGTGCGTTAGATGTGATAGCAGAAATGGAAACGTGGTTTTCGCCATGGCGACCACGCGGTGCCGCGGCGAAAGCGTGTTGCGTGACGCCATATGCTCAAATAAACGGCTGGTATTCGTGCAGCCATGAGGATGGAGGCATGCACCAGCCATGGATGGATTTTATTTCGAGCGAGAATTGTGTTTAAGTTACACGTGACAAATAATCGACTGCACTAACCTGAAGAAGCCATGTTGAGGGGATCCGGCATTCCGGACACGATGCAGGCCCACCAACTTGACGGCGCGCGCGCCTTCACCCCCTCCACATTGACACAGTTAAGAGCTGCCAACCGACAAGAGACTTCTCAAAAGTGGAGAGAAATTTGCACGGAAAACCTTTAACATTGAGATATACGTAGAAATATTATAAATATACTAGAATTTATTTATGTGCAATTAAAATATATATTTGTTGTTAACATTTGGTTGAAAGAATTGTGACAACTTGACATAACTTTCGCGTCGAAAAAATTTCTTGACAGATTAGGTTGGTACCACTGTGCTTATAGAATTAAGTCTTAATTTAAACTTACAACAGGTATATATTCATAATACAAAGTTGTACAATTCATTCATTTTAACCAAAATGCATTATTTGCAATAATCAATAAACAGTTTAAAATTAAAAGAAATAACGTTATTTGTTATAGGCAACTTCATGCCGAGTTTTTTTTATTTTAACTACAAAACAAATTAAACTTAAATCTAATATAAGAAATAAAGTTGAGAAATATAACTATTACTATTTAAAAATATATTTTAATACTGTGTTTATTTAAATATTAACTTCATTTATATATTTGAACCTCCAAACAATAACAAATAACATAACCTTGATGCACCTACGTGTTTTCCTTGCGCTGTTTAATTTTCCTAGTTTTAAAAACGTTTTGGCTTGTGTTTGTGCACAGCCCGGATGCGACTTTGTTGGCGTAAATCGTTCGCACGATAATTCATTCGCCGCGGATCGGCTGCACGCAGTGCGTGTATTTTTAATCCTGCGAAATGTCTCGGCCGGCGCACCGAATGTTGCACATTTTGCACCGCTTTGTGTAAAAGTCATCTATTAATACGCCCTTTGTTGAAAAAAACGGCAAACTTATTCACTACCAAACATCGTTAAAAGTGCACGACATGTTTTCGCGCGAGGTGGTTGAGAAGATCCTGCTGCACTGCGATGGGAAGACGCTCAAAGTTGCCGAGACAGTGTGTGTTGAATGGAAGCAAATCGTTGACTACTTGGTACAGGTATGCGTCAAAAAAATCATAAACTTTATATTTTTATCATAAAAAGTTAATTTACCATGTTTTCCTATTAAATTATAATTTATTATTACAGAAACATAATTTATGGCACAAATGTGTTCATCAGGACATACCAACACAAGAACTACTACAATATAAGAGCAAATGGCTTGCCGCAAGTGACAAATGCATCAATTGGGAGCAACTGTATGAAAACTGGATGTGCTGGCATGATATCAAGCAGAATATTCAATTTCACAAGGGCACAACTTGGAAAATCAATAAAATATCATGTTTTAGTGTTATTGGTACACAAAATCACAAAATTTAACACAAAAATATTTAAAAGAAACTTTGTTTCAGGTGATTATATCGCTATCGGACTAACTAATGGTTCAGTTAAAGTTTTTAATAAATCCGGATCCGTTGTAGAAACTTATAGGCATTTAATTGTGCAAGTTCAATCAATACATTTTGTTAGAGAACTGCCAAGTAAGTATTTTCCTCAAAATACAATCAAAATTAGTTTATTTATTATCAAGTATTAATCTAGCTTCAGGTGAAACAAAACCCCCAACTGAATTACTGATTGCTTATCAAGATAAAGTGATAATCAACGATTTCCGCGGCTCGTACGCGCCTGGAACATTCTACAATTGTTACATTTTCAGCAGTTATAAGAACTTTATGTGCAGTGTATCACAAGAAGGACATATTACCATAGCAAAAGTGAGCAACGACGAAGCAAACCGCAAGAAATCGTTTCAAGTTGTAACTTATGCGCGGATTTATTCACCCGACACTGTCAAAAGTTGCACACTTTGGGAAAACGTGTGTTTGATTCTTGTCAATGACAAAGTGAGAGTGATAAATTACAAAGAAGGTAGTAAAAGCTCACAGTTCATGGCTGTTGAACTTACTACTCTACAGTTTTCGAATGTGTACTACATGATGCGTCGAGATGTCTTTATCTTTCATGATAAAGTTATTATTACCGTCACAAAATGTAAGAATCCAAAATTTAACTTATGCAACCAGTTATACACCACCGTTTTGTTTTCTTTTCTGTAGCGATGGATATAATGCAGCAGCAACTTTTCGAACTTTTTATCCTGAATGATGAGGAAAAGCGGAATAGTAAGAAGATGTTCGTACCTTGGGAGGTGTTCAATGCGTTCATCACTTGCGTTTACCTCTATGGGAATACACTGGTGATTGGATTGAGCAGCGGCGTTGTTTATTTCTACGTTATAGACGATTGGAAGTTGTTTGACATAGCCAACTATTCTGAATCCATCGGAATGACGGATGTGTCGCCGATTATTTCCATCGATGCGGTGGAAAGCTACGAGAAGAGAGAGTTTTATATTGCGAGCAATACTTTTGTTCGTAAGGTGATCGGACAGACTGTGAGATAATAACTAAACTAAAATTATATTTTTTACAATTTGACTGTTAAAATCGATGAAAACCAATGTTTTGCTTAAAAATTTAAGATTTTATGAAAATTAAAGTATTTTTTAATACAAAATCGTTGATAATCTCTTGGTAAAACCACGCAAACTTATTAAGAACATAATTTTATTGTTATCTTCTGATCAACAGTGAAAACATCAAATATATTCTCATCTTTCATTTCATTTAAACGTATTTGCTTACAGACTAAATGCTTTCTTTTCTCCTTACACAATATCTGTCACATTTCTATCATATTTATTCATATCACTGTATTTGAGTTGGCGGAGAGAGTACGCAGGTTTCGGAGACACTGGCAAGCGTTTATGTTTTCCCAAGATGTAGTAATCTTAATCGTGCCAATTTTGTTACTCATCTACTCTGTCAAATGTGTTATAATGTTAAAATATTAAAATATAACATTGTTGCACATTTATATGTCATTTGCCCATTTATCTTGTTTATATTACACGTATATTCTTCTGTGATGCGTTTATTTGCACATTTTATGGTAATTTATGGGTTAAGCTCGAAAATAAAGATGAATATTTTCAGAAATCTGTGATTTTGGATAAATTATAGACATTTTGCGCTCGGACACCACGTTTTCTTAGTTTATAAGTTAATTTAAGCCGTATTTTCCTGTCGGATTACTGACATTATGGAAAATTCATGTGCAAATTTCTTTTACAATACATTTAAGTGCTATACATGGTATTTTTGTTATGATAATAGTTATAAAACGTCTCTTTTCTTTATTTACAATGAATTTTCAACTTAAAATTAGTAATATTACTTAAACTTTATGAAATCTTAATGAAATTATACTAAAAACTTCTTATATTTCTCTTAAATCGAATTAAAGCATTCATTTATGTATAAAAAGCAAAATTTACTATGATTTGTATAATTTTTTGTTGTTTTTTGTGTTATGCAACTTTACTTGCACCTAAATTCATTATGGCGGTTACCAACTTAACAAATTTATAATTTTTTGGGTTAACTTTGGTTAAATATTCGCCTTATAAAAACTAATTAATACTACAACAAATATTAATACATTACAAATTAAATCCTGTGTTAATATCTACTATTTCTTGGGGTTTGCTAGTGTATTTAAAGCTAGGACTCTTCTTACTCCTAAAAATGTTTACATTTTCATATTTTTATTTGTTTACAATACATTTAAGGATGTTATTCGGTATATTTACGTTTAGTTAGTGGTTTTCGTTGGTATATCTTAGTACTCCATATCAAATTAACTACGAAACCAAACCTTACCCTGTTAAACTGTTAAATTTCTTGATTTTTATGGTCCCAATGCGAAAACAAACCAAAAACTTACCACAATTAGGTTACCGGCGGACATCTTATTCACATAACTACTTCAATGTCATATTAACTTGTGTGTATGTGAATCGATGATGCCTCTGCACTCACATTCTTGTTTCAGCGTACTGATTATTCTCCTCGCGGATCTGCACCGTCCGCGAGGTGTGGCACTAGATCCACGTGCGTTGATGCAGGCGATCGTCGGAGGTATCCTTCCACTGCTGATGCTGCTGCCAGTCGAGATGACTATTGCGGCCATCTGGCGACGCTTGCTGCTGTTGCTGGTGGTGGTGTGCGCCCCAGCGCTTCATCGCGCGTCCTTTCGACTCATCTGCAATATGTGTGCACAGAGTGTGCTCGTCAGTGTGCTGATTTGGATGATGTTGATGAAGGTTCACATTTACGTGCGTCCTTACAGTACCTGATCAAGCAAAATCAACAATCAATCATATCTGCGGCACGCTAGTGGTGGGTATTTGTTTACCAGCCAAAAGCCGTGTGTTTATTGGTCAAAATTTGAACGAAAACGAAAGTAGTAACCTTGGAACAAAACGGAATCAAATAAATGTTTGAAAAATAAATAAATTTACTTAACATGCCGTTTCCGGTTGATATTTATGATTTACAAGTAGAGTATGTTGATGATTAGTTAGAATTATAATTACCGTTTCTGCCGTTACGCATTAATCGGTTATGATCGGGTGAGCCGACAAAGGATCTCCGTTTGCTAGTGAAGACTTCGCGGCGCGTGAACGCCCCAGGACTTGTGTCGACAAACGGCAAACAGGAGAAGAACTGTTTGAAGCCACGCCGAAACCTGCAACCCAACATACACGCCATCAACACATATCATACACATATTAGGTAATAGTTATTCAACCGAATAATTGAATTCATATCGTGTTTGGAATACATGTGCGCAATTCTCGTTGACAATAACAATGAAACGCAATTGTGAACTAGTTTGATTTGAAGCAAATGCATCCAATGCATGTCCTTTCGATTGCACCATATACAACATAACCAAACTTCAGTGATGTTCTATTGTATTTTGATATCTCTATTAATAGAATTTAATTATTATATTTTAATTGTTTGACACGATTAATTCAATCAAAGACAGAAGAAGCGCCGAAGCACGTCAATGCGGCACATCGGAAATGAAAACATAAATAAAGGCATCGGAAGCGCGTCAACTGTGCGCCGCTTAATTAAAAGCAATCGATTAATTATCAACCGACGGTCGTCGCATGTCCAACCCGCAGCTTGTGGAATTTAATAATTTCAAGAGCGTCTTCGCATTTTTATGGCTGCGCGGTATTTTCTAGGGCTTTTACCTATGACTGAGTTATTTTCTAATACACTTTAACAAGTTTATTAACTACTCTAATCAAAAATTAAAGAAAAAAAATTAAATAATGATTATCCATCACACAGAATACGTAAAAGTAGTAAAAATGGAGAAAAATATTCGTAATACGCAATTAGAAAAGATTAAAAAGCAAAAAATGAGAAAAAAATAAGGGAAAATAACCGACTGTTTCTCTAGACGATTCACAGATGGCGTTGGCCTATTATATCTGCAGTCGACCCGCTAATAGTGGTGGGGGTAGTGTGTCGGTACTCGTGTGTGCGCTACCTAGTCTCTCAGTCACGTGACTGTAACATATTTCACCCGTTGCACAGAAAATGGTAAGAAATACGTACCAGGTATTTGTATTGTTAACTTTCTTCAACATCAGACTTATATTTCTAAAGAAATCGTAGCGGGGTTTCCAAGAAACTTGCTTTAATAAAATTACAATAGCGTAAAACTATGTGATGTAATAACGCTTGTGTCACTTGCAGGAATTTTCATAAATATCCATTGCGCAACTAGTTGAAACTTTCAGCGTAAAAATATAATATCCACTCGAATAATACCCGCGAGCAAAAGCAAAATTCCATCCATTCTCTCGTAGCTCGTAGATTTCAATATGAAATAATTTGGTTTGTAACAAACGCAAACTAGTTGCGTGATTGTTACAGTTTTAAAGGCTGAATTAAGTGGCAATTACGACGTTTTGCACAGATGGCCAACTTTCGCGATAGTTCGCGAGCGCGCCGCCGCGCTGGAGGCGCGACGCTATAAAGACTAATTAGCAAGTTAATTGACTCGATAGTGACGGGCTTGCGTGCGCTCCGAGGGCGTTAATAAAGCCGTCCGGGGCAACTTTGCGGTTGACCGCCGATGGAATTGGCTCCGGCTGCGGTTGGAATAATACGATATATTGGGGCGGGCGAAATGCGTCGCGTTCGGTTTATGACCGTTTCACCTGGCCGTAAAATAATTCGATTTGATACCACTTTGATGGATATCGTTTTTATTCAACCATATACTCTCCAGGAAGGAAAATGTTTAAGTGATGAGATGGAGATATAACTTAAAAAGTCAGAATTTTAAAGATTAATTGTTCAAACAAAAAAAGAAAGAATTTTTAGGAAAGACAAATTTATACCTATAACAAAACACTCTGTATACTGTTAATTAATAACTCAAAATAAAGTTTTTAAACTGAAGAGAATTCATTGTTTTAACTTTTAACCTCGAAATGCACTTTACCCTTTGTAAAATCATATAGGCAACCAACCATACATAATAATGTAATAATATTGCATGGTTTGTAGCTGATCGAAAATTGCGCATAAAAAAACCCATTTAACAAGAAAGTACTTTAAGTATTCACTTTGACATAGGTAAATGAAGCCTACAAATTGGATTCAACACACCACACGAGACGCAAATATTCAGATGTCACTCATTTCCGGACCTACAAAGTCATAAAGTGAAATTTCTGGAATTATACATGGCGCAATTAGCGTTTAGGCCTCTTGATGTCTTAATCCTGTGTGACGCGTAATTAAAATGACGAAAACAAATCTTAAAGTTGCCACTTCTATTAAATCATCTCGGTTAAGAGCAGAATAACGCAGAATACACAAATAAATATTAATACATTTGAAATTTTAGGATTTTTATGTAAATTTCAGAAAAATCTGCTACTTGACAAGCAAATTAAGTCATGTAAAATGTTTTCAGACTATTTTTTACCTTATAAGACTATTTTTGTTTAATTTTGTTAAAAATCTTAGCATAAAATTTAAAATTTAAGAAAATCAAATTAATTTTCTTTGATTTTCACTGCAAAGACACTCTAAACGACTTTTCACTCCCCAATAAATTAATTAATATATTATTAAATTAATAATTAAAGTCCGAAGACGTTATTTATCGCCTAAGACTAACATTTGATGAATGAACGCGTTGATTTCCCAAACGCCTTCCCCATCGAACCGTACCAAATCGAATTCGATCGTTTTTCGCGAAAATATTAACGAATAATTAATGAATTAATGAAAATGTGAAAGGTATCAAACCATTAATTAGGCTTAATACTAATGCTTTAATCTGCAATGATTAACGAGGTGAATTTCGGCGCGCAATTAAAGAATTCCGAACAAATTTTCCACGTTTTTGATTGCGTCGCGTGAAGATAACGAATTATTTCGTCATGTTTAGTGTTATTAATGATGATGCGCAGCGTTGTGACTCACCGTGCGTTCATCCAGCAGTAGATAATCGGATTGTACATCGAATTGCTCATCGCCAGCCAGTAGATTGCCAGGTAAAGTTCCTGAATGTAGCTGGAGTTGCTAATTTCGGGGAAGTGTGCTATTATGATGAAGTATAAATGGAACGGTAGCCAGCAGACGGCGAAAATGATCACCACAACGACCATCATTTTAACCACCTATAAAGAAACATTCTTATTAATAAACTAGCTTAAATAAAAATGTTATTTGTTTTTACTCTCTTGTTCTAGACATAGTATGTGTCAATTCTAACAATTAGATTCGCAATTTTATTTTAAAGAAATTAATTATATAAAGAGTAGCTAATAATACACTTCAGCGCGCCATCTCGGATTCAACTATTTAACTATAACTATGATTGAATCTCAATGCCAACTGTCATCCTATAGAAAATGGCTGTTTTTTAGGGTTTTCTCGGCAATTATTTGAATTTTTCTCGACGTAAAAACCATCCTTGAATTTTATCAAACATTTTAAAAAAATAATTGGCCAAATTGGTCTAGGCGTTGTTGAGTTATGCGCTTACCAACAGATTTTGCGATTCATTTTTGTATTATAGATATTTTAGAATATTTTTTGAAATAAAATGAAAATTTTTGTTGTGTGTTCTATGAAGCGTTATTAGGCTTCAACCAATTACCTAATGTACGTATATAAACGCATGCAAGCATTAAGATATGAAGCAGTCTCGATAATGTGATGATTGGGTAGATATTAGGATATGTATATTACCCGCCGCTTGCTTTTGATGTTGTCCATTTGCCGCTGAGTGCACTCGCCGATGCCCTGCGAACCCCAGAGTTCGAGGCCGATGCGGGTATAGGTGTACGTCATCGCGAGGATGGGTACCACATATGTTATGAAGAGGAATGCCACGTTATACCTGGAATACAGTCAATATTAAGTTATTAATATTTATAAAGGTTTAAACTAGAAATTTTCTTATAAGTCAACAAAAATCTGTTCTCTACGTAAAAATGTGAACTTGTTTTTTCTTTTTGAAGTGAAAACTTCTTTAGAATCGTTGTGATTTCAAAATTTTATATGATTTAACCGGCGAGAGAATAAAAGAACACAAATATACAGTGTTTCCTATTATTTTCCTCTCCTCTTTGTGCGAGGCTTTGTAGCTAGCCATAAGCCCCTAGATTCTGAATATTTTCTGAATATACTATAACATTGTAGGGTAAAAAATACAAAATTTAATAAAAGTGCTAAAAATTGAAATATTTCAGATTTAGACAATTATTTACAATTGCGAATATATCGTAAACTAAAAGAGATAATTAAGATCGCGTCGCAGCGTCTTAATCTACGGACTTTTCTCTATAAGATAGGCTAGTTAAAACGAAAGTCTGAAAGATGAAATTTTAATTTTAAGAAAAAATCGCCAAGGGTTCTTGATACTTTTTTTCGACGATTTTTGATAATTAATATCTGTTAAACTAAAAGCGATAGCAACCAACAAATCGCTGATTATGAAAGACTAGGAAATTCTCTATCAGATAAAAATATAAAATGATAATATTTCCAACAGTAAAAGGTCGAAAAACGCGACTAAAAGTGCTAAAAAGTGACATTTTTCAATTTTTGAGCATTTTCTTTAATCGCGAATATCTCGTAAACTAAAAGAGATAAATAAGATCTGATCGCAGCATCTTAATCTACGGACTATTCTCTATAAGATAGGATAGTTAAAACGTAAATCTGAGAGATGAAATTTTAATTCTTAAGAAAAAATTGCCAAGGGGGGGTGCTTGATACTTTTTTTCGACGATTTTTGATAATTAATATCTGTTAAACTAAAAGCGATAGCAACCAACAAATCGCTGATTATGAAAGACTAGGAAATTCTCTATCAGATAAAAATATAAAATGATAATATTTCCAACAGTAAAAGGTCGAAAAACGCGACTAAAAGTGCTAAAAAGTGACATTTTTCAATTTTTGAGCATTTTCTTTAATCGCGAATATCTCGAAAACTAAAAGAGATAAATAAGATCTGATCGCAGCATCTTAATCTACGGACTATTCTCTATAAGATAGGATAGTTAAAACGTAAATCTGAGAGATGAAATTTTAATTCTTAAGAAAAAATTGCCAAGGGGGTGCTTGATACTTTTTTCGACGATTTTGATAATTAATATCTGTTAAACTAAAAGCGATAGCAACCAACAAATCGCTGATTATGAAAGACTAGGAAATTCTCTATCAGATAAAAATATAAAATGATAATATTTCCAACAGTAAAAGGTCGAAAAACGCGACTAAAAGTGCTAAAAAGTGACATTTTTCAATTTTTGAGCATTTTCTTTAATCGCGAATATCTCGTAAACTAAAAGAGATAAATAAGATCTGATCGCAGCATCTTAATCTACGGACTATTCTCAATAAGATAGGATAGTTAAAACGCAAATCTGAGAGATGAAATTTTAATTCTTAAGAAAAAATTGCCAAGGGGGGTTGGTCGATAATTTTTGTCGACGATTTTCAATAATTTATATCTCTTAAACTAAAACAGATAGCAACTAGCAAATTACAGACTATGAAAGATTGGAAAATTCTCTATTAGATTAGAGTAAAAAATAATTAAATATCGTAGGGTAAAAAGGTGAAAGATTTGACTCAAACTTGAAATTTTTCAAATTTTGACGATTTTTTACAATTGCGAATATTTCGTACATAGAGATAGAAAGGAACAAATTGCAGTGTCTTAATCTACGAACAATCCTCTACAGGATACAAGATAATATATTAAAATTAAGGCAAAAGAAAAAATTTAATTACGCTACATTGTAAATAACCTACTATATCGTAAAAAGTAGTACGTAAAAGTTTACAAGCTATTTTGATAAGCTGTTACTTATCTGATTCTAAATTAAACACCACTAACAGAGGGTGTTGATTTACTGCAGTATATATCTCTGACGTCAAACACCGTAAAATTGTACTTATCTACACTACTTGCAAAATTGTTTCTATGGCTGCAGTGAAAAGAAGAGTTGCAAATGTAATGTAATATAATGTATGTAAATGTACGCAAAGAGCTTTTAATCCATGCCGGAAAACGCAAATTATGCAGCGTCAAGCGGAAAAGAGTGAAACGTTGCTAAGAAAACGTGCGCTGCAGCGTTTTCTTGATGAACGCAACGCAGTGAGCGAGAGCGCGGCTCTTTCGGGGCCTCATTTCTGCTTGCCGCGTTTTTTTTTGCTTGTTGCTTGTTTTCTTACGGGCGCGTAGTTTACTTTGCTTTGCGATTTGTGACGGGGAAAATGCGGCAGTGTACCGTGGCGTGAATAAAATTGCTTTGGCGCTGATTTTTCACTGCTGGATTGCGCTTCCTTGATCTGCGTCTGGGTTTCATTAAACGCTTTGTTACATCTTTTATCCTTTATGGGTTAGGGACGCTATTTTAGGCAAAGGAACGTTTTAAGATGTAATGTTAGTTTAAAATTTATAAAACTAGGAAGTCATGGGCTTCGGGAACGTAGTTTTAATGTAGAATTTAATTAATTTTAAGTTTTTCGTTTCTTGGAACTAGAATATGGTGATTCCATCAATAAAATTCGAAATTTTATTTTTAGGAAATGAGGAATGCTAATAATGACATTTAGCGCTATCTAGAATTGAACTAGTTATCTATAAATATGATATCAGTATGTATCAATACTCAACCCATAATTTAACACCCTTAAAATAATTATTTTTGATATTTTAATACTCTTTATCTTATTCATGCTGAAGACAAATCCAAAAACCCAAAAATCATAAAAATCTGTCCAACCGTTCTTGAATTATAAATGATGTAACTAACAAAACTATGATTTATATGGTAATACAATGTAATATTGGTTGCATATCTTATAAAAAAAAATAACTTACATATAATCCAATTTGGATACGCCTGTGAGACCATCAGGCCACTCCGAATAGCAGATTATTCTCTCCGGTAGCGCGAACGTAGTGTAGACGTACAGATTGGGGCTGGAGATGATGGCGCCGAGCACCCACGTGGCAATAGCCAGCGATAGAGTGACAATCCGGCCCATTCGCGGCCGCAGCGGCGTCATTATCGCCATGTATCTGTCAACAACAACAACAAAAACATCATCCACAAACTTTCCCACTGCTTATTTGCCATAAACTCCTTTGGTTTCTCGCAGAGATCAAGAAAATAAAGTAAAGTAAACAGTTGAGTGCCATGTTGTCAAAAGTAGGCTAGGATATGTGATACACAGAGTGGAAAACAATATTATCCAAAAGTAGTCCAAAGTCCAAACATATCAAAGAGTCAAAGACTTTTTAGGTCAAAAACATAAAAAAAAACAAGTTTTTGACCTAAAAAAAATGAAAATCGTTATTTTAACTTAATATTAATCATAATTAAAACTTTTTGCCACTAAAAGTTGATTGTATAAACTTTTATGAAGTAGTAAAAACTTTAAATTGTAGTTGACACGTAGTTTAATTCAATCTCAAGAATAAATTTCATTAATCACCACAATAAACACCCGCTTTGCCCTAACAAATAGCTTCATCACCATTTGGTAATCAGATTGTTTAATTTTGATAGCTCACACGAGGGCGAGCGCAGCGCGTATTCGTTTCCAGTTCATTATTGGAAAAGTTTTACGGGAACGCGTGTGTAGTCCAAATTGCCGCCGCCCAAACTCTGCATACGCTCAAGGGCTAAAGATAGACGAAAAACGAATTTGCCGCGCGTGCATCGTAGCACAGATTGAATCTGAATCCGAATCAAAATTGAAATCAAACGCGAACTCAAGCGCCAACTCATGCTTTTTGTTTTTGTAGAAAAATCCATTGTACTCGTACTGCCAGCAATTGGATAATTTTTTCTCGATGATCCAATTTTATTTCGATTATAACAAGATAACGATGATAGGATAAGGGAATTTCTTCGATGGTTTTTATATTTTTAGGTGTAGATGCGATTGTAATTAATGTTTGAGATAAATCAATAAAAATTTTAATTGTGCATTGGAAGAAAAACCTGCGACTCGCATTAATCCAATTTACAGCTTTGCAAAAACCAAAGCGCCGTGGTTTTCACGGCTTGCGGATTAATTAACGTCCTCAGCGCTTCCAGCATCACTTCACGTTCACGTTATCGTTCTTTAAGGCCCACAAACCGTGGAACCACCTCCACTTTCACCTACTTTTCTAATCTTATTCTTATTCCGAATTCGTTCGTCTTCAGTTTCAATCAACTTATCGATAATATTTCTTTGCGATCCAATTCAAATCAAATCTTAAGTTGAGAGCTTATTTCAACCGAAATCCAGCCGGTGGATTTCAGATTAAATATTTTTATATTTTAAAAAATGTTTTGAAAGAAAATTATAATAAAACTTTAGTAAGTAAGGTAATAAAACTTACCTGTCAATAGAAATGGCCATTAGAGAGAAGACGGATGCGCAGATGGACAAAGCCGCGATAAATTGCGTTATTTTGCAGTACAATTTACCAAATGGCCAATCAGCGTTCAGCATGTAGACGAAATTGAAGGTGACGTTTAGTGTCGAGACCATTGTGTCCGCTATTGAAAGATTTACTGTAAAAAACAAGTTTAATAATTTTCTTTCTCCAATTATTCAAGTTTTTATCGTACTGTAAAACTACGATAAAATGTCTGTCAAAGTATGAAAATATGATTTAAAAACTACGCAGTGCTTCATTAATAAATGTCTTAAAGTAATTATAAGCAGAAGTTAATTCAGTGTTGTTATTCAGTGCGCGTTTGGAGGAGACACTAGGGACACTTGAAAAACATTTGTTTTGGACTTGTTAATGTTCCTCAAACATTCGGGTTTATACAAGAAATAAAGGATTTTCTTGGGGTTAACGTATTGTTAATTTTAAGAAAATATTTTTATAAATAACTAAAAGTATTTTTTACAAAATCAATGAAAACCCCAAAAATTGTAAAATTGCAAATTGATAGTTTTAATAAGAAATTGTCCCGGAGGGAAATGTTATGAGGTAATATTGTAGTCCACTCCGTGACTAAAACCTGTGACTAAAGTACTTTAGTCACGACCTTGGCGGTGTGTGTTTAAAATACCAATTTTTGTGTCTCAAAACCGTGGAAAAACTGAAGCTTTCAAGATGGAAGTAAAAAGTGTATTAAGTATCCGCAAATAATATATTTCAGCATACGTCGGTAGAAATGAAAAAATAAAAAACAGCGAAACTAAAATATCAAATTTACTTTTCAACATTTTTAGGGCAATTTATTGAATTGCTTTCCAATAAAATACATACGTCTGCTTTCAATTATACAGATATATCTATAAAAATATTAAATGCACAAAATTGATCAAATATTCTGAAACCTACATAAATTAATACCCCGTTTTATTGCAAATGAAACGCAATATATTTTTTCCTTTTTCAAAAATCCCACTCTTAAAAAACTTGTAATATTCGTTCAAAATATCAAATATTTTTTCTTTTTAGAAGTTTACCATTACCATTATGTCCATATTGTTTCAGAAAATGTCGGTCACGTCCACATCGCCGCTCCGAAAACGTCGTCGCGAGTGTATCGCGAACGTTGATGCAATTACATCCGCCTCCCGCGGGCGCCGGCGGTTATTAAACGAGTTAAAAAGAACTTTAATCCTCGACAGGGCAACACGACCAAATACATAATATGCTCGTACCGATTGGCATCTCGGGTCTCGACTCCGCCGTTGCGGAAAATACGCTGCCGCGCACACAAACGAAGCGAGGGGAGAAAGAAAAAAGCGAAGCGCCAGCCACGCGCGGCACGGAATTTCGAAAATGGAAGTTGTAATGATATTAAATTGTGCAATTTTCGTTTCAAACAGGAAAAAAGTGAACGGGAAGTGAGTTGTAAAACGTGATCGCTGTCTACCGGAGCATTTAAACATTGATGGTATAAAATAAGAGTAAAAATCGAGGTTTTATAATAAAAATCGAAATAAATTATTATTTTATGATACGTATTTTAACACCTTGAGGAAAATTTATGTTTTAAAATTAAAATCTCATTCATATCTTTAATAATTTCAAATTTTTAAAGATTTTACCTTAGAAAATAGTTTTATCTTTTCCTCGGCTATTAAAAAAACTATAAAAACCGTGCACTTAAATTTTAATATGTAAATTAGCCGATAAATCATTTATTTATTAGAATTTTAATAAATTTTTTACTTTCATCTTTAAAACGCGGGTTTTTCACGGTTTAGAGACACAAAAATATATATTTTACACATGGACGGATCAAACCGTGAATAAAGTACTTTAGTCACGGGTTTTAATCACAGGGTGGAATTTGCGCCTGCGTATTTGCCTACGGTACAGCACAAAACCATTACTTCGAATTTTAAATGATTTTACTTTCGTTTATGAGAAAAATCAAAGTTTTTCTTTTCTCAACCATTAAAAAACTATAAAAACTGTATACTAAAACTTTAATACGCCAAATAACCAATAAATCACGTATTTAATAACATTTAAACAAATTTTTATTTCCATTTTTAAAAATCCACATTTTTATACCGATTAGACGAAAAATGTCGAATATAAAATTGGTAAAAATTTGTAACACAACACGATATTTATTTTTATTAAATTAAAAATAGAAATAAATATTTTAATTGATTTCGTGCAACCAATAAAACCAAATTTAATTAAATACGAGTTTGCATACCATCGACGGAAACTTTTAAATTAAATTAAAATTAATAATAAATTTTTTACTTACGTAGAAAATAGTTGAATACGGTCCTCATACGCTTGTGAGCAAGGACAATCCAGATGACGATTAAATTGCCGCCGGTAGCGACAATTACCATCCCCGCATACAGAATAGACCAATAAGCCTGTCTCCATAGCGGCAAAATAAATCGATTGCCTTCGTCCACTTCAACAAAGCAATCAATTACAATAGCATAAACATCATTGCACAATATCAATTTACAATTTACAAATTGTATACAAATCAGACCCAAAACAAAATAAAAACATACCTGTGTTATTCGTTGTGTTCGTCCCGTTCTCCATCGAATCCAATGTGAACAAGACGTTGGCGAACGGATCCAGGAGTGTCTCATTCATTTTTATTTAATTTCTTGATTTGAATTTACAAATAAATATTTGTTGTTTAAAGAGATGTTTATCGCTGCGTTGATGGCGGATGCGATTTACTCGAGTTGATAATCGCGGATAGCCGCGAGCGAGTCAATGCAACGAAGAGTGAATGTGAATGTGAATGTGATATCAATATCGCTGCGTTGGGACGCGCTGGACCAGAAGAGATCATTGTTTCCATTGCGCTCGCAAGCGTGATGAGTGTGATGGGGAACGTAACGAGCGCAGGGCAATTTTGAGATTGGGGATTTGTTTTGACGCATTGCCAAGGAGATTATATCTGAAACAAATTATTTAAGAGTTATTATAGAATAATAACGAGTCATTTTCAGTAAAATTTTAAAATTTAAATTTTGTAAATTTTAATTTTGCGGTGACTAAAGTACTTTAGTTACGGGCTTTAGTCATGAGCATGAAGCATGAAATATTAATTTCCTTTCATGTAATTTTTATAGATCTAATACACTGGCAGTCATTTGGCAACTTTTCAATTTAATGCAATAATGAGTAAATTACGTAATTTTTTTAAACTTTGAGGTTATATTTGGCATCGATACGATAGTGTATCAAAATTATGCGAATATTTATCTTACTGGCAAAAAAAATACATAAATTTTATTCTTATGAAATAAATTACTAAATTGAGAATTCGTTTGATAAAAATATTTAATTTTTCATTATGAAAATATTCCATTTTTTAATTAGTTTAATACGGTATTTATTTTGATAAAGGAGTATTTACTAGTACATACGAGTAGTTGCAAACAATTTTGCATAAACCAAGTTTATCAATATTCTTCCTATAGAAAGAAAATGCTTTCATATTTCCGGGGAATATCAATTGAATTGCAAAGATTGCAAAATTCTCATATTATATGATTTGGCTAGCGCTCAAATGCGAATGAAAGAGATAACTAGGCAATTTAAATATGTTCCTATAAAGTAACGAGTATTTTTACGGTTTGCACATGTTGAAAGTAGTACCAACTTACCAGGAAATACGGTATTATTACATATTTTATTCCACATATCATTAAAATGAACTTATACTCGTACTACTAAACCTTCATCAGGAAACATTTTTACGTTTTAAATCTGCTAATTATTATTTAAAACCATATTAGATATAATTTTTCTACTTCCACATTTAAAACATTTCTTTTTCCACGGTTTTTAGAGACAAAAAGTAGTACATTAAACACAGACCAGCAAGGCCATGCCTAAAGTACTTTAGTCACGGGCTTTAGTCACAGGGTGGAGCTTGCGCCTGCGCATTTGCCTACGGTGCAGCACAACGTAAACATCACGTGGCTAAACTTTGTTAAACACTCGATTGATTAAACGCTCGCTACGCTTGCTCTTAATCAATCTCGTGACTAAAACTACTGTTTAGTCACTTGATACTTAATATACTATTATTAAATACTAAAAAATCACTTCTTAATGACATATCAATCAGTACCCTCTGATTTTAAGCCATAAGTTATCCTCACCCAAACTTCAACAACTAAAAAAACTTAATCCGGATTACATCTCAACTTTTTTCTCCCATTCTGTCGGCTTTGAAAAGTTTAAGATTTGCACAAGTATGATTTTAAGCTCGGCGTAGAGAAGAAAATTCACTGTTCATTGATTCGGACAAAAATGTGCGCGACGCCTAATGTCGTTTGTAAGTTATCCCTGCGCAAAACTCTCGCTTCCAAACACATCCAATCTTTTCGCAGGCGCTCAAAGCCGTCGTCAGCGCCATCGAAATATTCGGAAATGTTTTTCGGACCCCTTCGAATAATTGCATTCCATTGCTACCGACGGCTGAATGTATGACGTTTAATTCCGCGTCATTTGTTGCAAAATTTAGGAGACAACAGCAATAAAAAACGGAAAAGAAGGAAGGAAGGAAAAATTCGACTTGAAAATATCGACTACAGATAACTAATTTAAAGAAAAGGAAAGGAATTGAATTTTATCACGTGGAAAATTATTTGATTGTTTTAAATTGATTCAGACGTAGTGATGTTGTTGAAAACTTCTGTTTTCGTCGGTTTCGACGTGTTTGGAAAGAGGTAGTTGCGTAAAACATTGAATTTGCATATCAAATCAGAATAGATATTGTTACCATCCGCCTAGTAGAGAAATATATTCATTGGTGGAGGGGAATCTAAAGTATACATTGAAAAATCTGAAGGTCAACAAATAAATTCTCCGATTTTTTCTAAAAACATAATTTTGTCATTTTTTCCACGGTTTTGAGAAAGAAAAAGTGGTACTTTATACATGGACGTGACTAAAGTACTTTAGTCACGGGGTTTAGTCACGAGGATAATTTTTTTTTAACTTTCTTTCACTAAAACAAAGTGAATTTCTAACGCAAACATAAAATTTTATAACTCTTCGTTTTCTTCAAACAGTAATTTTTAAATTTAATTGAAAACCAAACAATTAGCCACAGATGTTCCTCGTAATACTTTTGTATTACTTTGAATTTAGCTATGTTATTTCCTAACACACTTTTTTTACGCAGTGGTATCAATTCCATCAATTCAATGTTGTTGCGCTGAGTGCTGCGCAAATACGCGAAGGGCAATAAATGTAAATGACAAGCATTGTCACCTCGAAAACTATCGCCGGCGCGGCGCGTCCCTCGACGCCGCATTTTCCAGCCACAGCCACACAGCCACCGCCACCGCCCCGGCTCTTTCGTAATCGAATAATTCAATTTCATCCGTGGATCCGCCGATCCGCCAACGCGATTGAATACGAGCCGAATACGAATTCGAATTCGAATCCAACTAGGACTACGCATTCGCATTCGTGGAGTTAGGGATGACTCGTTCACTTTATTGTTCACTCGTTCGCTCATTCCGCTTTTCTTTTTTTTATTTCTGCGGTTGTGTGTCTGGACGCGTTGAATAGGTGGATAATAAGTTCAAGAATGGACGTTTTAGTGTTTCGGTATGTGGTGGAAATTGGAAGGCGAGACAACGAGGCAACGCACGAGGCGGAAGACGGAAAAAATACGCGCGCTGTATTTGAGTACAATCTGGCGAGTAGACAACTTTACCAGAAATGAAAGCAAGCAAATAGAATTGGAAGCAAAGGGAAAAAATATACGGGAAAAGGAATGCTGTGTCTATTGTTCTTCATTGTTGAGGAGGTTTCTTAGGATTTCGCTGCGAAAGAATCTTCTAGGGATAATTCAACAATGCGTCAAGTGAAATCTGTTAGAAACTAATCAAGAACAGACTTGTAAACAAATAAAATGCCTAGGCATTAAAGAAAAAAGAAAACAATACATTTTTTGGCATTCAGAATTAACTTAATTGAAAATAATGGTAAAATATTACTATACTGCCTTAATATTAAAATAAATATTTACGGCCTAGGCAGAAAAGTCTATAACTTCTCTATTTTTACTCATTTTTCAAATTTCTAATGAAAAAAAATTAAAATATTCACGAATAAACAACTTTTAGTAAAATCTTTACTTTACTGCCTTGATATTAAATTGAAAATTTATTGCCTAGGCAAAAAACTTAATAATTTTTCAATTTTTTCAAAATTTTCAATTTTTTAATGAAAAATTATTCGCAAATAAACAAACAGAATTGAGTTTTATAAACAAATATTAACACTGCACGCATGTACTTTTATTGTTTATACACAATTACTATAACATCGCCCCTAGAATATTGCATTCGAAACGCAGCGCGTCGAATAAAAGAAATGTCAACACATTTAACGTCGGCGTCCGGCGCGCGCTTTAATTGATTGGATGGGTTTCATGTCAACAGCGCAACGAATATTAAATGTCAACAGTCGGAAAAAGGACGCGCGCGCACAATTTTCTAAAATGACCCACAACCAACGTGCAAATAGAAATTCAGCGGCGCCCACGCAGTCGGATGTTGAATGTTTAATGCTTAGTGCGTCCATTATGCTTGGGGAGCTTCGGTCGGGCTTGTTGGTTTGTTGGCTTTGCGTAATAGGTCACTAGACAAAGGAAACTAATTTATTTGGCTCCAAAAACGATGGCAAATAGCGGCCGAAAAGTTGGTTTAAACAAGTTGATAATAGGGAAATCACGAAAGTTAGGTTAACTGATTGTTTTTCGTGGACGTTGACATGTTACAAAATGTTGCAAATTGTTTTTACTGGCATTGTGCTACAGTTTTGAGAATTTTAAAAAAATATTAGTTTTTACACAGTGGTACCAAAAGTGGTACTTTAAACACGGCCGTGACTAAAGTACTTTAGTCATGGGCTTTAGTCACGGGGTGGGGTTGTTGATGAAATCAAATACAGCGAAAAAACACAACCAAAAAATTGTTTTCTTTGGATTAATTTTTTTTAATTAAAATATTTTTCTATCTGATGAAATTTTTCATTTAAACCATCCACGAATACCCGTAGTTTACCACAAAAAAATTTCATCAAAATTGAACGAACCGTTTAAGAGTAATTCAATAACATACAACCGAACAAAAGATTTTCTATCTTAAAAGATAAAATACAAATTGTTTTCTTTGTGACCTTTTGAGAATAGATACAAACTGTGAATGATGCAGTTGACTGCATTTGACGGCGAATGAAGTTCGAAACAACAAATACATACAAATACCGTTGACAAATGAAAATCCGATTCTGCATGCGCCGATGACTGTGCAGAAACGCAACGTGCGACAGCGTTGCCCTCGGATAATAATATCCACACAATCCGCAAACGCATCGTGGCGTGCTGTGTGTGGGCTTTTCGCTCAGTTCCGCGCGCGCTGTGATTGAAAAGCTCACGGACTGTTTCTGGATGGCAAACAAGCGAGGGGACACCGCACGAACGCAATCCGCTCACAATGCAAACTAGCTCTGCACATGAGCGACTATGATATAATATTTGTAATGTGCATTTGTTATTTAATTAGGGTTAAAAGCGTGGACAATGCGCAATTTATTAGAATTTCGGTGGGATTTGCATGACGCGTGTGGGGAGATGTTATACTAACCATGATGGAATGGCTAAATGGTTCAAATGTTCTATTTTCGGCAACTGAGAGTAATTAATTTGGTGTTTTGTATCATTGAACAGCGCTGTTTGTTTATTTATTTGGGAGTGAAAGCAGTGATTAAAATAACGCTTCATTATGAATTAAAACCACAATTACAAAGGGTAATAATGATGACCATTGATTAAACTGAATGTTCGCTAGTGATTTATGATTAATTAAAATAAAATTACTAGTTTACTAATAATTAGTAATGAGAAATGGTAATAATACGCTTTAGCGCCCTCTCTGATTATATTATGCAACTATATTTACGACTAATATTTTATTTCCAATTTAACCTCAAATTTAACACCATTAAAATCAAAATATTCAAAATTTTAATTAATATTCTCATATTCAGGACAAAGATGAATACAATAAACTTTAAATAATTAAAATCTGTCCAACCGTTCTTGAGTTATACACGCTGTAACTAACTTTACTAAATTTTTTCTTATACCTGATAATTTACAAATTCTTCTAGATGTTTTCAGCTTGAATTCACCGACTATAATAACCTTCAGTGACGCTGCACTTCTGAGTCACATGAGCGCAATCACGCGACGTGTTGCAACGTCGCACGTTCTGATTGGCCCAACATGCACACGTGATGCCAGTCATCGTCACGCACGCACGTCCGACGCGTTAACTCTACCTATACACCCCCTGTTCCTTACGCTGTGGACTATTCCATTCTCACTATTTCACTCTACATTCTACGACTTCTCTTATTTGATGTTTCATTTAAGTTTTCAGTAGTTTCCCAACACGTCAGTTACTAACCAACTTTCTGCGAACTAATACTTTTAATTTCAAACCATTTATATCAGTGATTGAGTGGTTCGTAATGCAAGCGCATAAATAATGTGTGAAATTATTGCATTCGCCAAGTTTACCTGCAGTCATATTTGCTAAGTACTCGAGTTGTGAGAAGTTTGCAATGCTTCACGGTAATTCCGGGCATTTATCAGTGGTAAGATGTGGTATTTAATTCATGTGATAAATTTCTAGCTTTAAATAACATTTATTATTATTATTTTACTGTTTTAGAAAAGAAATGTTGAAAAATATCAAAAATATTTTGAATATTCTAAAGTGCTGCAACCCACTATACATTCTTTTCTTCAAATTCACAAACGTAAGAGAAGTTGCATAGTACAAGTAAGAGATCAAGCTGAATATAATGCACTTTTCGCCTGCGTGTCCGATCCGCTTTTCCGGAAGCACCGAACTCCCTCGAGGAAGAATGATGGGTTAAGCGCATTAAGCGCACGTTAAGCACATTAACGGTTTTAAGCTCAAGTATAAATTGCACCACAATACGTGTCCCATCCACGATGCGCAATGATCAAAGACACGAATTATTACTCAGAAATGTATCCAATTGTGGTTTCATGCTAATTCATGCACGAGTAATAACTTAATTAATCAGTAACCTAAAGGTATACTGCTATTCAACTGTTTCTTGATATTTCAATTTTCCAGCTGAAAGTGTATGCACAATGTATCATGCGATATGCATCCGGAACAATCATTACGCGGTACTTAAACAAATTAAAATTTACACCCTGTTTTGCATGTGCTGGCACAGGTAGCAGCTCTCGTTCGGTTAACTGGCGCACCGCCTACGCCTACGCCTGCACCAACGCTCATAAAATTGCCAGCACAACGTGGCCAACACCAACATAATTAACATAACTAATGGAAATTTATGAGTCAACTCCGGTGATGCAAAAAGAGAAGGTAAGTACCGATACATGCTGGATTTATGGCATGCAATTTTATTTATTCCTTGAATTCGTAATATTTGCGTGATTCAATGATAAATTAATAAATCACCGGATTGTATATTTATTTATCTATAATTTATTTCTATTGTCATGATTTATTATGCATTGTAATAGAAAGTACGTAGTATTTAAATATTTTACTATATTTAATTATAAAATAATAAAAATGTCTTTTAGGCAATAAAAGAAATAAAAAAGAGGAAAATATGGAAATATAGTAAATTAAACAGTTTGGCAACAATAAAATCCCATGAAAGCAAGATTGATGTGTTTGATCGACCGATTGACTCGTTAAGTCATCAAACCCGACGAAAAAAACTGCGTCGGATTGATTTATGATGCCCGCACGCACCCACGCATATGTGTGTTATCACTCCCTAATACACATCATTTCCGTATTCCGGAATTATTTTTCCATCTGATAGAATAAGAAAATATCATCTATTCAGATTCATACCAAAAATTTTCTCAAAATTTTCACATAATATATTGAAGCTTCATGTTTGTTACAAACTCTTCTTCCGACGGTTATATTTACGCTAAAGATAAGAATAATAATAAAAAGCAGTTTGAGCTTATTTGCTTCATGCTTGTCTTGCAAGTAAAGCTTGTTTAACGTTAAAAGGATTTGTTCTCGTTCAATTTTTTCAAACGTTATTCCGCGTTGCTCATAATATTCACTCTCGTCCCGTGAATCGTAAATACTCTTATATCCTCGCCGGGGTGAAACGTTTCGCTGACAATTCCCGCCGGAACGATTTTGCATTTTGTAGAAATCCAATAAATTCTGGCGCAGTGTTATATCATATCACAAATGTTTACATGTTTGTATTTTAGTCACAAACGTGTTTTTCATGTCAAATAAAAACTTGCTCATACATATTTAAAGAAAAAGTGAAAATATGAATTTTCACACTTTTCAATATCATTCACGCAGAGGAAAAAAAAAACAATTTAAATAATTTATAGTAAGTAAATAAAACTGGTTTTATTTTTATTTGGTATTGAGTGTATAGTGAATGGTAAGAAGATGGTTTTAATGCAAACTGTGCATAAATCTTGTATGCGTTGCTCAATGTAACAAATAAATGTATGCATTCTTTATGTGACGAAAATTATGTAACAGTTTCGAAATATTTATCTTTTGTGAGTATAAAAGATGAAAAAGTTAAATATTATCATCAGTTTGAGTTTGTTTAACCAAAAGTGTACAACAAAAATCGAAAAATGCGTTTTGCTTCTGTAAGATTACCAATAATTGTTATTATTTATATTATTTATACAAATAATGTTTTTTTTAAATTTTATTATAGATTTTTGTCATTTTATGACAATTGATTCATCCATGGATTAGGCCCTGTCCCTCAAGACTACTACGGCCCACCAAGATACCAGCCCCCACCACAAATCAACCAATGGAACACCTGGACCCCTCAACAACCTCAACAACCCCAACAACCTCAAATCATCCGTGTCCCCGTTCAAGTCCCCCAACCATACCCAGTCTACGTCGAAAAGAAAGTACCTGTACACATTCGTGTACCAGTACCACAACCCTACCCTGTTCATGTAACAAAAGAAGTGAAAGTACCTGTGCAGGTACGTGTCCCCCAACCGTATCCCGTACAAGTCGAAAGGAAAGTTCCGGTACGTGTAGAAGTACCAGTACGTGTCCCAGTTTACGTCCGACAGCCATACCCGGTGAGAGTAGAGGTACCAGTGACTAGGAACGTACCGTACCCTGTTCAAGTCATCAAAGAAGTGAAGGTACCCGTGCATGTACCACAACCACAACCGTATCCAGTGCATGTTACAAAAGAAGTAAGAGTACCAGTTGAGGTTAAGGTACCTGTAAGAGTGGAGGTACCCAAGCCGTATCCTGTGCAAGTAAAGGTTGAAGTACCAAAACCATACCCGGTTTATATCAGGGTACCGCAACAACCGGAGAGGCCACAGATTCCGGATAGTTATTATCGTCGTGAACAGGTTAAGGACACCTATGGTCAACCTGGATTTATCCCTGGACAACCATTAAATTATTATTAATTTATTTATGTTCATGCTTATTTATGCATTTTTTAAATAAATAAATAATAACTTAAAATGTTTAGTTTTATTTTAGACTTTTGACCGCGACTTCGTCCCGGTAGTGTTTAATAAAAATGTAATTTGTTTTACTCTCTTGTTCAAGGCATAGTATGAGTTAATTCTATGAATAAGATTCGCAATTTTATTTTAAACAAATTAATTATATAAAGAATTACTAATAATGCACTTTAACACGCCATCTCGGATTCAACTATTTAACTATAACTACGATTGATTCTCAATGCCAACTTTTATCTTATAGAAAAAGGCTGTTTTTAGAGTTTTCCCGGCAATTATTCAAATTTTTCTCGCTGTAAGAACCATCCTTAGACTTTAACAAACATTAAAAAAGAACTTGGCCAAATTAGTCTACGCGTTGATGAGTTATGCGCTTACCAACAGACTTTACGATTCATTTTTATATTATACATGAAGTTATGATATATTGTGCAACAGCGCCACCTTTGATTGAATAACAATATCAATGTGTTTGTTTTCGAAATTAAATTACACAGAACTAAACGTTAGCGTTACGCGAGTGCAAGTGTGATTAATTAAAGTTAATTTCTAATTTAAGTTTGCGCACGCTGCGAAATTCGTTCGTTTTCCACGCGCGCCGCGCCGCGCCGCATGTAAAACGGCGGAAAACATTTGTGTGTGCTTTTGAACTCACTGTTTGTGAGTTGCAATTTAATCAACGTGTGCTGCAAAGTGTACGCAAACCACTTGAAACACGCTTGAAGGTAGTCGGCTCTCTTACAGCACCACTCGACACAATCAAACAATTTGCGTGCGCGAACGTCATTGCCAGCGCGCGTGCAAATCACGAAATATTTCGCGATAACGAGATACAGATAATGGAAGATAATGGAGAACATTATATCATTAGTGGATGGGATGTTTCTTTTGTTTTTAATTAGCCAAATGTTGCGGGTTCCTTGACCTGATTAGATTAATATAATAGGGCACAGATTGTAGTTGGGTAAATATTTTGTGCAGTATTTTGATCAAAAAGAACAAAGTGTTAGTTACAACATTTATAACTCAAGAACGGATTGATAGATTTTGATGATTTATGATTTATAGGATACTTTTTGACTTAGAAAAAAGAATAATTATTAAAATATTCAAAATTATGATGTACAGGGTGTAAAATAAGCGTTGAAAGTTGATATGTCCATTTAATCATAGTTATAGTTGAATATTTGCCTCCCAGATGGCGCAAAAGTGCATTATTAGCTTTTATTATTTTTTAAAACAAAATTGCAAATTTTATATTGAAATTTCCACACTTATGTAATATATTTGGCAAGTAGCGCCATCTAACGAGTGTTTCTTTAAATAAAACATTTTAATTGAATGTAAGCACCGTAATGAACCCGCAAACGTAGATTCAGCGCAAGATACTAATGAGGCAAAAATGAAACATTTTAATGAGTTAAAATTAAATACTTTTAGCAAATACTCAAAACTTCCTAATTTTTACCCCAAAATGTTTTGTTTTATATTTTCTAAAATATTTATAAACCCTAATATTGTTAGAAACTGTAATTTTTGTTTACAAAACTTTTCACAGCTTTCAATACTTTTTCTAACTTTTACCGTTAAACTTTTATATTTTGCTTTATCAAGAAAAGATTTACGTCACTGCAGCAGAGCTTTCGATGCAGGACGTGGCTAATTCACTACATTCTGGCAAATACCAACAAAACAAACAAAAAACTCAAAGCTCCGTCTCGGGAGACTTCAGAAAACCTAAAACTAAACGTGTGTTACTAAAACACGTAAGTATTTTCAAGCTTACGTAAGCTTAAAATGCCAATGAGATGCTGGTTTGTAAAGTAATAGACTTTGAAATTCACTTTAAAACCGGAAGTAAATATTTAAGCACTTTTCAAGTCGCAAAGTAATTGAAAACGTTTGAAAATGCAAAACTACATTTAGTTTTATTGCTGCTGTGTGCGCATTTGAGGAGATATAATTTATTTAAAAGTCGTCGAGTATCCATTTTGGGATCAATTTATGCACGTCATATTTTATTGATGAATTGGTGTCAAGTCCCATTTGCGCCTTCCGGAGAAAACCTACGCGTGAGACGTGCCCGGAAAGTATGCAGGCACTTAAAATATGCGACAACAAATTCCCGGAATAAAATAGATAACAGTTACCATTACGAACTAGTATGGCACGTGCATATTGTGAACATGTGAAAAATTCAAATTCCAAAACTTGCATTCTTGCATAAATATTTTCCTGTAATTCCTTTACTTTATATGTTTGAGACATTTACGTTAACTCCAACATAAGTTATATCTATAATATAAAACGAATCGCAAAATCTGTTGGTAAGCGCATAACTCAACAACGCTTTGACCAATTTGGCCAATTCTTTTTAAAAAGTTTGTTAAAGTCCAAGGTTGATTTTACGACGAGAAAATTTTAAATAATTGACAGGAAAACCCTAAAAACAGCACTATTCTATATGAAAAAGTTGGCAATGAGTTTCAATCATAGTTATAGTTAAATAGTTGAATCCAAGATGACGCGCTGAAGTGCATTATTAGCAATCCCTACTAATATTATAAATGCGAAAGTCCTGATGTTTGTTACACTTTCACGCAAAAACTACTTAACCGATCATCATGAAAATTTGTACACATATTCTTAGTGGTCCCCGAATGGTTATAGGCTACTTTTTATTTAGTAAAAAATTATTTTTAAATAAAATAAAGAAATCGTTTAGCCAATAATACCTCTGCATCTGGCTATTTGACTACTTTAACGCCATCTAGCATTCCAGCAATGAAGCTCAAACCTAAGTACTATAGTACCATCACACTGTATTATCACACTGTATTACCGACAGCTACGTCAACATCAAATCCAATTGACTACACTATGGAGACTGTACACTATACTTCCATAGACTATACTTTCAGCCATTTTAAACTTCCCGCCATTCTACTTCATTGTTACTTCTTCTGTGACTACAGACGCGTACGGAAGCAACTTCATTATTTTAGATATTCGCGAGCGAAGCCGCGGGTTAAAGCTAGTTCTTTATATAATTAATTTCTTTAAAATAAAATTGCGAATCTTATTGATAGAATTGACACATACTATGTCTAGAACAAGAGATAAAAACGAATTGCATTTTTATTAAACACTACCGAGACAAAGTCGAGGGCAAAAGCTAGTTTTTAATAAATGCAAATCTTTTGTTTTGTTTTATTTTATTGTAAATCCGCACAAATACTTAAAACGTACTGAAGTGTTAAGTCTCACATAATTTCCACCACTTAGTATCACTTTGCATTACTTTGCATCACGTTTCCGCAGTGAGCAGCCGGCACACGCATCTCGTTAAACCGAGCATCTTCAACGGCGATTTTCGGGTGTCGGCTGTTGGGGGTGCCTAAGACGCGTTTTCTAATGCGATTTGAATAATGCCGTCAAACCAAACTTGCGCGCAAATCGTGCCCGCTGCCATTACACTGGATTTTCGCTCACTAAAGCTTTGTGTTTGTTACTTTTCCAGCAGAGTCTCGCCAGACTCTAACACAATTAATACCATTAAGAATAATGCAGTGCACAAAGACGCGTCAATAATTTAATTTAATCTACAAATTGAAACAGAATAGACAATTTTACACAAACATAACCTCAACGTCTTAATCCAATGGAAAGTTTATCGTAGGAGTATAATATAATAGCTGCGAGGTGTATCTTACAACTCAATATCTTATCGGGAAAGTTTCGGCGCCACATTTGAGGCTGAAGAGTTGAGGTTATGTGGGTTTACGTTATCGCATCCGATACAGGCGGGAGGCCGGAAACATGGATGTCTGTGTCAATATACACAATATACCACAGGATACTGTAGTATATTGTATCAAAGTTTACATTTTATGCTATAATTAGGCCATTCGACATCATACAAGTATATGAAATCAATAATTATCTTTCACAGGAAAATACTCGTACAATAGAATTTATGGGATGATAAAATTTTATTGTCTTGTAATTAATTCCATGTCAAACACAATTCAGTTTACTTTGCCATTTCTATACATTAATCCACCGTAATATTTTGGCACGGTTTTGAGACACAAAAGTGATATTTTATACTTAGACTGCCAAAACCGTGACTAAAGTGCTTTAGTCACGGGTTTTAGTCACGGGGTTACATTTTCCAGTATTTTGCGAGTGAATGTCGAAGATTTAAAATAAAAATTACAACAAATACTTCAACCAATTTTCATCTCTTTTTAACACCCTGTATAATATAATTTGTAGTATTTTGATACTTATTCTCCTTTTCCACACCAAGATAAATCTAACATATTATTACTAATAGGAAGTTTAAAAACCCTGTCTCACAAATAACTTTAAAGTCGCGATGCGCATTTCGAAGGCTAAGCCTTCCTCTTCAGGCGAAGGAATTATAAAACTGAACTAAAATTGCGTCTAATCCTAATTTACCTAAAATTCTTAATCCCTGTTTAATCCTTTACCCCACTCCTAAAATGTTTTCCTAATAAAACCTATAAATTCATAATACCTAATTAATCTTTTACCCCACTCCTAGCAAAAATATTGCAGTAAAATCTATTTCCAAGTATTCGACAACTAGGTATTTTTGAAAAATATTAAACAATTAACTCAAATAAACTTGAACTCAAATAAACTCGTTTCAAGTTTATTTGAGTTAATTGTTTAATATTTTCAAAAATACCTAGTTGTCGAATACTTGGAAATAGATTTTACTGCAATATTTTTGCTAGGAGTGGGGTAAAAGATTAATTAGGTATTATGAATTTATAGGTTTTATTAGGAAAACATTTTAGGAGTGGGGTAAAGGATTAAACAGGGATTAAGAATTTTAGGTAAATTAGGATTAGACGCAATTTTAGTTCAGTTTTATAATTCCTTCGCCTGAAGAGGAAGGCTTAGCCTTCGAAATGCGCATCGCGACTTTAAAGTTATTTGTGAGACGGGGTTTTTAAACTTCCTATTAGTATTTGTTTACTCACAGTGCATCAAGTAGTGTAAATCTAACATATTATTGATCATCAATATGTGCTTATTCTTTCTTGAGTTATAAACGTTTTAACTAACAAAACTTTGTTTTATAAATACTAGTATAAACTAACACAATTACTTTGCTTCTATTACTATTATTTTATTACTCTCCGAATTATTCCATACCTTTATGCAAATATAATAAAATATGCAAGCCAATAGATAAAGTACAAAAATGTATTGAACTCCTACACGTTCCAAAATAGATTCAACGTGTGTCCGCGCTAAAAAATGCAAATAAAACCCCTGCTGCTGGCCATGAAAGCGTGTAACATGCATTCTGATTTTGCGATTTTTCCCCGACGCTTCCTCACTCTTTTATGCCATCCGTTCGGTTCGGATTTGCCTCTCGTGACTGAACAGTCAACAATGCACTCACACTACTCGTGTGTGTATGTCCACGCGTCCTGCTGGATCCAGACCATCGGACAATATGCTTGGTCGAGATCGAGTTCGACATATGAATGCAAATATCATTTTCTTTTGCATGAAAACATACAGTGTGGATGCGGATATAAAACTCGCAACCTTTTTATACTTTACTACTTTTAGATTTTATATATATTATGAAAAAGTACTTAAAAAGTTTAGTACCGCATCCACGCTGCAAGAATAAATTATTTGAGTTAAGTAGTACGCGCTGGGTTTGTGAAGCATAGTGTAGTCGAATTGCTGACTGAATTTTGTATCTTACCACGAAGGGTTGTTTGGAGTAAAATTAATGTACGCTCCGGCGGATTTCCCAAGTGTTTAAATACGGGAAGCTGGAAAACCTAAACCGCTTAAATATTACGAATTATGCCCCAGAGTTTGAAAATTCGGAATGAAAACTTTCTTAGAATAATATTATAAATGCCATAACTAACAAACAACAGGCACGTAAAGAAAAAGGAAATTTATCTTCGTATTTTTGACATTTTTGACGTTTGGATATTGGTCATAAATGCCAATAAACATCTCGGTAGATAAAAGCAATAATCGCAAAAGTTAAACGTTTCACGCACAAAAGTGGTGCGTAGAGGGTCGAGAAATAGTCGTGGAAAACACGCTCGTTATGCGATGCCACGTTTACCAAGCTGCGGAAAGCAATAAAAGCATAAAACGAAGGAAATCTTGTCAAAAAATGTCTACGGATGAAGTATCAGGCAAAAACACATTTCACTAACGTAAAAATCAAATAAAATAGTTTTTCTTTTATCAAACATTAATTCCACGACTTTATACGCAAAATTTTTAATAAAATTCTTAATTTTAATGTAATTATTAAATAAAAATGCAATCCATGCATTTTATTGCCATTTAGGTTTGAATTATGTAACTATAACTATGATTAAATTCATAGTAAGTTTCATCCCTTATTTAACACCCTTAAAGTTGTAATTTTCCTACCAAACCTCACAAGATTACTCTCTAGACTAATTTTAAACTTGCCTGAAAATTTTATCAAAATAACTCCAACCGTTTGGAAATAAAATGAAGTAAAGTAAAAATTATAATTTTAAACATAATTTCATCACGAATAATTCAACATTTTTCACTTTCTATACGATGACTAGACGAAAATTATTCTGCCCTAGTTTTAATCTGAATAAATTCATACGAAATGCAGTTAAATTTCTTCAGATGACTCTTGTAAGTTTCGTTAAACTTGTGAATAATCTCGCGCACGCTTTTGATGTAATCGTAATTTACAAGTGTTTTACATATCATTCGCTCATTCGCGCATTCGCAAGAGCGCAATCTGAGAATACTCGTACCTACGAGAGAAAAAAAGACGATCCACGCCGCGTGTCGTGACGAAAAATGCAAATGTCGGCGTTCGTCGTCCGAGATTTGAATAATTCACATCGGACACGCCCGACGGATCATCTTACTTTCCTCTCACTGAATTATAAAACTTATAAAAACTTAGAAAACCAAGATGAAATGAATATTTAAATACTCGTAAACTTAATAAACTAAATCGTAAATTTAAAGATCTAATCGTACAAGGTCTAGACGGTTGACAATTTATTAGATTTTAACTACTTTTTATGGTTAGATAATCGAAAAGATTTATTCTTTTTATGTACTTGATTGTATCTAGTTTTAGTTAGTTTTAAAAATAATAATTTTTATTTAAGTAAATGCGCAGACGCAAGCTCCACCCCGTGACTAATGCCAGTGACTAAAGTACTTTAATCACAGAATTAACCATCCGTGTATAAATTACCACATTTTGTGTCTTAAAATCGTAGAAAAGCGCGGAAAAATTGGTGCTTTAATAGTAGAAGTAAAAAAATAACTTTTGTTAGTTTCTTTTGAATAAATCATAAACGGTTATAATAATAATAAAAATTGTTTCACTTTTTAATTCTAAATAAATTTCTTTATAAAATCACAAAAAGATTTTGTTGTTAAATGGCTCCAACAAAAAGTTATTGACAAATAAAGATAAATTGTATCCAAAACAAGAAATTAAATAGTTATTAATAAATCATTAATATTATTTGATTCATAATTTAATCCTACCTAAAAATATTATTATTATAATTTGATTAGTTTATGAATAATTAATAACTGTTTCTCCGCGCCTATTACAACACCATTCAAACATTAAATCACTAATTCTACTAAAACTATTAAAATATTCTTTCTGCGTTTAGCAATGAATAAATTTACATTCAATTAACATTAAACTCATATTCAAGTTTTTAACCAACTGTCCAGTTTCGACTGCTTAATTGATGGTAATGATAGTTATGTTGATTTAACTAATTTATCTCTAGCTCCTGGTGTTGTCTTTAATTCTCCCTTTTAGTTTTGAGCTGGAATGCGAATGAGAGAACAGGCGGCTGTTCAACGGCTCATAATTCGTGTTCGTTCGCATTATTCGTATTCATCACGCTGTCCGTCGGCGCTTTTTCCAATAAAGGATGTAAGCGAGCAGCGAGAGAAAATACCAGCGGATACCTGCGAATTCGATGTGATGCATGTCCGTGGGGAACAATTACGCACGTGGAATTATTACAGACACGGCACACAACTGGGTAATTCCAGCACGTTTGGAATATAGAATGGAAATTGACTGCATAATGTGTAATATGTAATGTAAACTGAGAGAAAAAGTTAAAAGTTGAAATGAATCAGAAATTGTTTGAACTTTGAGTATTTTTTATAATTAAAACAAAACTAGTCATGATTAAAACTTATTATTGATATAAATGATAAAATTTTAAAATATTGAATAGGAAAATTAATTATTTTAAGTTTTAGGATTTTTGGGAAATTTAAAAATAACATGACTAAACTAATAACATAAATGTGAATGTCGGTTTGTTTGTTTGTTTGTGCGGCTTTCCCGCAAAACCACAGAAGCAATTTTAATAAATTTTGGCATAAAGTTAGTTTAGACCGAGGAAAAGCAAATAGACTACTGTTTGTCCCAAAAATATAACATACAGCGTGTAAAATAAGGCATAAAAGTTAAATTCACGTTAAAATGTCAAAAACATAATTTTTCCATAAATACGCACTAAAACTACTAAAAAATAACTAAATATAACCTATAAGTGTGATTTATGACTAAATCAACCATCTAAATCGAAATCCCATTAGAAATAAACAATTACCAATTATTACAAATTCCCTCCGAATAAAACCGATCACGCAACACGCTTGAACCGCTTGAAAGCTTTGAAAGCACTGTTTGCCGCATGCCCGCATAGTGCAGACGTTCTATTGCGGACAATAACGGATATAATTAATTGGAAAAGCCGAGGCGCGGGCGAGACCATGCGCCGAGAGCCGCCGCAGGACTCTCGCACAGGACACTCCCACGACTTGCCATCTGGCGTGCCGCATCCTTTAATGCCGCGATTGCAAGGCGATTATTTTCATGAATTTATGTGCCAACCCTATCCGGCCGAGCCCCGCACGAAGACGAATACAATGGATCTATTCACTTGCAGGTAGTGGCGTCGACTTACTCGCAAGAAAGTAATGAATTAAGTCATTAATCATCAAGTGTCGATAAAAATAATAATTTAGGGTTAATTTCTGGCGTAAAAGTATGAAATTTGAAGCGGTATCTATTGGAAAATAGCTGGGCAGCAAAATATTCAGTTTTATTAAAAAAATCGTTTTATGAATTATTAACTGAATTTAAAATTTTTTATTGAAAACTAAATTTTTACTCTTTAAAAATATTTTTCTAATTTAACCTGTAAAGCGCGAGTTTTTCACGGTTTTGAGGCATAAAAGTACTACTTTAAACACAGCCGTGACTAAAGTACTTTAGTCACGAGCTTTAATTACGGGGTGGAGCTACTAGTAGCAAAATAATGTCAAATTAATTCAATTTTTTCATTTTTCCCCAAAATTTTCAAAAATCAAGAAAAACCAATTAAAACGTTTTCAAAAACACAAAAATAAAAATACCATAAAATATTTTATAATTACTCACCCTTTAAACTCCTCTTTATCTCCTTGCAGCTTCTAAAATCAAAGAAATGAAATATTAAAACGTGTTTTCATGATTGTGTGATTGTGTGGTACAAATTCATTGCGATTATGAATATGCGGGCGAGAAACGATAATAGCCCAACCGTAATAAGGGTTTAATTAAATCTTAATGCGTAGGTGACTGAGGTCTGACTAGGGTTGCAAGTTGAGACCATGAGCCCAAGTCGAGTGAAGAATCCTTCGTGTACTTTGTGTCCTCTACGTTTCAGTCCTATCTAAACGCGCGCACACAGCCGCCTAGTCGCCACATGCGTGATTTACTTAGCAACAGCCTACGAGTCTACGGCTGGAATTAATTGCATTTACCCGCCGAGCTAACAATTACATGTTTCTGACTAGTAAATTACATTTGTTCAAGGGAAATTGATTTGAAAATGATTAAAATTTAAGGTTTCCACGAAATAATTGTAAGAACACGGAGAAAAACATTTTTAGATGAAAGTTTGGCTCAGTAACAATAGAATAAAAATTAAATTAATAAAATTTAATTAAAAACAGAGGAGATATATGTATTTAAACAAGAAAAACGTAAAATTGATTTTTTGTTAATAATTAACATTCTATCACCCATAAAGTAATAATTTTTCTTTTATTTAATAGTTTTTACTTAAAAATGTAAAAAATCAAACTGTTTCCGTTTTTCTCTGCAATTAAAGAAAAAATCCAAACAAAACCACCGAGGTTAAAGTCTCGATAGAGTGCAACTTAATGAAGTAGTTTAAATGCATTGAGACTAAATTATGCACGCGTTTGAGAGTCTCTAAAGTGACCACCGTTTTCAATTAGTCACTTCTGCCATTGCATTGCTTCCCATTGCATGACAAAAGCAAGCAACCAGCACTACAAAGAAAAACCTCGCGTCTAACAGAAACAAATATTTACTTTACAAGTTTAGTTCAAGTTTACCCGTCTAGACTAATATATTTTCATCTTATCTTGTATCTCCTGCTATAAATGGCAACATGCTTTGTGGTTTGCATATTTTATAACCTCACATAATTTTACCATTCATCATAACCTCAAAATGTACAAAATCACACATGTTATTAGGCATATGAAGGTTTATATTGCGTTGAATTGTGTTTTAATATAAGATTAATGCGATGTGTCTGATGTGTGTACACGCTGGCGAATTTAATAAGCGCAGTGTAATGATTTATTAATAATACGATGCCCGTCTAAAGTTGCCGGGCTAAACTCGATGTACGACAAAAGTTTCGACCGCAATGTGAGCGTTATACTCTCGAAATTTATCGCATAAAATCCCTCAACGTGAATGCGGGTTAAAGTTCGATGTTTCGTTAACAAGTTTGTGAAATATGTGTGAAAATGCGAACATTTAAGATGTATCAACAGACGAAAAAATCCTAACCTACAAAAGTGTCAAATAAAAAGTTAGGATTGAATTTTTAAAAGTTTAAGTGGATTTATATCAGAAAAGGCTGAAATGTATATTAAACATATATTATTAAGAAAAACTTACTGTTTTCAGAAGTGTATCACAACAAACACTATTTAAATTTATATTTGAATGAGTTGAGTTTTAAGATTTGTGAAAGTTGTGCGCGGCGCGGAGACTTGACCAGCGTCAGTTGGAATAGTTCACTTCGAGGGGAGTAAAGTAGATACAGCGCCAGATGCGGCGTTTTTATGTACTACTAGTTACTGTATTTTTCATTAAAGAAAAGAAGATGGCATTGCGTACGAGTATAAAGTTAATTCAAAATAAATAAATTAATTATTTTTAAAGCTAATTTTAGGTAGGCTACCTTGTTTGGTATTATTTTAGAAGCGGTGGGGGTGATAGAAAGGGCCGGCTAAGAGTACGGCACGTACTTAATACTGCAAGTTTTATAAGTGCAAAGTATTAATTTCATAGTGCAAAGCATTTTATTCAAGTGGAATTCATTTTTCAAAGTGCAAATATTTATTTTAAGTTCAGTTCTGTATTTTTAAGTGCAAACATTATTTATAAGTGCATTTCATGAATTGACAAGTTAAAATCGAAAAATAAAGTTTGTTTAATTACATGCCTAATTTAAACCGTCAGTAGGAATAATTTACTTCGAGGGGAGTGACAGCGCCACATGCGGAATTTTTATGTATCACTAGTTACAATATTTTTAATAGAAATATCCAGATGTCATTGAGTAAATTCAGAAGTGAATAAATTAATTATCCAATTGAATAATTTGACTAATCGTGTTATTAAGCTCGCCATCGCTTTGCATTTCATTACATTACGCAACGAAACGGTGTGTTTACTACTCCAACGCGTGCATAAATTAATGGTGTATTAATAGTTAAAGCTCTCAGTTCAATCTGCGTCTGTTATTGGATTATTTCGACGCAAATTATCACGAGTTCCTTAATCTCAGTTTGCTGTTTCAAGCGGCGGTTGTTTCGGCTTCCTAGTTTAAAGTGCAATTTGGGTAAATTGCTTCCATACGCCCCGAGAGTTTGCTTTATGTTTGGACCCAACAAACGGCTAAAATATTCAAATGTATGCAAAAATATAAACTAAGTAAGTTGAATTATTGAATTATATAGAAATTGTGTTACCAATAATGTTCTAATTGAGTTATCATACACCTACTGTGGGAGTATTTAATTTGTTCTTTTGAAGTTTGCAATTTAAGTCAATGTCAAAGTCAAATTGGAATCATCGAAGACAAGCAGAAATTCCACGCTGATAGAATTGGAATCATGCGCTCGGGGGCGAATTGTAAAATGTTCGAATGTCGGATAGTTAGCATGCTCAAAGTTGGCATGTAACCGCATTTCGAGTCAGTCTTAACGTCGCGCAAAAGTCGAAGCAAACTCTCGGGACTCTTGGGAGAACGTGTTTCATGTCTTCACGCTGCGAACAGCGCGTCGACACTTGGAATTTGTTGCGATTCATAAACGCAATACGCAATCTACGAGTGGATACAAGTAAGTTTTCATTAAAAATTAATTAAAACGTCATCTATACTTAATTACTGTGTGTCTTTATCAAAAGAAATTGTTTTAATAAGTAAAATATGCAAATATAAACAAATTTATGTTTTCATAAATAAATTTATTAAGAACTAGCTTTAACCCGCGGCTTTGCTCGCGAATATCTATAATAATGAAGTTGCTTCCGTACGCGTCTGTAGTCACAGAAGAAGTAACAATGAAGTAGAATGACGGGAAGTTTAAAATGGCTGAAAGTATAGTCTATGGAAGTATAGTGTACAGTCTCCATAGTGTAGTCAATTGGATTTGATGTTGACGTAGCTGTCGGTAATACAGTGTGATAATACAGTGTGATGGTACTATAGTACTTAGGTTTGAGCTTCAATGCTGGAATGCTAGATGGCGTTAAAGTAGTCAAATAGCCAGATGCAGAGGTATTATTGGCTAAACAATTTCTTTATTTTATTTAAAAAATAATTTTTTTATTAAATAAAAAGTAGCCTATAACCATTCGGGGGCCACTAAGAATATGTGTACAAATTTTCATGATGATCGGTTAAGTAGTTTTTGCGTGAAAGTGTAACAAACATCAGGACTTTCGCATTTATAATATTAGTAGGGATAAACAAATTTATGTTTTTTTCATAAAAAATGTGATTAAGAATTACTTCTAAGCGATTAAATAAAACATATGCGAATTTTATTGCGTGAATAGTGTGAATTTGAGCGTTTTTCTTTTGAGATTTCAAACCTGGCCAGATAACTTAATGCGAAATACTCGTAGATATAAAATGCAGAAAATGTTAAATCGTGCGAGACGTTGTCAGGACGTTGGTTTACGAGCTCGTAGTTTATCTGCTTTTGCAAGCGGAAAGTGCAATAAAGAATGTCTGTATTTTTACGTTTCTACGTGGCTGTGAGCAGCATTTACTGATTACTGGCGTATTTTTACTTCAAAACTGCATAGTTACGCCATCTGACGGTGAAAAAATAAAATAAATCTAATGTATTACTGTCATTGTGATGCGCTTAACCTAACTGGAGTGTAATTTGTGGTGGAATGGTTGCGGTGGTTGTGGTACACAAAAGATTTGTTGTTCATGTGTATGGTAATTTTTGCAGACAACACGTAAGTATGCGAGGAGAGCACGATTGAAGATAAACGACGCCAGCGACGATGCGATGAAATAAATTAGTCAATGTCGGCGCAGCGCTCGTTTAATTCAACGCTTAACGCCGAGTCACTGCATTTAATGCACGTCTATTTGTTGGTGCAGTTTGCGGAGAATACATAGAGGATTTGTATAGATATTGCATAAATTTGTATATAAATCAATAATAATAATAATATTTATTTAATAATAATATAATCTGATGAAATAGGAAGAAATATTAATTGAATTTTAAAATTGATTTGTTTTGGTTTGTAAAACAATTGTTGTTACAGTTACGTATTCCACATTCAAATATTTTGTTAACAATTAAATTCTCTTTCTAATGACGTATTATTCAATATTCTACAACAAAAACTTTTAAGTTATCGTGTCGCAAAGTTTTTGATTTTTGAAATAGAACAATTTATATCATAATAAACATTGTCTGCTATTTTGCTTAATAAGTTGATAATGAGTTAAGATAATTATTTAAAATTTAGCTCTGTTATTGTACATTAAATTATCTTTCAAATGATGCTTCACTTGTCATTTTTCAACAAAAACTGTTTGAGTTATGGGGTCGCAAAGTTTATGAAAGAAAAAGAGTAACAATAAAAACTTTAAACTATATTTATCTAAATAACTAGCCTGCCACCAACTGAATTGATTTCAAATTAACATATTTTATTAAACAATAAATAACCTTTCCAAAAATGTATTATTCAATATACTATAACCTAAACTCTTTGAATTCTAACCTCACAAAGTTTAAAATTATCCCAAAGCCAAAACCCCGACCTTAAACATCAAATTTCTAAAGCTAATTTTTGTTTAAGATTCCCAGAGTATAATAATGATAATTACTCAACAAAACTCACC